TCTTACCATTCTATGCATCCAAGTCTGATGTAATTTAGCTCCGTGGCCATGCTCGACTACCTTCCGATCGCTGGTCAAGCAACCCAACTTGTCGCTGAAATCCTTTTCAGTGGGTTCAGTGACTATTTTGGAGTCAGACTGCCATTCCTCCTCTTGCATTCGGTATGTCGCACCTGAGTAAGCACTACTCCGTACTGACCAAGTATAGGTGATCAACATAGTATCACTCATTATCCTGACGATCCAACCGAGCAATGAGCACACCTATATGGCTGGGTGGTATATGGACTATATTGGAGCGTAAGCCTCACCTATCCGACAGGTAATGATATCTAGCTGATATCTATTGTTTAGGGTCTCGACAATGCTGTTGTGTGCGTGGGCAGCTGCCCATTTGGAGACGGAGCCCGAAGTTCGCACCGTTTTGTTCGCCACCGGAACCCTCTTCGCGTATTTGCTAAGTGCCTTCCTTCCCATAGCTGCATATCCAGCATCGGAAGCTCCTCACTGGCGTATTGGAGCAAAACTGTACCTCGGTCTTTCATGCTTGGCAGCGGTGTTGTTCGTTTGCATCCATTTTGCCTTTAAGTGGGAGGAGCGGAGAAAAGCTAAAACCCGCCAAGTTGACGATTGGAATGTGACTGCAGACGAACATGAAGTCAGTGAAGGGAGGGTCTAGGGGTAGAATGGAGATTCTGACGAGCTGAGTAAGCCAGCTCGTGATCTCCGTGGCAGCCTGGCAATTAGCATGTCTACCACGACGCTAATCGATCCTTGGCCCTACAACTTTCACCACTCACGCAAACCGCCATGTCTTCTTTCTTCGGCTTTCGGCGTTTAGAAATGGCTGAAGGAGACTATCTCCAGTCTGCAGGGTTTGGCTAGTCACATCGCTACGTTACACGTAGTAGCTTCATGGTTAACGCCGATTTCCGACCTCGAGCTTTCCCCGCAAATGAAAATCCATCCATTAGCATAGTTTCTTTTGCTATGACCTGATAAAGCATCTATAGTCTCGAGAATTGCTTCCAATGTCGCCATCGATACCAAATTTGCATCATTGTTTTGATCATACTTTAGGTCCTACAAATCTCCCTAGGAGCAAGAGCACTCCCATCAATGTAGCCGACGGTTTAGTTGCAACGTCCTCAACTCGGGATGATGGCCGACGACGACACCATCAAAGGCCTGTCCGTTGAGGCAGAGAGCTCCCAAACCGATGATACGGAGCTGACTCCACAGGAGCAGCGACGGGTTATCCGTCGAGTTGACGCCCGATTGATTGTCATGCTGGGGTTCCTGCACACCGTATCGCTGCTTGACCGGGGAAACCTGTCTACTGCAGCGGTTGCGGGAATGGAGAAGGAATTGCACCTCCAGGGTAATCAATATGTGAGTTTTTTTTATCGCTGAAGAAACATGCCTATTCTAACACAGTCGTATAGAATATCATTGCTGTCGTGTTCTTTCCTCCCTACATCTGTCTGCAAATGCTGGGTCCAGTGCTGATTCGCAGGTTGGGCCCGAAGACCTTCCTTGCGGGCATTTGCTTTATCTGGGGTATTGCTATGGTAAGATATCACTGGAACACCCCTCCCGAGGAAGAGCTAACCTGTTTAGATGTGCGGTGGATTCGTCCACAACTGGGCTCAACTAGCTGGCATTCGAATCATCATCGGAGCCTTGGAAGCAGGGTTCTTCCCTGCTGCTGTCTATCTTATTGCGACTTGGTACACCCGATATCAGATGCAAAAGCGATTTGCCATCTTCTATCTGCTCGGCTGTGTGGCATCAGCTTTTACCGGAATACTTTCCTATGGCATCACCTTCATGGTACGCGACCCCGTATTCTTCATTGCTTTCATGCTAAGAATCGGCTCGAACAGAACGGCCTAGGCGGCCTCACAGCCTGGCGCTGGATTTTCGTCATCCAAGGCCTCCTCACTTGCACGCTCGCAGCCATCAGCTACTTCGTCCTGATCAATTTCCTGGATCGGATGAGATCAAGCGAGAGCCGATTCCTCTCGGACCGAGAATACGACTTCATCACTCACCAGATCAACGACGACCGCGGGGACGTGAGACTCGAGCCCTTCAATCTGAAGAAGTACCTTGTCGCTGCACTGGACATCAATATCTGGGGATTTGGACTAGTGTACTTCTGCACTACATCTACTGCCTATTCGATCGCATATTTTCTGCCTCTGATATACAGGCAGGGAATGGGCTTTTCGATGGGAGCATCGTTGTGTCTCTTCGCTCCACCGTACGTGGCTGCGGGGATCACCATGATGGCAACATCGTGGATTGGAGATAAGTATCGGTTGCGGGGACCAATTATTGTTTTCAATGCCATGTTGGCATTGATCGGGCTTCCTTTGATGGTCAGTTTCTCCTCATACAAATGTAACGGTAAACAAAGCTGACAAGACTAGACCTTCACCAAGAGCAACGGACCACGATTGGTCGGGTGCTTCCTTACTACCATGGGAGCCAACTCGAATGTACCTGCTGCTATGGCATATCAGGTAGAATTCTACATCCTTCTGACCGTAGTATCAGTGCTGATTGGCATTAGGCAAACAATGTCCGCGGTCAGTGGAAGCGAGCGGCCTGCAGCGCCATCTTTGTCGGTCTCGGTGCGTCGGGCGGCATGGTCGGATCTCTGGTCTTTCGATCTCAGGATGCTCCGGAGTATCGGCCGGGAATGCTTACCTGCATTGGGTTGCAGGCTGCTGCGATAGTGCTGGTGGGGTTGTTAACCATTCGATTGTATCTGCGCAATCGTCGCGTGGATCGGGGAGAGTTGGTTATTGGGGATCTGCCGGGGTTTCGGTATACCTATTAGCTTGTTTACAGACGGTGCTGATTGGCTTAATTTATGTTCTGGTCTGCCATGCTTGAAGTCGCTGGTATTATGCTCGACGATGAAATCATACATGAGATGATGGCGATAACTACATCGCTCTAAATAAGTGTACAATGGTCTAATGCAATGCATGTATGCTTAGCCGTCCAAATATGCATTCAGATATCCCTTCACTGTCCGCTTCATCCATAATCCAGGTCTAAATCCCTGCGTCCATCCCCGGCCTGAAAGAGTCGCTTCCCGTACCTTCCAGAATAATGAGCCCTGTAATAATTATTAGCCGCATTCCTCAGTCCCACCAAGGCATAAATAGGCATACATCGTATACACCCCGCACATCTTCCTTCCAGACCTTGCCGTCCTTCTCAATTAGCAACCATGTGGTGCCCCATTCAAACAAGGCGGCTCCCCACTAGACTCCATGTCAGTTACATCTATCTTTTGCGCGAATGGTGGAGAGAAGAGTGAACATACACCAAACGGATCAGCCGCACATCTATTCCCATGCATCATATCAAACAGCTCCCGCAATGTCAATGCGCCATCACCATCGCGATCATACTTCGCGAACATATTCTCGAATGATTGAGGAACGAAGCGTCCTTCGGGGTCGTAGGTATTGCTATCGGAGCCATGCTATCCATTCATCCATTAGCCATCTCCTCCTAGTGAAGGCGTAAATCCCCAATGGGAGGAGGTATGTACCTTGGCTTTATGAACCGCATCCACATATACCCTAAACCACGGATCCGGGAGATACGAATGTGCCAGACGAGTCGGATAGGAGAAGTTCAAATTGATGATTAGAACAGCTAAGAAGGAGAAGAGGATATTGAATCCTAGGTCGCGAAAGCCGTTATATGTATCCCAGGGGTAGATTTGCCCGTCGCGGTCGCGGTCCCAGAAGAGGACATGTTGTTGGAGGGGGGTCTTCATCAGTTATCAAGTTAGTGGTATGTTTCAATCGATTATATAGAGTGCTTATTGAGGCTAGTACGTACAAAATCGCCAAATCGCTTTGTATAGCTCTCATCCCCGTCCGGCCGGTCAATTGAGGCGGTGGTGTTGGCCCGCGGAACACCCGGTTTCTCAATGTAGTCGTTCGTATAGCGGGCTGGTTGGCGGGCCGCAGTGACGGGGCATTCGGGGACAGTGGTGGAAAAGTCGACGCTGATAGAAGGCGGGCGGATGGGTTTGTCGAAATTGGGTAGTTGAGTTTCGGAGAAGGATACTTTGCGAGGCATTCTGGTGGTTATGGGATTATTCAATTGAGTCAATATTGGATCGGAGGAGGTAAAATGTAAATAAAACAGGGAGTAGAAGAGTCAGTTGTTGGTAATGGGAGATGGCTGATTAGAAGATCGGAGATTCGTTCGTTAGGGTTGATGGCGTCATTGGTTCGGGAGTCATGGTGAGGTCATACTGGGTGCTATTGATAGTACATCACTTGAATAGTCACCCAATTCGTCACTCAATTAGCGGCGTTTAATCGCCACTGAGAGTGTCATGATTACTGTTTATCAGTAGCAGCATGAAACACCCCAATTGAAAGAATATGGGGTGAATGGCTGGGATATTTTCCGCTGAGGTGGTGGGGATATATTTTCCGCTGTTGAGTATTCATCTGCTAAAAGACCACTACTATGACTGGGTGGCTGAGGTATACGCTCAGAGGCTACCACTATGCGCAGGTCAAGTGACAAGAGCCCTCTAAGAAGTCTAATTTACAAGCCATACCCTCTAGCTAGGTCAGAGCTATACTGTCTAACCTAAAAGAAGGGACACGCACGCCTAGTTGGGGCCTGACAGTCTGCCCACAAACATAATGGTCTTCTACAGTATCTCCACCCCCCGGATACTACATCCACGCAGGCTGGTCTAGGCTATGCTTCCACCAACCAGTCTCTGGGAAATTGTCTCTGAACCCGGTTTCAGGCAAATTCGAGGTCCTTGGCTCCATTGTCTGGATCCCAATCCGAACTTTATCTAGCTTTTGCACAATTCAATTCTTGGGTCTGTCGTTATGTCATCATGAAGCCCCGCGGGGTACATCGTGAACATAAACCCGCATTGAAACACCCAATCTGCCCGTTGTGAGTAAAGGGTTGGTCTTGCTCTTCCCGACCTTGCCATGTTGTATAAACTGAGTTTTCGCGGCTTTGCTTGTCATCCTGCTAGTAAGCTTACTACGTTCAAACGGGTTAATTGCCAACTTCTGTATACTGTCTTTTCATACTCAACTTCAGCTCCCCCTCCCAAATCACGCAAACTAGCCACCATGTCCAGTCCCACCCATTGGATGAACACCTCCGGCGAGACGGACCCCGTCTGGGTTCACTCTATGCCCTACTCCAAATATCCCAAGTTCCCATCATTGAATGAGAACGTTGAAACCGAAGTCTGCATTGTCGGCTCAGGTATTGCCGGTATCTCCATTGCCTATGAGCTGGTCAATCGTGGAAAGCGAGTGACCATGATCGAGGCCCGCAATGTCCTGTCCGGCGAAAGTGGCCGTACCAGTGGCCATTTGTCCAATGCCTTGGACGATGGATACACCGAGATCCAGAAGAAGCATGGACACCAGGGTGCCAAAGCCGCCGCTGAGAGCCATACCTGGGCGCTCAAGCGAGTCGGGGAGATTTCCCGATCACTCGGAATCGAGTGCGAGTACCGCACGCTTCCAGGCTATGAGATCTCCCAGTACCCCCGTGGTGACCCAAACCATGATAAAGAAGTCTCCAGCCTGAAGAAGGAAGTTGACCTTGCGAAGCAGCTTGGTCTTCCTGCATCCTATCGCGATGGCCTCACCGTGAAGGGCTGGGATGGCAGCATCGACCAGCGGGACGGTGCCATTTTTGCAGACCAGGCGACGTTCCACCCGACCAAGTACTTTGTCGGCGTACTTGAGTGGCTGCAGAAGCAGCCAAACTTTCAATGCTATGCGCACACTCGCATGATGTCGTCCAGCGAGAGTGGCCTGGTGCAAGTGACAACCACAGACGGGTACACTATCACGGCCAAGGATATGGTCGAGGCGACTTGTGTGCCTCTTCAAAAACTGAGCGTCATCGCGGAGATGGAGTACATGCGCACCTACTGCATTGCCATTCGTGTTCCCAAGGGCTCGATCGAAGACTGCCTTCTCTACGACGAGGCAGAAGCATACAAGTACATTCGGTTCACCGAATGCGATGAGAATGACGACTATCTAGTGGTCGGAGGATGCGATCACAAGGTTGGCCAGGATACCACCAGTGGGCGTTTCGAGGAACTTGAGACCTGGGTCCGCGAACGCTTCACCAAGGCCGGGACAGTCGACTATAAGTGGAGTGGACAGATCTTCGAACCTGTGGATTACATGGCATTCATTGGAAAGAACCAGGGCCTAAATCATACATACATTGTCACAGGAGACAGCGGCAATGGTCTCACACACGGCGTGCTTGCTGGTAGACTTATTGCGGACGAGATAATGGGTATTGACAATCCTTGGGCCAGCCTATACAACCCCCACCGACTGTCCAGCATCGCCAAGTCGCTGCCCAGTATGCTGGCGCATGATGTTCAAATCAATACCCAGTACAACCGCTGGATGAAGTCCGACATTAAGGACATCGAGGACCTCGCCGTCGGCTCTGGAGGCGTAATCAAGGAGGGTCTGACCAACCCCGTAGCCGTGTACAAAGATGAGCAAGGCAAGGCGCATAAGTTCAGCGCCATCTGTCCACACATGAAGGCGGTGTTGAACTGGAACGACACCGAGAAGAGCTGGGATTGCCCTGTGCATGGTAGTCGCTTCAGCTGCGATGGCGTTTGTGTGGAGGGGCCGTCCAAGGCGAACTTGAAACCCATGGATTCGTTCGCTCAGAAGGAGCAGCGGGCGCAGCAAGCCATTTAAGCAGCTGAAATGTGATCTAAGTTTTTTATGGGTAGTTGGTGTGTAGCATACGAAGCATAAAAAGTTCTAAGACGGAATCACTCCGGATCAATTGAGAAAGTTAGAAAAGTAGAGATTTAAACGCTCCCGATCCACTGGGGATCACCCGGATATTGCCTGTTTTGGGCAAGGGTGCGAGTACGAAGGGCATCTTACCCAAAACGGCATACGCAACGAAAACGAGGAGCACCACGTAGGGCAGAGCTTGATTCCCCAGCCACGGGTCTTCGATGTGAGGTTCAGGGACAGATGCACTATCGTCTCTCGTATATCGCGACCGTTGCCATATTGGTACCTCGCGAAAGTGGGAGGCAACGATGATAGGCCTTCATAAAAGCAGGGCCTCGCTCCCTACCTCCCTACGACTTTATCGACACCCACTCTTCTCTATCGCATACCAGCCATGGAATTTATTCTATACTATTACACACCCTCTGCTGCGGCAGCAGGCATCTTTGTGGTTCTGTTCGGCATCAGCACTGTCTTGCACTTTCTCCAGCTGGTCCGCACCAGAACATGGTTCATGATCCCCTTTTTCATCGGCGGAATCTGTCAGTCACTACTCTCAACGATAACTGTAGGACTATCACTGACCTGAAGCCTAATCTCACAGTGGAAACAATCGGATATGTTGGTCGTCTGCTCTCATCGCTCGAAAGCCCCGACTACAGCACGGGTTCGTACGCCATGCAAAGCGCCCTCATCCTCATCGCCCCGGCCTTCCTGGCGGCTAGTATTTACATGACCCTCGGTCGCATTATCCGGCTGGTACAAGCAGAACACTACTCGGTGTTCAGATTGAACTGGGTGACGAAGATCTTTGTTGCGGGTGATGTTCTTTCCTTCCTGATGCAAGCGTCTGGTGCGTTCTTCCCTAGCTTCCCGTCTTCCGATGCAGCATCGCTAATAACAGTAGGCGCTGGTCTCATGGTCAGTGGCTCGAGCGACCCAACCACGGGCGAGCACATTATCATAGGCGGTCTTTTTGTTCAAATCATCTTCTTCGGCTTCTTCATCATCACAGCGCTCGTCTTCCAAATACGACTGGCAAAGGCTCCCACTAGCACCTCGACGGAACTGTCGCACATCTGGCGTCGCCACATGAACGCCCTCTACATCTCCAGCATCCTCATCTTTGTCCGTTCCATTGTCCGTGTAGTAGAATACCTCCAAGGATACGACGGCTACCTTATGAAACACGAGGTTTTCATCTATGTGTTCGATGCGCTGCTGATGTTCCTGGCAATGGAGGTACTCCAATTCATCCACCCTAGCCAGGTCAACTGCTATCTGGGGCGCGGAGACCGTTACTCCGACAAGGTGATCAAGACGCAAAAATTCATGTCGGTGCCGGTGGAGATGGAGGTTTCATCCGTTTGATGGCTTGCAATATTTCTCGGGCGATGTATTTCATGATTGTTATGATTATCGGCGTCAACTGTCTCATCTAACTTGTGTTTGTCAGTCTGTTCACACTAGATGTTGTGTTTCCAAAGATTATGCCTATTCCTTACATCATCGCAAAGAGGTCACAGGTTATCCATTCAATCATGGGATCAGGGCTGGCAGTGTTAATCCAAGACGAGGATGTAATATCTATCTTCAGCATCACCATACCGTCGTATGCTGTTGCCTGCACATGAAGCACTAGTATGGACTTGATGCGCGTTTAACCCCGTTCCGCAAAGGGGCAAGATAGGATCCCGACGGCCCCAAGTTTTGGCCCCATCGGGAGACCATGCAGGACAACCGCATTGTTCCGAGTCAGGGGCAGCTTTAAGGATCACAAGCTTTCTTACCAGCCCTATTCAGTCCGAGACTTTTTCATTTGGGAGAGTCCGCAGAAGTCCTTAGGGTACTTGGGGACACAGGAATTCTCTCAACACCAGTTGACATGGTAATGTGCGTCTGATAGTGTAGCCCAGTAGGGCCATATTCATGACAACAGCTAATGTGAAATATCCTGTACCCAATTGCCCAATATATGGACCATGTAGAATATCTCCATTTATTAACGACAGCAACGGGATGTCTATCTAGCGGTGGGGCCAGTATGTCTATTGAACTCTCGTATTGTCCAACGTCCGCTTCCTGAGAAGCCATTAATAACGGATACCACCCCCGAACTCACATTTTCCGAGGCACGATGATTCAGACACTATTGACCTTCCTCTTTCGGAAAATCCCCTGAAGCAAGCATAGAGGTGTGCCAACCGTTATGAAGTAGGATCATTTGGCCCCGCCCGCAGAAAGGCCGCTAAGCAGCTGTCAATATCAGGATATCTCTTGTCCCTGAACGTATAAGGGGGATATTTCCATCGGACCAGCAGATCCAAATCGGCCCTTGACAGGAAACTCCACAGCTGAGCTATTTCTAAGAATAGACCTGGATGGGGCCACCATATAATGATCAAGCTCCAGTGCCTTCGCTAAATGGAGATGTCGGGCCCATATTGAACCCGATCTGCCCGCTAGAGACCCGGGGTTTTCGGACCCCACGCTACCTCCAGAACGCTTTGAAGATTGATTTGGGGCCGCCACGGAAGGTGTCTGACCCTGATAACTGCTGTGAGAGCGGTGTATCTGCGGAAAAGCCAGATAACGCTGTATGGTCGAGTAGGAGAGTGACTTGGAATGAATAAATATTGCTCGATAATTTCCCGGTCATTCCTTTTCGCAAAACCTGGGGCATCATACCACAGAAGCTTGGGATAGTCAGATTTGGGGTACAGGCGATAAGAACTAGGATGTGTCGATCAGTCAATTCTTTCAGTCTATCCCTGAGAACAGTTGGGCATCTCGTATTCCCGCTGATAGAAGGATTTCACAGGTAGTAGGCTGAAACATAGCGTATTTACCCTGATGTAGGCGATCGCTTCAATGAAACCTCGGCATTTACAGGAGACTGACTCTAGGACAATATTCATCGTAACTTCCCTACCCAGACCATGAAGCATATAAACGCAGTTTTCCCACTCCAAAGTTCCTCAAGTTCTTTGGCAACGCAGTATCCTTACTACTATTCTTTTGCTTAATATTCTTTCTCATCATACAATGAGCTCCAAGGTTCTCACACTTCTTGCCGTCGCCGGCCTTCTTTCGGCATCCGTGGCGTGTTCGACCGAGTCTGATGTGGAAATTACCTTTTACGGGTATCCTGACAACGATCCTCCCAGTGCGGACATTGCCTATGATTGTGGTCGTGGTTACACGGCAGGAGGTACGTTCTCGAAGTTCTTCGGGCTGAGTATGTCAAAGCTAACAGCTGCTAGGCACCGGCACGTATGATGACCCTCTCACCTTTGCCACTGCTCCTGGGGAGTTTGAAAAGTGTGAGATCATCTATCTGCCGTACCTTCGCAAGTACCTCCGCTTCGAGGACACATGCGCGCAGTGTAGTAAGTGCCCTCACGCTTAGTAGTGTGCCTCCGCTGACAGAAACAGCTACCGATTATGACAACGGCAAGCTCCACATCGATATTTGGACTGGGTCTACCAAGTCCAGTGGTGGCGATACCCAGATTGACTGCGAAGACTCTTTGACCCCGGATGATTCTCAGACCGTCATCATCAGCCCGGGGACCTCCTACACCGTCAACTGTATGTTAAAGACCCCAGGCAGTACTTATCAGATATGACCTAACTGTTCAACCAAGCGGACGAGCTCTTTGCGAGCGGCAAATGCTATACATCGAACACTTATAGCAGTGCCGACGCTTCAAGCTACTGCAGTTCCGGTTCTTCGGGTTCGAGCTCCAGCTCTGGCTCCAGCTCTAGCTCCGGGTCCGGCTCCTCCTCATCTTCCTGCTCCTGGTCAGGCCATTGTGCCGGTATGACCCCTCTTTGAACCCGTGCTTTGCGTTACACTGACTCATGGCATTCAGGTGCTTCCTGCTCAACCGAGAACGACTGCTCCGACAATCTCACCTGCCAGAGTGGCAAGTGCGCCTGATCACAGTACTACTGCCGCGGTAGCTGGACCGACTTTGTTGGACCAAGGTGCGTGACACAGGACAGGCCCTTCTACATTGTGCGATCATGTGATACAATCTGCTTGTCCTTCTTTACTTCAGGCAATCAAAACCCTGAGAAATTACCCTCAGAGGATTAGTATTACCTAGCCCGCGGACTCGCTGCCACTGGCCATGACAAGCAGAATCTGTTCAACTACAACGGAACCATGTATAATAAAGCTATCTGTCTCATCGTTATATCATTAGTTAATTGATATTTTATCATGACGGGCCTTTCTGGTAGATATGCCGATCACATGCTGATGGCGATACTGCACTTCATCTGGTTTGATCTCCCCAGACACAGCATTGTCTGTTGCGCCTGGGTATATGCATCCTCCGGATGGATTGTGAATTTGTCCACAGTGTGAGACGTCTTGCGGCAGAACGTCTGAGCTTCTTGGTGCTCAAGCTTTCTCGAGGTGGCGGTCCTGGCAAATCATAATGGAAGGATTGAGGTTACTGCCGTTATAGGAATGTATGACAGGTGGTCGTCACATCCCATGACTGTCGTAATTGGTCCAGTCGATCACCGGGTACCACCTGCTATCCCTCAGAGTAACAGCAGAAACGGCAAGATCCAGGCATACGTGCATCTTTGTACTGGCAGACGACTGCAGGAAGGATGTCTGTCCTTCTTTTGGCATTAGTTTGCCACATTGCTATCACCGCAGACCTCGTTCAACCTGGTAGTCGACGGGTATAGATAGGTCGCTCTGACCACCAACAGCACACAGGCATGATACGTATCGGGTCCATCGTGCACTTCATAATCATGCTCTGTCCATTCGCTAAATCGCCCATACTTCTGTTTGTTTTTGCAACGTTTTTCCAAATCGGTCAATCCAGCACTATTAATTCGTCCTCATGCAGTGAATGCGAGGTTATTCGCCGAGACGTTTGTATTATCGGTGGTGGCGCTGCGGGCACTTATGCTGCGATAAATCTACTTCAAGAAGGTTATTCAGTCGTTGTGGTTGAGAAGACTGGTCGTTTGGGTGGCCATACTATCACGTACATCGAGCCGAGCACGGACACGCCGCTTGACTTCGGAGTGACCCTATTTGAAGATTCGCCGGAGACCATAGATTTCTTCTCTCATCTTGAAGTGCCTTTTGCAAAAGCGTCAAATGGTGGCGGATACATGGAACGCATTGACTTTGAGACCGGTGAAGTGGTGGAGCCCTATCCTGGTAATGTCAGCGAGGCTTTGGAACGCTACGGAGACATTCTCCGTCAATATCCCTATCTTTTGGAGGGATGGGACCTCCCAGAGGACATACCCGAGGATCTCCTGATGCCTTTCGGAGAATTCGTGGAACAATACGACCTGGGGGCTGCCGTCGAGCTGATCAGTATCTACAGCCAGGGGGTGCGCAACTGGCTTAACTACCCAACCGTTTATCTGATGAAGTTCGTGTCGTTGGATATGTTAAGAGCGCTGCAGACGGGATTTCTATCCACTGCTCGGCACCATAACTCGGAACTATACGAGGCTGCTCTGGAGGAACTGGGAGACGATGCTCTGCTTCATAGCGTGGTAATGAACGCGTGTCGGGAAGATGACGAACTGCATCGACTGACGGTGGAATCGACGGATGGCACACATTGGATGATCGAGGCCAACACGACTATCTTGGCTGCGCCCCCGACTGGGCATGTGCTGGATGGCCTAGATCTGGATGAATTTGAGTCTTCTCTGTTCAGTCAATTCATCTACGGACACTACTATGCTGGCCTGGTGCGGATAGACGGATGCCCCGAGGGAGTCCAGATTGTGAATCGTGGGTCCAACAGACCTTACTCGCTTCCCCTTCTTCCGTGTATCTTGATGATGTATCCGACCGCAGTACCAGGTGTGATGGCCGTTGGATACGGTAGCGAGGAGCCAATGACGGAGGAACAAGTCAAGGGGGCGATTGTGGAGGATATTCTGGGACTGCGCCGAGCTGGATACGATGTCGGCGACCCGGAATTCCTGGCGTTTGCCGACCATTCCCCCTTCGAAATGTCAGTTGGCCGGAAGGCCATCGAAGACGGATTCTACCACGACTTGAAGAAGCTGCAGGGACACCGCAATACGTACTATGTGGGGGCGACTTTTGAATATCCAGGGTCCTCGGCCATCTGGCGAGCGGTGGATCGACTGCTTCCATCGGTTGTTGAGAGCATTGAGAGGTCACAGAATTCACAGGTGTAGACGCGTGGCAGAAAGAAGAACACAATGTCACGAATCATGGGGCAGATTGTAGCTACAAAGTGTCCTGCTGGAAAATCACAAACCTGCAGATTATTGGTGGATAGCGTATCGCAGCGGCGATCCCTTGCTATTAGGGTACGTGTTGCCGATTGGTGGTTGGCACCAGATATCGGAAGGGATCCGGCGGGGGAAAAGATATGGCACTTGTCTTCAAAGCTCTAAATATCATTCTTAATCATCCCTCTTGGAATCTCGACCCGTGTAGACCTATTATCCTTTGCTAATTCCTCAACTTTGCGACTTATTGTGATGGACACGGTCGCACCCGCTGCAGAGGCGCACGACGCGCCCGAAGAGTCGCCGGTGATCGCCTCCCGCGTGTTACGCAAGGTCGACAGTCGTCTGTTGCCTCTTCTCTTTATTACATACCTGCTTAACTTTATGGATAAAACTATCCTGTCGAGTGCATCTGTATTTGGGTTGATTGAAGATACTGTGCGTGTCTCTTTATTCACCGGTTAGGTAATAATTCACTTATATCCACCAGCATTTGGTCGGCCAGCAGTACAGCTGGGTATCCAGCATCTTCTACTTTGGATATTTCTTCTGGGAATGGGTGCGAACGTAATCCATCTCGATACCTTCATGAGATGAACTGACTCCCCTTCAGCCCACCAACGTTTTGATTCCTCGGGTGCCAGTCGCCAAATACCTTTCGATCAACACCTGGTTCTGGGGCGCCGTGGTAGCCCTCACGGCCGCCTGTACCAACTACGGCGGTCTGTTAACCGTGCGATTCCTTCTCGGGCTTGCAGAGGCCACCATCACACCGGCCTTTATGTTCCTTACCTCGACGTGGTACACCCGCGATGAGATTCCCTTCCGCACGGGCATCTGGTTCTCGGGCAACTCGGTCGGCGGGCTCGTCGCCAGTCTACTCGCCTATGGCATCGGCCACATTGACCATCCCCTGCATCCCTGGATGTGGATGTTCATTATTCTCGGCGTGGCCACCTTTCTCTGGGGTTTTGTGCTTTTCGCCTTCCTCCCGGATAGCATCTCCACAGCCACATTCCTCACTCCCGAGGAACGAGAATTCATGGCGCACCGTGCCGTGATTGCAGGTACCGGTCGGACAGAGAAGACGACATGGAAATGGGCGCAATTCATCGAATGCCTTTGCGACCCCAAGACGTGGCACCTGTTCGCCCTGGCAGTGCTGACCCAGATTCCCAACGGCGGGACACAGAACTTTGGCAACCTCGTCATCAAATCCTTCGGCTTTACATCACTTCAGTCGACACTGATTGTCATCCCTGCCAGTGTGATCAGTGCCGGCACCATCGCCCTCACCGGCTGGCTGGCCAGTCGCTCCCACCATTGGAATTGTCTGCTGATTGTGTGTATCGTCGCACTGTCCATCACCGGCAGTGCCATCATCTATGCTCGTGCTCACCATGTGCCCCTCGGCGCCCAGCTCTTCGGCTACTTTCTGCTATCCACGGGTCCCGGAGCCCTCCCGCTCATTATGTCCCTCTTGCAGGCGAATTACCGTGGTGTCACCAAGAAAATGACCATCACCTCCATGATGTTCATCGCCTACTGCGCGGGAAATATTGCCGGGCCGCAATTCTTCAAGTCGAGTGAGGCCCCGCTCTATCAGACTTCGTTTCGGGCTATCCTCATCTGCTATATTATTTCCGCGGCGTTGGCGGTGTCGTTACGATGTTATCTGCAATGGATTAATCGGAAGCGCGATCGTGAGGAAGGGGTCCAAGGGACGGCGACCCTGGCTGGTGCTGTAGGAGGCAAAGTTGCCAATCAGCGACAGGATGGGAATGATGTGTCGGTGTTGGTGCAGTCGGTCGAGTTGCAGGCGGAGGATTATGAGGATGCGACTGATTGGAATACGGTCGGCTTTCGCTATCGGTTGTAGGTAGAGATATAGCTGTCTCAGCAGATGCAAATGCAGTCAAGACCAATTTCAGGTAATTGAAAGTGTGTGCCACCGAGTATTCCCTTCGCAGGAAGTATGTTTTTTGGCTGAAGTGGTGCTACCGATCAGAAATTTCTTTACCCGAAAACCTCCTCTCGCACCGCCTTTCGTAAACAGCCTGAACATTCATTCACCTTGACTTCATGCTTCCTACACCCCATAACTTTCCTCTGACTGGCGTCTGGCGTCTGTGCTGATCTTCCGTGGTGAGCTCGCTGACTAGCTGCGCCGGGATCTGTTCCGAAGCATTCGGCTGCTCCATTTAGCCTCCAGCCTCGACGAGAACTGAATCAATTGTGCCTGTGCTCGTAAGGGAGCATTCCAAAGCTGAGTGCGGGTTCCAGTTTCCGGCTTTTATCATACCGCCGAAGGATGGTCCAGCAATCAGCTCTCTAATCTAGGAGAGGTACAATCACATCCGTGAATTCGGTGTCCTCATTGCAGGTTAAACTGCGTGATAGCAGTGGCCCAGGGCTTAAACTAAGACTGATGGAGTCTTCGCGGCAGCTTCTACGGAGCGAGCTGTAGTGCCGGCGCAGTCATCGTCAGTAATCAGTAGATGTATACAGACGTATGTTTTGGCAACTTACATATTGTTAATGTAACCTCTTTTCTACCGATGCAAAAACTATGAGCATTCCATACCTAAAAAAATGAAAAGAGAATTGATGAAAATATCAGAGTCAGAATGTCCACCGTTTCATGTCGTTAACTAGTATCGGAAACACTGCGGGTGCTCACCAAACCCAAACACAGTCATGAATGTAAGCAAGTAGAAGAACAGAGGCGTTAGAGAAGGAAACCATATACTCCACAAGAAGAAGCATCAGACTCCCATTATAAGCTTCCTACAAGGTTCAGAAAAAAGATTGCTAGCGAGGACTTGGTAATTATATAGTATATCTATGAATCAATGGTCTAAGAGTAGTGATAAAGCTAAACCCAGTTGTCCATCCTTAGTACGCAGACATCTATCACATTAACCCTTCAAGTTGATAGGCATGATTCTTACCCTACTTAGTATAGATTTCATCCCTTAGGCAACGATGGCAGAGAAAACAGGATTTTTCCAGCTAAGCTGATTGTTCAGCCTGATGACCCTTACTCTGAGCCTGAGTCTACGAAGAAGGCCAAGGGTACACAACCTGCAAGGCAAGCAATGGCTCCAGGCAGCAAGATATCTAGCCATTCAGGCGAAGCATTCGCACTTCCTTCCATTAGTGCCAAGAGTTAGCGTGACAGCATTGCCCCTACGAGGGATGCCGCGAAGCGCTGATAAGCAAATTCGATTGTATTCTACCAAGCAGTCATAAGTCGTCCTATCTGACATCAAATAGCTATAAATCATTGTTCTCCTGGGGTCAGACCCCTTTTATTTTCTCATTCCCTGTTTCATTGTATCATCAGTCATTTATTTCTGTTGAGGTGTGCTGGTGTGCTTTGTTGTCCTTCATCTCTTCATCCATTATAGAGCCACCAATAAAAAGCTCAGCCCGAACAAGAACGAATCACCCACAAGAAATAAGCGAACATTTTTCACACTTGCATGCGTACAGGCTTGTGCCATACACAGCATGGTAGCCAACTTTTCAACGATCGGTGGAAGAGCACCTCAATATCCTCCCGGTTCAGGATGTGCGGAGCGTCTTGCAGGGCGCGGCGGATATTCTCCCGCCCGTACTCAGCCATGTTCTCATAGACCTCCCAGCGGGTCATGTTGCCAAACACCTTCTCCCTGAGCATAGGGGTGAGGGGATGCAGAGGATCATCCAATCGCTCAGAGAGCGAGTTCACCCATTGCTCGTAAGGCACTCCTTCCATCTTGTAGGGAGAAAGCTGATTGAGCAGGTCAAAGCTGGTGTTGATGTCGATAGCGTTGTTAAGGTCAGGCTGCACGAGGTTGTAGGCGTGGCCCAAATTCTCGTGGGTTGTGGAGATATGAAGGATGGAATCGACAACGAAGTCTACAGGGATGAATTCCTTGCGCTGGTTGGGTAGGATGGGATACAGCCCCATGTCCATACAGCTGGTGAAGAGACGGGAGATGAAATCGTCCGGGTTACAGATGCCGGACTTGCTATGGCCCAGGACAAATCCTGGACGGTAAATGGCCACGGGGAAGCCGTTGTCAATGGCATTCCAAACGATCGCCTCCGCCACGTACTGACTTTGAGCATAACCAGTGTCGCTGGGCAGAGCAGCCAAGTGCGGCGCGGGCCGTTCATCCTCTGGCAGCAGCTTGGCGCCCGTAACATATCCAGTTGGACCGTAGGCCGCGATGGTGGACGAGTAGTGCATGGCCTTGGTCCGCCGGTGAGTAGCAAACTCGAGCATGTTCAAGGTCCCGATAGTATTCTCCTGGCGGTGGGAGGAATAAGGAGCGACGTAGCTCACCTTGGCCCCGAGGTGGAAGATCACACTAGACCATGTCGCGAAGTAATCGTACTGCTCCGGAGACAGACCCAGCCGTGGTTGTCCGAAATTGCCTGGCAGGGCGATGACCTTGTCCATGTTTGCGTAGAGACTGTACTTCTCCATGGTCTTCTCGAGACGTGCCCGGGCCGAGGGCTCGTCGTCGGCGCGCACCAAACAGGCCACCTTTTTAACATCAGGCCGCTTCACGAGTGTGGCCAGGAGAAACACACCCACAAAGCCCGTAGCTCCCGTCAGGAAGACCCTGCCTTCATTTTCGTCCTGCCAGTGAGGAATAATGCCTCCGATAGGCCGCAAGTGTTCGCCCAACTTAGAGTCCTGTAGCCAGACCTCCTGTTCAGCCTGAATACTTGAGTCGTCTCCATGAACTTGGATGTTGGTCACAAGCCGCGTCAGACTCTCGAAGCTGGTATTCTCGTAGAGCATTTGGGCGCGCAACGAGATGCCAAATGTTTGATTGATGCGAGCGATCATGGTGGCGGCGATCAAGGACGTTCCACCCATGGCCACGAAGTCGTCGGTTGGACGTAGATGCTCGACAGTGAGACCAAAGACGTCAATCCAGATATACTCCAGCTTAGCAGCGTTGCTGCCAGTGTTGACACTTCCATTGGCTCCATTAGCCCGTGAGCGCTTGAGCTTCTGGTAATACCGTTCTTCCAGAGCCTTCCGGTCCGCTTTGCCGGTGGAGCGAAGGGGCAAGACGTCAATGAGCTCCAAACGGGGAACCATGAGATCTGGTGCTTGCTCCATGTAGGCTTTCATGATGGCGCCATCCGCAACATCAGGTGAGGAAGGAATACAGTAGGCCAGCAGAAACTGGCCACGGCCAACTTCTTCCGGTGTGATCTTCACCACCACAGCAGCACTCACTAGGCCCGTGCCAACTAGGGCCGATTCCAAGGCCTCCAGTTCCACGCGTTGGCCACGAATCTTGATCTGATTGTCTTTCCGTCCGAGGTAGTAGTACACGCCTTTCTCATCTGCACGCATCAAGTCTCCAGTTCGATACATGTGGTGGGGTCCCCGCTCCACCTTCCGGTGCAGTTGCGGAAGAACAACGAAGCTCTTGGCAGTTTTCTGAGCGTCCCCAATATATCCCCCGGCAACACCTACGCCAGATACCACGAGCTCGCCGACTTCACCCGCCTTGACTGTGTTCATATTGTCATCAAGGAGAAACACCTCGACGTCGCCGAATGGCTTTCCCACGGGGATCTCACCCCGGCGGGCCTCGTCTTCCGAGACTTGGTGATACAAAACATATATACTGGCTTCTGTCGGACCATAACCATTGATAATGCGGCCTGGGGCTCCGGCATCGAAGATGGACTGGATTGTCTGGCAGTTGATTGCCTCACCTCCAGTAATAAGGGTGTCCAGAGTCGAGAAAGCATCCGGACAGGCGTAAGCCGTCACGGTGAGCAGAGAGGTTGTGAGTTGCAACACATTGAGTTCTTTCTCTTTGACGAACACGCTAAGAGCAGACGGATCGAGGACAATCTCATGGGGGATGATGACCATGGTTGCTCCGCGCAGCAAGGGACCCCATATCTCCACCAGGGAGGTATCAAAGATGACGTTGGAACCGTGCCCAACACGCTGTCCCTTCCGGATGAGGTCCGCTGAATCCAGGCAAAGATTAATTAGCCCCTCCGCAAACGCCTCGACTGCCTTCGGCTTGCCGGTTGTGCCCGAGGTGTGGAGCACATGAGAGCATGTCTGCGGCCCGTTCTGACTGGGGGCAATGTTTAAATCGAAGGTCTCCGGAACCACGCGATGATCAACCACCAGATGTTTAACGCCCGGTAGTCTATGCTGTTGTACAATATCCGTGATGACGAGGGTCGATCCCAAGTTTTCCAGCATGTCTCTGAGCATCTCGTCTGGGAGCTTGGGGTCCAACGGCACACAAGCCCGGCCCGAGTAGATCACAGCGGCCTGCGACAATACGTGATTCAAACTGCGGGGGGCAATAATGCCGACTGGCGAAGGGTCATCGTGGAGGATACTGTTGACCTGCTCGGCGACGAAGAGGGCCTTCTCGTGAAGTTCGCCGTATGTGACTTCGTACTGGCCTTCTTCAATGGCAATGGCTGTGCCGCGGACCATGGCTTGCCGCTCCAGGAGCTCAGCCAGGCCCAGCCCGGTGTCACATCCATTCTCCAGACGCTCTGAGATAAGTAACGACGGTGACATGGTGGCAAACTAGCTGATAAGCAGCAGCTTAATGCTATTGTGAAGATTGAATGGGATCTGTGGTTGAGCAGTCTCTACCGGCTCGGGGACGTCTCCTCATATACTCTTTCCTCCACGGACAGTGTTGTGTCTCGGGCTTGCTTTCGCCATGCTCCATGACTAAATCTGCGCCCACCGAGGTTGATGTGGTCGTCCAGAGGCATACCATTGGCCTCTCCTGTTACATTCACGACTACTCGATCTGTTGAAGCAGACCTAGACAAGCGAATCCCTTGCCTGTTCCAGCGGCCAATCCCGCTCGCTTATGTGATCGATGATCATAGGAAGACTATGGCATGGACACGCAGGATGTGATGTTCGATAGACATAGGCCCTCACCGTCGCCATCAAGACCGGGGTATATCGAAGCCAGCGCGATTCTCCGAGCCACCGGTCCTCCTTGCTCGTGCGAGGAGGTTGGAATGCCGCAAAACCTGGTCCTGATACCAAGATCCGGCTCCGCGGCGTTTACACAGAATAGGTCTATTCACTTGAGACCCTGCATGTTGAAATGGTCCCGGAAACTTTGAGTCGACATGGGTCAGGTGTATGTGCGACGGCGCGGTGGCCATGTAAGATGGGCCGATGGCGCAAGGTTGAGGGTTATGGTTAATCAGTATGTGGGTTCAAGGTCCACAGAGTTGCTCAAACCTGCCATGGGTTCTGGCGAGCGGCTTTCGGTGCCAACTAGTGCCGCAGCGGTGAATGATGCAGGCTGAAGTTAACGTACAAGGACAGTCCAGAAGAACCCGGCTGGGTCTGGAAGCCACAACTCAGCCCCCCAGCTTCCATGATGCCCCCGGCTTTCTGCACCAACACTGCCGTCTGGACAGGGCAGGCACGTTCCAAATAGGTTGAGATTGGCGCGGGATTGAGGCGATACAAAAGCTTAGAGATCGCCGCGGCGCGTTCCTCAGTCTCTCGCCCACGGTGAGGCGGGGGATGATCTGTCTCTCAATAAATCAGACCCTGTTTCCAGGACCGTCCTTGGGTGTGCATCAGCATTGGCATAAGATGATCCAGAGCAGCTTTGATGGAGATCCAGTGGGTTCTTCAAGCTGCTGTTGCTGTTCCAGAAACGGCCCTTGTGCGTACCGCTTATGTCAGCCTCGTGCAGGACTCCGGCGATAGTCACTAATCAGAATCCGCGCTGCTGCAGGATAAACTAGATAGGATGTCCACTCACGGACTGCATCCTGCAACCAAATGTCCCCCTTTCAAGGCGCAACCGTGGCCCAGTTTCCTGGGTGCGCAGCCTCCAGTCACCCGGCACCCCTCGCGCGGACTCTATCCAGTGACTGGACCTCTAAAAAGGCGCACCACAATCCGTCATAACGCTATGATACATGCTACGGGTCAAATTCCCATCGCTGGCGCTGTCGGCAACAAATAGAAAGGAGAAACCTCGAGGTAAAGGACGACTCATCGTGCCCGGTAGTCGTTGTTCAAGAGCCTATATAAGCCTTTCTTTTACCCCCAACCCCAGTTTCAACGTATTGTAGCGGCGGGCTGGTCCGTAAATCATTTTGATGTAGCGAGCGATCAGCGTGGGGGAGCCTCGTAGACAACTGTAAATTAACCAGATTGACTTGGTTAGCAGCACATAAACAGGGCATACCAGGACTGGCGGGGTGGAGATGGCGCCATGGCCATGGCCAGGCCGCTCGACCTAGGCTTTGCAAGGGAATCGAACCTTCGCATGTATGTAGGTAGCAGTGAGTTGCAGGACATCGTGCATGTCTTACGTAGCACGACCAACATTTTTGGCAGGGTTCGATGGGGTGCCTCTTTGCCGCCTCTTTACCATGAGCTGCTGTTCATATAGCCCGACACGCACCGTAGTATGAGTGAATTATGTCCGGTTCAATTTCCCGGATAATAAAGTTCAATTCGTTTGCCAGTATCCTGCAACGTCTCATCCATCCCACTTGGGGAGCCCCAACTCCAGTGAGTAACCGTCCAGCGCGCCATCCTAAATCATCTGTCATATTCTCTATAATATATACAGAGTACTCGTAGGTTAGTTAGGTATGGGGGGACGCCACATCTCACCGCTGCAATCATTCTGAAGTCGTCACCTGGGCCCTAGTCTGGCTAGATCTCAAATCATGCCATCATGGCAGGAAGGTAGTAACCATTTCAGGAGGAATGTCTGTTCTCTCCGGCGTCGAACCTTCTAGGCGAATGGGGAGTGAGGCAGAGTATTCTTCGCTGAGAGACACAATGTCAGAAGTCATTGCCATCCCTTCCTTCCTTCTTCCCTGATGAGATTCTGGAAGGGGCCAAGAATCCCGCAGAATCCCGTGATATGATTGGCCCAATGTGCATGGGTCTATCTTCCGTCCTTCGATGGATCCATCCATCATTTCTTTCCTCCTTAAAAATAAACATTACCAGAGGAGGGGGGGGGTGTTAATATTTCCGCAGTCATTTCTGCCTCCGCGGTTGGATAACTTTTCAGGGTTCAGGTAGTGAGGGGAAGACTGCGCCATGTAAAATCCGTGGCCTCTGCTGGAACCACCGCCAAGAAGGTGAAACCCCGACCGTGAGTATCACCAGCATCTTTCTTAATGTGATTCCGACAGAAACACCACGTTTCATTCCCAGAGGGGACCCAACAACAAAGTGGATAGTGTCAGATTCAACGGATCCACTCCTCCCACTACAACGGATCCCATCCCCTAAAGAAGCAGCTACGCCGCATCCCCGATCCATTCTTTGGCCTCGCCTTCATTGCTCTTCGCGATCGGGCCAATCGGAGTCTCTCGGATGGGGTGGTTTCCAATGGAAGTGAATGAATTGCCCCCTATCCCTATGCCCAGATACTAGTACTAAGTACGTAGTAGCTAGTAATCCTAAATCGCCCTTTCCCAGGGCCATGGTCCAATCTCGTGTAGATTGACACTGTCGATCGTACTCAGCTGTCTGATGCCTCGTCAGCTGGTCGCTTTGACTTCCATTTTGTGATCCTCTCAGCCGCAATGGAATTGGCACTCTGGTAGTAACACACCACATAAAAGATCTGGTGTTCTCCCCGCTTGACTTGGACCGTTCACTCTTATCATTCATATCATCACATACTACGCACAGACTTGAAACTAGCAATCATGTCGGCTTCCAACAAGGTCCGTGTCGCTGTCACCCAACACGAACCCGTCTGGCTGGATCTGCACGCCACCGTCGATAAAACCTGCCGTTTGATCGCCGAGGCGGCGGGCAATGGCGCCCAGCTAATCGCTTTCCCCGAATGTTGGCTTCCGGGATATCCAGCATGGATCTGGTCAGCATGATCCTTAATCCGAAAGTTATTTCGCGACCGAATATGTACTGACCATTAGGCAGGTGCCGCTCCGTCGATATGGGCCTGTTCACTACTTACCTCAAGAATTCCCTGTCGTATGATTCGGAGCACATGCGCCGCATCTGCAATGCCGCTGCCCAGTACAAGATCACCGTCGTCCTGGGTTTCTCGGAGCGCGACGGCAACTCCCTCTACATCGGCCAGTGCACGATCGATTCCACGGGCAAGATCGTGATGCGTCGGCGCAAGATGAAGCCCACTCACATGGAACGCACCGTGTTCGGCGAATCTTCCGGGCGGAGTCTCCTGAACGTCGTCGATCTGCCAATTGGTAAAGTGGGTGCCCTCTCGTGCTGGGAACACATCCAGCCATTGCTCAAGTATCACACCATGATTCAAGGGGAGGAAATCCATGTCTCCGCCTGGCCAGTTCTACATCCCCATATGGGGGGCGAGTCACTGTGGGGCATGTCGCAGGAAGGTAAGTTTCCATCCATAATCAGCAAGATCTACCGCGGAAAGCTGACATATGTTCCAGGTGGAATGGGTGCATCCCAGGTGTATGCGCTCGAATCGGCGTCATTCGTCTTGCTCGCGACCGCCGTGCTAGGTCCCAGCTGCGTCGAGAAGATGAACTTGTCTCCGCCGTGGGATACCCTGGGAGGAGGCGCGTCTGCCGTCATCGCCCCTGATGGTCGCCGGCTGACGGAGCCATTACCCCCTAATGAGGAAGGATTCATTTACGCAGATGTGGATCTGGATGTAATCTTGTCGTGTCGACATTTTGTGGATGCCTGTGGCCATTATAGCCGTCCCGACCTGTTGTGGCTGGGGGTCGACACGCGCGAGAAAACACCACACCGACCGGAGGGACAGGGAGACAATACCACAAGCAATCTGGATACTCGTTCAGTCCTTGTGGAGGAGGAAAGTACCTGAGGCTATCCCGACTTTCAATGGCCTGCATCGGAGCCCGCCGACATATCCTACCAGATGGTGGTCCCGGCAAACACATTTCTTATTTTAGCCACCCCGACCATGTCTGGAACAAAATTAATACCAATAAAATTATCTAAAATCAATAAGACCATGTTCCATCTGGCGTACGTTTCTTCGAGCAGATCAAGAGTTAGAAGACACTTCGCGGACTCATCAATATTTTCTTCTCATGGTCAGCACCATGTGCAGCCCGGAAGACAACCGGATAAATCTGGGATGAGCTAACATGATGCTGCAGTCCGACTGCTAATGGTCCTGCCGATCAGGGCGCGTCTTCACCCTGTCGAACATCTCTGATTTGTGGAATCCCACCACTCCCTGTAGTTCCGTAGCTGCACTCCTCTGCATTCCTATGCATCGTGTTTTTGCTTCAATGCTACTCATCCACAGTCTCGGGTAAATGCACGGTTATTCTATATATTGTTCATCTCCTACTTGCGAATGACCCGCATGCACCAATGTTCCCCCAACAATGCGTCCCTTCTACTCCGCTTTCGTAGCAGTCATTCCCTTGGTTCTCGGCAACTTCGATGCCTCCCATGTCTCTTGGTATACCACCCCGGCCAACAACTTCACCTCCACCCTCCCCATCGGTAATGGCAGACTGGGCGCCGCCATCTGGGGCACGGCGACCGAGAATGTCACCCTCAATGAGAACTCCATCTGGAGTGGTCCGTTCATCAACCGCGTCAATCCCCGCTCATATGATGCCCTCTGGTCAGTTCGGTCGCTTCTGGCAGAGGGAAACATGACAGAAGGGAATGATGCCACTCTAGCAAATATGGTTGGCATCCCTGATTCGCCGCAGTCGTACAGTGCCCTGGGATCGCTGGTCCTGGATTTTGGACATGACCAGGCCGAGATAAGTAATTACACCAGATACCTAGATTTGAGGACTGGTGCGGCAGTAGTGGAGTACACTTATCGGGCTGTGCAATATCGGTATGTTGCTCTGGTGTGTTTAAGCGGATATTAGCTGATGAAGATAGACGAGAGTATGTGGCCAGCTATCCGGATGGTGTCGTCGTTGTGCGGCTGTCTTCGAGCCAGCCAGGAAGTTTGAACGTGGCTTCTTCGCTGGCTCGTGATCGATATGTCGTTTCCAACAATGCAACCGTCTCGGATGATGGCGGTGTCTTGACGCTGAGGGCTTACTCGAACAACCTTACGAATCCCATTCTCTTTACGACCGAGGCCAAAATCGTCTCTGATGGTCAGTAGTGAAAGAATGTGATCTGCACGTTAGATTTTGACTTGAATAGGGCGCGCTACAACCAATAGTACATATCTAATAGTTCAAAATGCGTCCACAATCGATATATTCATCGACACTGAAACTTCCTATCGCTACACAACTCCCGAAAGGTGGATAGCAGAAATCAAAGCAAAGCTCGACACTGCCTCGAGATCAGGCTTTCTTACCGTTAAGCAAAATGCGATCGCCGATTATTCAGCTCTGGCGCAGCGAGTCGACCTGAACCTGGGCTCCTCTGGCTCAGCGGGCCACCTGCCCACCGACACTCGACTGATAAACTATCGTATTAATCCTAACAGCGACCCTGAGCTAGCTGTCCTCATGTTCCTCTTTGGCCGGCACTCGTTGATCGCCTCGTCGCGCGCCACCGAGTCACCCGCCCTACCGGCCAATCTGCAGGGCCTGTGGAACCAGGACTTCGATCCCGCTTGGGGTGGGCGATTCACCATTGACATCAACCTAGAGATGAATTACTGGCCAGCAGAGGTCACTAACCTGGCTGACACCTTTTCCCCGTTTATAGATCTGCTGGACATCGTGCATGACCGAGGGCTGGATGTAGCTGAAAGCATGTACCACTGCAGCAACGGCGGGTATGTCCTTCACCACAACACCGACCTCTGGGGCGATGCTGCTCCCGTCGATAATGGGACAACCTGGACGATGTGGCCGATGGGCGGGGCATGGCTGTCGGCTAATCTGATGGAGCACTATCGCTTCACACGGGATGAGGGTGTTCTCCGGGACCGCATCTGGCCACTTTTACAGAGTGCTGCGAGGTTCTACTACTGCTATCTCTTCCCGTTTGAGGGCTACTATAGTACCGGACCATCACTGTCCCCGGAGGCCTCCTACATCGTGCCAGATGATATGACCACAGCGGGCAACGAAGAGGGCATAGACATTGCTCCCACGATGGACAATTCCCTGCTCCATGAGCTCTTCCAGGCTGTCACTGAAACATGCGACGTCCTGGGAATCAACAACACAGACTGCACCACCGCTGCAAAGTATCTCTCGAAGATCAAACCACCACAGATCGGCTCCTCCGGTCGGATCCTAGAATGGCGACTGGACTACGAAGAATCCGACCCCGGCCATCGACACATGAGTCCGATCGTCGGTCTGTTCCCTGGCGATCAACTGGCCCCGCTCGTCAACGAAACGCTCGCCACGGCCGCCAAAGCGTTCCTGGATTGGCGCATTGCGCACGGCAGCGGAAGCACCGGCTGGTCGCGCACCTGGACGATGAATCTTTATGCCCGGCTATTTGATGGCGATCAGGTCTGGAACCATACGCAGATCTATCTGCAAAGGTTTCCCAGTCCGAACTTGTGGAACACGGATTCCGGCCCGGATACTGTGTTCCAAATTGATGGGAACTTCGGGTTTACCTCCGGAATTGCGGAGATGTTGCTGCAGAGCTACAAAGTTGTACATTTGCTGCCGGCGCTTCCGGCCGCTGTGCCGACAGGACATGTCTCGGGTTTGGTGGCTAGAGGGAACTTTGTCGTTGATATGGCATGGTTGGGGGGTGTCCTGACGGGGGCGAATATCACCTCGCAGAGTGGCAACACGTTAGATATTCGTGTCCAGGATGGGTTGGATTTTACGGTCAACGGAGAAAGATATACAGGAGGTATACAGACAGATGTTGGGAAGGTGTACACGGTTGTGCCTGTCTAGTGTATATACATTTGTTCTATATACATACACATCTCTCCTCAAGTACAGCTGACCTACTGCCGTACCCCCAACCCAAACATCCTGACACTATTCTCCCACGCTGCACCCGCCACCTCCTGCACTGATATCCCTTTTACCCCCGCAACCACCATCGCTACCCTCTCCATGAAACAGCTCTCGTTACGGTTCTTTACCATCTGCCCCGAGATAAACTTGTTGTGCTTCCTCACCGGTGGCATTTCCCTCGCCTTCTCCAAGAATGGCGCAATCTTATCATCCCCACTCAACACCTCGCACCACGGCGCATCCGTCTCCAACTGCAACTTCTCCAAAGGAATCGCCTTCACCATCTCCAATTGCTCTTCCGTCCGAAAACATACCCCATTCACACTGACATTCAATCCCAGCTCATCGGTTAATTGCCGCATCTCGCTCACAGAGCCAGTAAAGGAATGGACCAGTCCGCCCTTAGGTAACCGGGGTAGATACGGACGGATAATCTCGATGAAATCGGCACAGGATTCCCGAACGTGCAGGAACAACGGGAGTTGAAATTCGACAGCTAGATCGAGTTGATCCTTGAATGCGCGAATCTGCGTCTCCTTGTCGGCGCGGTCGAGGTACTCGTAGTCCAGTCCGATTTCGCCGAATGCTACCAACGGGGAGTTCTCCTCGCGGAGGAGGGTTTGGCCTAGTTCGCGGATCTGGGAGAGATAGGATGCTTCATTGGTGGAGGCGTAAATCTCTTCTGCGTGGTACGGGTGCACGCCTAGTGTTAAAGTGCATGTTTCTAGGTGTTGACGGACGAGTTTCAGGTTGCGGTGGAATCCTTCCAGGTTCATAGTCGTTAACATCATCTTTTCGCAGTTGTAGGCTTTGGCCCGCTGGATGACTTCCCCGAAGTCGCAGGGGTGGTATTGTTTGCCGCGATAGATGCCTTGGAACTGGTCGGCCGTGTAGGTTACCGCTACCTGTTTACTTGTTAGTGGATATGAAGGGCAATGCTGTGTCTGGTTGGGCTTACATCGGCGAAGCGGAGGGGCTTTGTGTCTGTCGCCATTGTTGAGGGAGCGAATGTCTGGTGTTGCTTTATTGGCGGCCTTGAGGTCTAAATGTTGTGATGGAAAGAGCGTACTTCTATGATTCTAATCGCTGATTCAGTATATCTGGGTGTTGAGAGGGTAAGTGTGGAGTGTGGCGCTACCTGCAGCTTGTCTGGGGTAAGGCGTGAAAATTTTCTTGTGAGGTGCTTGGCGCATCCGACGATCTCCAACATGATGCTTCACGCAGCCACTCCTTCCTCTACAAACTAGACGCGTTTCATATGCAATCTTCTTGGAGAATACTTTTCGCCAAGTTTAGGTGTTCTTGGCGTGTAATTAGAGGCAATAGTCCGTCTGCTAACCAAATATATATTTCTGCGGGAACATTGCTGTTCACCCGGCAGTGGAGTTTACTGGCAACAGAAATGGATTCAGCATATTAGGGTAACACAACGAATAATATGCTTTAAAATCATTCTAGCGAGCAGAAGGAAGGAGAGTAGGTACAACTGTCTATCTACGTCTAGAGAGCACTCGACTTCCCTATATTAGTATATTTCTAAGACCCTTCCCCTCAAAGCTTTTCGAGGTGGCGAATCGAGTATGTGTTTGAAGTTTAATCCGCCGAGCTCGTAGGTCAACACCAGGTCAGCAATGATCATGCAATAAGTCTAATGTGAAGCAAGTAGCTCTCCCGAGCTTTGCACCTCGTTATGCGAAAACAATATGCCCATGAATTTGACCATCTCGGCAGCTGCAACCGTCAGACTTTCTTCCTCATTATATCGGGATAAACTCACCTGTAATGCGCTTGACGGTCGTGTCATTCTCATCGACTCCATTAATGCGTGTATACTCCAGGACCAGGTCGACACGCGATCGTCTTGCCTTCTCGTATAAGGCCAACCGAGCCGGGATCTCGTGGACCGGGGTTCCAGTTGGGAGTAGCACCGCTAGGGATACCGCATCTTCGATGGCCATGGCACCTCCTTGACCCATGTCTGTTATAGTTAGCTTATGCGATGACCCTCTTAAGATGATGGACCTACAAGGCTGGAATGGGTGTGCTGCGTCGCCTAGTAAAGCAGAGAATCCTCTCACCCACGATGGGAGAGACTTCATATCGAACAACTCCCAGACCTTGAGATTCTCGTCCGCTGCGTGGACGAGCTCCCTGACTTCGGGACTAAACCCGGAGAATCCAGTGACAAGAGCATTCTTGTTTCCGACCGCTTGCCAGCCTGCGGTAACCGTTAGCGACAATACTCATAATTGAACAATCCGCAAAGGGCATACCTTCAGCGGCATCACCAGCTTCCGCAGTGGGAAGGAAAGCACAAAGATTGAACATCGTATTGTCAGAGCAGGGGTACGCCACAAGTCGGCGATCATCACCAGCCCATTCGATAAACACTCCGGGATCGCGCACAATCTCCTGAGTGGCAGGGAGATGGCGCAACTTGTCTGTCGGGAGAAGCCACCGGAAACACGACTTACCAGCCGGGAATGGAGGAGGCGGCGTCTGTCCGATCACCTCACGGACGACGGACTATATATGGTAAGTCGACACTCAATGAATAACAAGTGGATTTACATACGCGCAGACCGTCAGCCCCAAGAAGAAGATCCGCTTCATGTCTCTCGCCGTTGTCGAGAGTCACGGAAGGGCGCGGGCTGTCAACATCGATATTGACGATCTTGCAGCCCATGTGGAGAGTGGCTGTCTGGATGGCGCGCTGCTTGAGGTAGTTGTGCAGGTCGACTCGGTGGACCAGATACCATTCCTGGATTTTTGGTGAGAATTATCCCAAGTCTCATATGGAGGACATACTGCTTGCCATTTCTGCCGGATTTCGGCAAAGTCTTTCAGGTACTTCAAATTTCCGAAATGGTCATAACGGTGAATCTATACCGTCAGTAGCTGTGCAGATATCAAGCACCGCCAGGTATACCTGTTCCAATAAGGTGCCACCAAATTCTTTGGGGTCAATGCCCAGCCAGTTCAGCAAAGCAGTGCAATTGGGAGGCACATGGATGGCGGCGCCCGTCTCCCGGGCGAATGAGGATTTTTCGATGATCTGCAGTCCTCAGTATATCTTTCAGGAGTCGATGCATGTATAGATTTAGTTGACGTACCACAACTTGATGGCCCTGCTGGCCCAAAGCAATGGCGGCCGTCAACCCCGCAATGCCGGCACCGACGATGAGGACCTGCAGCGGTCGGGATTCCTGAGAGATGGTCATTGGATAGATACAATGTTTTAGTGTGGTGCTAGATTCCTGATAGAAATGGTAGTTCCATCCCTGCTTCCTGAACAGCTTTTAATGCAAGGTGAAGACATCCCCATCAGGTCGGAGATGAGGACTCGGGGAATTGCTCGGAGATACGGTATCCGGCGGAATCTGCTATTCTGTCCTATCCTATAAAGCTCGAGAGGCCAAATAGAACCCTATGCTCTCCACCGTTAAATCGCTCGTTCCATGGTTGCTCCACCGGGCCGCCGATCTTTCCTCGATGCCGCAGTGAATCCATGGATCCGTCGCTGTCCAAAGTATTGCCCCCGCCACGCGGCTCATTCTTTTTCCTGCCACAGGGACCCTTTGGGGTGGTCTGATCCAGTGCAGGGCTTCGATTGGTATTCAAATCAGAGGCAATGCCGAAATATTCTCTAACTATGCAGTGCATGTGCACTGAACCAGGGTGAAAGTTTCGTTGCGGGAACAGGGTCCGACCCTCGTTCATGCTCCTCAACATTTCACTATCGGTTCCAATTCTACAGGACAGGAAAATGTTGTCTCATCTCTCGTACTTGCCTAGAGGGTAGAATCTTTAGCACAGCCAGTGAAACTGTCTATCATTCAGAGTAATACAAAACGGTGAAGCAGTGCTTTACATTCCACTTTGAAGTATTCCGAATCCGCCAGCCACCGTAAAACTCGAGCATACAAAACATATCGTGAACTAAGACTTAGTATCCTCAACATGAGTCGAACCACCCCTCTCGGCATCTGCCTCCTGTGCCTTGAAATCGGTTTTATCGATCACTTCCATCTCTGCATGTGTTGCCGGGACGGTAGCATTTGGATCCTCCCGGTCCCAGCTCTTGTTCAAGCTGTTCAGCGGCATGAGCGTCAGAGTCAAAACCAAGCAGAAGATAACCTAATCGCATTACAATTAGCAAATCTCAATCCAAGATGTATGTAGTAACCGTGTATACTTACAATTCCCACGAGGATCATTTGCGTCTTCGCATAATCCGGTGACCCGTCAGCAGTCGGGAACCGCTCTCCCAGCGACGTTTCGATCGTGGGTGCGATCGACGAGACCGCATTGCCGATGTTGTACGCCACACCAGTAAAGGCAGCTCTAATGCCAGGATGAGGGCACAACTGCTGCAACAAGTTTCCCAAGTTACCGATCGCAGCACCGTAGAAGAATTGCAAGAAGAAGGCTCCCAGAGCGAGAAGTCCCCATCTCGTTGGCAGCGTCCATAGTGGTAACCACGGAGCGATAAGCAGTCCTGCGATCGCTGCCACCCATTTGGCGCTCACTTTGTGCGAAAGGAACCCACCGACCACGCCGCCCAGGATACCTCCGATCTGCAGAATACAGGTTACCCATGTCTCTTGTAGAATGTTCAGCTTGCGTTGGCTGACGAGGAAGGTCGGGTAGAGATCCATGGTGCCGTGGCCCATGGTAGCCAGACAGGAGGTCAGACAGCAGGCGTAGATGAAGGCCTTGTAGTGATACCGTAGCACGTAGGCGAGCTTCTTATGGAATGGAAGATTTCCTCCCACAGCTGCGCGGGTGTCATGAACCGGTCCGTTGGCGTGTTCTTCGTCTTGAGTGGCCGGAGAGGCAACGCTATAATATGGGGTCACCGCGTGAAGAATGGCGATAGGGACTGTCAAGCCGGCGCAAAGCCAGAAAAGAGAGCGCCAACCGTAGCCATCTTTCGAAATGGTGAGTAGTGATCGAAGGAAGGGGAAACTGTAAGCTTACTCATAGCCAGATGCAAGCCCGATGCAAAGAGATAGCCGGACGAGAAGCCTTGCTGTGTGAAGCCGGCCACCACACCACGGGACTTTTCCGGCACTGCTTCCAGCACTGTCGCCATGGCCAACCCATATGTTCCACCGTAGGCAACCCCTGGGGAAGTTAGCACTGTCACTGTCAAACCTTTCAGTGTTCATCTGCAACACCCACCAAAGAGGAACCGGAATCCGATCAGCTGGGGAAAGGTCTGCGAGAAGCCCGTGGCGACAGTGAAGCCGCACATGAGTATAAGGTCAATGAGCATGGGAATCTTCCGCCCGTACTGATCAGACAGGATACCAAAGATTACTGCTCCCACAGCACGAGACAGCATAGTAGTGGTATTGGCTTCTGACACATTGGTCTCAGCAACGTCAAGAGCTTCCGCCACGGTGCTGAGAGTAAACGGAAGGGCATAGTATTGTAGAGAGCCCAGGGTCCAGCACGCCCAACAAGCCAGCCAGATTAACGCCTGGACAGGCTTCATGTGCAGCGTGGAGCCGATCTCCCTGGGGAGAGCGGCGAGGGTGGCAAGGATATTCATGATGAAAGTGGACAGAGAAATTGAGGGAGTGGTCGAGGACAGAATCGAAACCTCCCTCGAGCGAGGCAACGTTTATACCTCAATCTGGGACACCATACTTGGCATCATCTTGGCATATGGGGAACCCTAGATGTGCGGGGGAAGACGCAATAGAAAGGGTCTAGCAGCTGGTTGGGTTTTGACCTTAGCGAGGTGGGTTTGACATGTATCTCCCCTCATCGTTCGCCAATCGCCAGCTTCAGGCGCTCACCGAACCGGTTGCACAGTAAGATTGCGGCATAACTGTGCAGACACCATGACGGTCGTCCAGCAGATCTAGTGATGCAAGTCGGCTGTGAAAGCTTTGACCGATCGGAAATATCTGAGCCCCCATCGGTGTTCCTGCTCTTCGCCGATATCGAGCCCTAGATGCTTGATATCAACCAACCGATTCCCCTTCGTCCTTGATGACAGTCTTACTGTATCGCGCTATCATGACCACTAATTTGTCGCCACCACGACGTGGTCTGATCAAATGCCGATCCCCCAGTTCTCCAGGTTCCATCCACAAGGATAATCCCAAGAAGCAGGCGTCCTGCGGGGGTTGGTTGTCCTTGGGATCCAACAGAATGGCACGACGGACAACGATAGTCCGCACGACGGCTGCGGCGCCGGTCCGGGACGGGCAGATGGAGCATCAAGCTCCAACCAATGAAGCATCCATGCGAAGTCAGCTGGTAGCAACATATATGTCGGTCGTGCATGCATATCTCGCTTGGGATGGACTGTCGCTTCTTCATTCCAGCTTAGGCTGCCCAGAATCACCGCAAGTTGAGCTCGCGCCTGCCTCCGAGTTGATAAGACTTATTCCGACCATCTGTCTGGTCTGATCACTCTCCCCACTCTCTCACAATGGCCGACCTCGTCCCCGAAAACGCGTGGGATACTCACATTCATGTCTTTGATCCCAAGAAATTTCCCTATGCCGTGCCACGCTCGTATACGCCCCAGGCCGCCCAGATGGCTGAGTATCCGACGGTCATCACGGGCTGCAGGAACATTGTGATCGTTCACGCCTCCATGCAAGGGGTCTCACCGGCACCGTTGATTGATACCCTTTCCAAACAGCAAGAAATGCCCGGCTACACTCTTCGGGGCTTGGCAACCATCGACCCTTTCACCGTCACCGATGAACAGCTGGACGCGTTACATGCCGCTGGAGTGCGCGGAGCGCGCTTGCACGAGATGGCCTGGGGCCACGGCAAACAGAGCGGCGGCAGCGACATCATCAAGAAGGTGGAAGCTCTGGCCCACCGGCTGGCCCGGTTGGGATGGGCTATTGGCATCTTCTGCCCTGTCAGTGCCTGGGCTGCCATGGCGGAGACGATCCGCAACATGGATCCTCGGATCCAGATGGTGGCTGATCATTTTGGGGGCACGTTTCCTGGGGAGGAGAACTCTGCTGAGTTTGCCACGTTCCTGGACCTGATCCGGGAAAAGCGAGTCTGGGTGAAGGTCTCAGGCTTCGAGCGACTGTACCACGGTCACGAAAGTGGCATGAAGGCCATCGAGCCCATCGCGAAGGCAGTGATCCAGGCCGGTCCGGATCGCATCATCTTCGGCACGGATTGGCCTCATACGCAGTTAGGAGTGACACGCAAAGGCAAGACTGACCAGCAGCGGTTGGAAGAGGTGGAGGGATTCCGGGAGGTCGACGATGCCGGGCATATCCGGACATTGCGTGAATGGATCCCCGATGAGGAAACCTGGCAGAACCTGTGGGTCAACAACCCAGCCAGACTGTTTCAGTAGTTCATGGCTTGAACTTCCCCGATGACGTCTTTTTATGTCGATACGAAAAACCATTGCGTGCTTTGCTCTTATCTCTTTATCTCCTACGAATCCGATCGCCGTAAAGCTATGAAGCTTGGATGAAGTACTACTTAAACTACGTAGGATAAAGCATCTACAGTCTTCCAGGAGAAAATGGCAAATTTTATGGTAATCTTCATATGTAGAATTAATGACACTATAGGGTTAAACGTACGTCCGAGCACTGATAATGAGATAAAGTCACATCTGGTTTCTAATCGCCGGATCGCCGATCCGAGCCCGCGGGGTGGAATAGCCATGGATAGCCGGACTGCGGGGACGGGCCTTTATTATAAATCCAAATTGCCAGCTTCCACATCAACCAGCACAGTCCATGCAAACAATCTTACAACCACGGAGCCACGATGTCTGATAAGTCCAATCTTCTCATGTTCGGTGCCACTGGCACCATTGGCAAGTATATCATCGAAGCGATTGTCAACGCCCGGGATTCCTTCGGTCGCATCGCTATCTTCACTAGCCCCAACACCGTCAGTAGCAAGGCCGACGAGCTCAATGCCCTGCGTCAGAAGGGAGTCGACATCTTGATTGGTGATGTTGGCAATCGTGAGGATGTGCTCAAGGCATACGCAGGTACATTACTGTCGCAATCCACCCTTCCATTACATATGCGCCTTAATCTAATCGACTACACCAGGGGTGGACACCGTCATCTCCGCGCTCGGTCGCGGAGCCATCGCAGCTCAAATTCCTCTGATCCAATTGGCCAACGAAACCCCCAATATCAAGCGTTTCCTGCCTTCTGAATATGGCACGGATATTGAATACAGCCCCGCCTCACAGCACGAGAAGCCCCACCAACAAAAGCTGAAAGTCCGCGCAGCTCTTAGAGAGGTCCGCAGCACCCTGGAGTACGCCTACGTGGTAACTGGACCCTACGCCGATTTCCCCTTTTTCTTGGGTCGGTCAAGCAATTTCAAGGCAGGCAGTTTCGATGTGTTGGCTAAGAAAGCTGTCATCGTGGGTAATGAACATGGGAAAATCAGTGTCACAGCGCGGATAGAGTATGGTGACCCCTGGGCTGCTATTTATCTTCCTGATTCGAGATAGCTAATGAAATATAGCGTTGGTAAGTTTGTCGTGTATGCCCTCACCCATTGGGAGGCCGCTCGCAATCGCGCACTCAAAGTCAACTCATTCACCACCACGCCGGCCGATGCTTTGGCCGAGTTTGAACGCCAGACCGGTACCAAGTGGAGCGTCGAGTATACCTCACTAGATGAGCTGCGGGCTTTGGAGAAGGAGGCGTGGGAAAAGGAGGACCCCGTGGCTACGGTCTACACACTTCGGCGCATCTGGGCCGAGGGAGGCACACTGTATGAGCGCCGGGATAACGAAGATATTGGCGTGACGGAGACGAGAGGCCTGCAAGAGTTGGTGACTGACTCTATCCGAGCACAAATCGAGGGGGTCCCAGCCAAGCATTGAGTTATGGCCAGACATACGATTTCCATAAGATTTATCTTTTGTATCCCACCTGCTCCCATGCCAGATAGTCCTTGGTCATTCGTTTGCCTTCCGATTAACAACGGGTGGGCATATTGCGGGAAATAGCTCCTGAGCAGTAGATAATACTCCCCTAAGTAGAACCGACCGGGTCAAGCCGAATAATACCGGTGGGCGAACCCATTAGCAGGGCTGAAACTTCGTTGATGGCGCCAGGGCATTCCTTGGCAGCCTTGGGACTTCACGCGCACTGGCCGAGTCGCAGATTGCCTGGCGTCGTAGGAAGTACCTCACATCCATGTCAGATAAAATGCCCTCCTTGTTGATACACGACCTGCATCATCCACCAACTGGTTCTTGATCGAGTCAAAACACAACAACCCGCACATCAACACGCGGATTTCAGAACCCTGTGTGTATATACCTCCGAGACCCTGCCTGGTGATCATCCGAGGGATTGTTTGAGACGAATTTTGGTTCTTGGCATTTCCTAGCAGTGGCAAACGTGTCTTGCCGCATTCGATTGGATATTGAGACGGTATCGGGGATGTGGGGGGACGCTTCGATGGGAGAGAAAGATGCAGTTATTTTTTCTTCCACACCTCTAGCCAAGTCTCCAGCAAAGTTAGGGATCACGGAGGTGGGGGCAAGAAAGTATCTGGCTATGGTGAGGCCCAATCAGCAGCGTACCAAGAATGCTTAAAGTCCGTATTTGTGGCTTGGTATAGTGTTGGTGTGATGACACTCATTCTGGGTAGCCGGGAGTTGTGTTGTATCCATTGTGACAACCTCACACTCCCACGGCATCCATTGAAACTGCCATATTGCACAGCTTGGCCGTCAATAGCTAGCGACCTCATGGACGCCTTTTCATTGTCGTACAAAGGACTGCCGCGACCCCTCTAACGGAAGATAACCCTCCGTGCAGCTTCTCCCGTACGCAGGCAATACTGGTGCGAGCTGCATAGAGACGCAATATGACCGCAGTGCTACCTCCGGTGTGACCTCCTCGCCCCGATGTCTCAAGCGACGGGGGATCTGACCGTCTGGCGAGTGGGGATGATCGTGGATCGGGGTTGAAATGTTGTGATCAGTTGATATCCCGGGTGTTTACGGACCGAAATGCTCCGTTAGTCTAGTCTAGAACAGGCTAGCATTGTATGGGCGTCGTCCTCGTGACTAACTGGCCAATGAGAGTGTCCTTTGGGTTATTACTCAGCGGGACATCCCCTCGTCCCAAAGAGGAAGGACAGTGACTAAGTGACAACCCTCAGTTCGACTTCAACATTTACCCCCTGTTGAGTATACAATCCGGGGATATCCAATCCCATTCCTCGATAGACGTCCAAGCTCTGTATCTCGGGAATTACCTCGCTTAATTCCCTCCCCTGCACGGTCTTCCCCGCAGATGTCAGATCGGTCACTGCGTCATGCTGGCTGTGCCCCCAACTAGCTCCTCTTGGCTGCCCCAGATTATCGGCTCCCTACTGTCTCTGAATTAGCCCGTCCTGGCCACGCTGCCTTACTGTCCGTAACCCCCTCTCGTTTCCTTCTGACTGCTTTTTCTCCGAGCAACGTCGGCCATGTGCGGAAATGAGTCCCAAGCGCCAGTCTTCTCCGACCACCCCTCGGGCCTGTCAATTCTGTCGCGTCCGCAAGATCCGTTGTGACAACCAGAAACCCACCTGTAGCTCCTGTCAGCGTCATGATCGACAGTGTGTCTATGTGGTCGACCCACCCCGTCAGAGGTAGGTGTTCATCCCACCTGGATGCCTCTCGCCATCCATGGCTGCAATTATCTTGCCACGCATGCGCTGACGCTGCTGCCCCAGGCCGTCGCGAGCCCTCATCAATGCCGCTCACCGCCAGAGGCGTGCAGCGGAAAATGTGATCATTGCTCTGAAAAAGGCTGATCCGGTTGCTCGAGCTGCTATCCTGGATTCTATCCATGTCAAGGACGGCGTCCTGCAATTGCCGGCATCATTGGCCGGCCTCGGTGCCAATATCAACGACATTCCGGTCTCCCAACCAACCCAAGCCTCGGACAATAGCTCAAATGTGTACAGTACGCCCAATGACGAATTGAATGATAGTAGCTCCGAAGACGAGGACTACGATCCCACCACCTTTCTCTCCCGCGATGAATGCGGCACCGTCGGCATCTTTGGCCCGTCGTCGGCATTGCATGCCCGGAGCCCCCTAGGCCTAGCCAACAGTGCCAACTCACGACCTGCCGCAGAGCCAGATCGATACCAGCTTATTGCCGAGGCTGCCCTCCAGCGCCAACGTGAACCTGATCTGCGACGTTTGCCGACCATTGGAGGGATACCGTCCGAGTTGGCTCTGCATCTGCTCGATCTGCACTGGAACCGGCAGCATCACACATTTCTGCTGACTTATCGCCCCGCCTTCATGCGTGATCTCGTCACTGGCGGCCCTTACTGCTCAGACTTTCTGCTTAACGCCGTCTTCGCTTGTTCGAGCAAGTTCTCGACTCGTGTTGAGGTGCGGGAAGATCCGCAACGGCCCGAATCGGCTGGGAAACGGTTCTTCGACCGCTGTGATCAATTGCTGGCAGAACAATTGCTCTTGACCCATTCGAGCATCCCGACCATTGCCGGTTTGATCATGCTTGGTAGTACCTTCAATGCCCGGGGACAGACTTCCAAAGGCTGGCTCTATACGGGATTCGCCCTGCGCATGGTATACGACCTTGGTCTGCATCTGGATTGCAAGGAGGTTGCTGCCAGTGCGGAGGATATCGAGGTTCGGCGGCGCGTCTTTTGGGCGGCCTTCATTTGTGATAAACTCCAGAGTTTGTACTTTGGACGTCCCTTCACGATTCAGCTACGTGATGCGCATGTGTCGCGAGACTTTATGGATACCTTTGAAGAGAACGAGTTGTGGATGCCATACATCGATCCCCTGAAACCAGACAGTACTGCTCGTTCACACGTCCCCACGCGCATCTACTCCGTGACCGTTTTTCAGCAACTATGTTCCCTGTCCAAGATTATGACCAGCATTATAGACCGCTTTTACATGGCTGGTGCCACTGGAAGCAAGACTCGCAAGCATCTGGAACTGATTGACCGTCGTCTGGAATCTTGGTATCGTAAATTGCCGACAGAGCTGCGATTTGAGCCCTGGGCAGATGATGGCCAGACGCCGCACGCCACTGTAGCACCCAATGTCATTATCTTGCTAACTACCTACAACGCCCTCATTATCTTACTCCATCGTCCGTTCATGGGTAGCGGGCATCTGCGCTCCGATGACCCACCCGCGGACTCCTGGGAGCGTTGTGTCACAGCTGCTCGCAACATCACAAGCTTGGCGCTGGCCTATCGATCAGCCTACTCGCTACGTCGAGCCAACTACATGCTAAGCTACGCGGTCTATGTAGCCTGCACCATCCATGCGCGCAATCCAGCTATTCGGGAAAGCACACGTCGAAAAGAGGCATCATCCCCGCTAACCGTGTGTCTGCGTTGTCTGGACGAGCTGGCCATCCCTAACTGTGGCGTGTCGGCGCCATCGAAGATTATTCGCCGGCTCATGGAGGCCAACGGCATGTCCATCCACACTGGTAAGCACTGCATAGGCTTCAAAAAGCCCCAAAGCCACTAACAAAGTTTAGGATGTGACCCGGCTATTCAAGACCCATTCCAGGTAGACATCAACTTAGACTTTCAGACCTTCCCGGGTCTGGATTTTAGCCCTGCGCGACTGGATCATGCCAATCAGATCTCTGGCTTCCAGGACTTCAACCAAGACCTGGACCTGTTGTTCGGGTTCATGAACGAGCCCGACGTGTCCATATCCTCCATGTTCACCGGGGTTGTACCCTATTAGCGACGTGCACATAGACCACATTTCAGAATAGAAAGTCGGGGATATCAACCCGATGTTCAATAGAACCCATAAAATACATCACATCATCAAAACATCACATCGTAGCTCAGTTGACTCACTCCAAAACACTTGGATCCTCCTTAACCGCCTGGTCATAATACGGCTGAAACGCTAACCACATCTTACTCGAGTTCCCACTCTTCCTATGCGTCATCTCCGCCTCCTCTTTGTTGATGTAGACCTTCTCCCACCCCGGTCCGGCCGCCGCATTGGCCATCATCTGCGCATGACAGCACCGATCGAGGGCAATAAACAGGAACGCTGCTTCATCAACCGTCTTACCGCAGGTGATCATACCGTGGTTCTGCAAAATTACACTGCGGCAGGTTGGACCGAGGGCCTTGGCAATGCGAGCCCCTTCTTCAGTGGAGAGCACGGTGCCTCCGTAGCGAGGGTACACGGCCAGATCATTGTAGAAACGCAGGGCATCCTGGTAGAGCATTTCAATGGGCCGCGCAAAGCAGGAGAATGCCTTTCCGTAGACGGAGTGTGCGTGGCATGCGGCGTTCAGGTCCGGGCGTGCTTTGTGGATTTCACTGTGGATGGCGAATGCGGGGCCATTGATGGGATGCTGGGCGCCTCCGGGGAGAACTTCGCCGTTCTCGTTGACGAGGACGAGGTCGGAAACTTTGATCATGGAAAAGTGCATGCTGAGTGGGTTGATCCAAAAGTGGTCTATTGTAGGCTTTGTTAGTGGGTCGTTTGTTGCAGAGGGAAACACAGTCACTGACGAGGATTCAGGGGGTCGCGTAGCGAAATGTGTCCAGCCACTCCCTCGTCAAACCCTTGCCGAGCAAAGACACGGAAGGCTACGGCCAAATGCTGTTTCTGGTATGCCCGCTCATCTTTGATATTGTCGAAAGTCGGGGGCGAGCGGATCACAACCTTGCCCTCTTTGTCGCCTAGGAAGTGCACATCGTCGAAGAACTTGTTGGTCGAAGCTGATCCATTGCTGTGACCATTCTGAGGGGCGGATTCAGTGACGGTGGTTGTGGCCATCGTTGAGGTCAACTTGTCAGTACCTTCGGATTATATATATAGTCTTATAGAGGAGGTGGTGTAGACAAACGGGGTTAGTCGAAAAGAGGTAGGACCAGGATTAAATGCTTAGACAAGTCGATCGATTGACCCCGAGATTGGCGTATTTTATACCCTACCCACGTGCATGTTTCCAGAAAGCAAGAATCTCCGTGTTAGCGGTCATTGCACTCGGTGAGCCAGTCGGAGCGGTATATCCAGCGACGGAGGGTTGTTCTCCGTCGGACGGAGGTGTAGATCCGCCTCGGAAAGTGGCAAGTAATGGTCCATTTTCAACTCGACAAACTGTTTGTCTTGTCCCCGCAGGTGATGTCAGCGGGGATGCGTTCGATCCATCGTGTGCGCCATTATCATTATTATTTCTTCCTCGCGCTGGTCGTGTAGTGTGTCTATCAAAATTGCTTTTGCCCCTTTACACAGCATCTCTACATCACAGCGCAATCGTCAACATGAAGGCAGTTGGGGTAAAAAACGGCAAAGGCAATGCCGATGCTCTCTTCATCGAAGATGGTGTGCCTGATCCTGTTCCGACGGGCAATCGCATCCTGGTTCGCATTAAGGCATTCGGTCTCAATCGCATGGACATAATGCAAAGAGAGGATCGCTATCCATACCCTTTATTGCCCGAATCGGGGAAGATCATGGGAGTGGAGTTTAGTGGAATTGTAGAAGAGAAGGGACCAGATTGTGAGCTAGTACATTCATCATTGCGAGAGCATTAGTTGACAGTCACAGGCTCCGGGGATTTCCAAGTGGGAGACAAGGTGTTCGGTCTTGCATACGGGGGTGCCGTAGGTGACTGTTCACACCGTTCATAAAATTGCAATTGACACGATATAGTATGCACAAAAGATAGCTGTGTCGGAGAAGATGCTCATGCATCTTCCTTCTACACTGAGTTTTGAAGAAGCTGCTGGTATCCCGGAGGTAGGATTAATTATCCTCACTGCATTCACTTCCACCCAACTGACCAGACAGACCTCTTTCACAGCTATCCAGGCCATTCACCTAGTCGGTAACCTTCAACCTGGCCAGTCGGTGCTCATCCACGCTGGTGCCTCTGGAGTCGGTCAATCTGCTATCCAGATCGCCAAAGTCGGCGGAGCATCGAAGATCTTCACGACTGCTGGGAGTGACGAGAAGTGTGATTTGTGTCGCTCTCTTGGAGCGGATTTTGCGGTCAATTATCGCTCCGGAGAGGACTTCTCAGAAGTGGTCAAGCGGGAGACAAATGGACGCGGGGTGGACCTGATCGTGGATCTCGTAGGACGGGATTATTTTCACCGGAACATGGCCTCGGCAGCCATGGATTCTCGCATGGTCCTAGTTGCAGCTTTAAGCGGGAGCAAGGTGGATGATTTCGATCTGCGTGCATTGCTCAACAAGCGAATCTGGCTGATGGCTACAACATTGAGAACGAGAGCCGCTGATTATCAAGGACAGTTGCGTGATCTGTTCTCTGAGAAGATTCTACCCCATATCAAGTCAGGCGAGGTGAAGACGACGGTGGATAAACTGTTTCCATGGACTCAAGTATCGGATGCCCATAAGCGCTTGGAGTCAAATGTCAACGCTGGGAAGATTATCTGTCTGGTAAATGACGACTGAATAGATCTCACGTATAGCTTACAGATATGGTTAGATAGGTGATGTGTATATAACTGCCCGTTGTACTCATGACACAATTACATAGAAACGGTAGCTGAGAGCGACACAAACTCTGAACTGGATGTTAAGCTAGAAATGGAGATGAAGAGACTTAAAGGAAACTGCAAACTGTACGCAAAGACCGCTGGCAGAAGCATAGCCTCATTACTAATCAAAATTTGACCACAAATCGACCGTCGGCCTCTCCTCTCTCGAGTGCCTGCAGACACGCCCCGATGGCCTCCAATCGCACCTTAACAATCATAGGTTTGACTCGACCATCGCGTACATACTGCAGTGCTTCGCGCGTATCCTCCATCGTTCCTGTGCTACTGCCAGTAAGGCGTACGCCACGAGCCACGAAATATTCAGGACCGATAGGGAAGTGCATCTTGTTTGGTGCTGGAAGGATATCAGTACATGTGGTAGCAGGGATGCCTCACGTAGCTTACTGATCCCAATGCAGACTATGATTCCCATTTTCCGGACGTATTTCAGGGCCTGTTCATAAGCCCTACTACTAGAGCTAACCACAATTACTCCATGAGGACCTCCATCAGTAACACGGATGACATCTGCTGTGAGATCCTGCAAAACGTCCGTCAGCCACATTCTGCCTAGGCCAGCAGTCTGCGTACTGGTGTCTCCATGAAATCAATGTATGAAGTGACCCCCAATTTGCAAGACAACTCCCGTTTACTTGGGCCTGTGTCAATTCCAAGAACCCGCAGCCCGCTCGCTTTGGCGTATTGTATTGCCCTGGTTGGAGGTTAGCGTTCATGAATCCATGGGATCATGTCTGAAGGACATCTCACAAATGGCCCAGCCCGCCTCCAGCTCCAATGATTGCTATCCACTGCCCAGAAGTGAGGCCGGTAGTACGAATAGCTCTATATGCCGTTGTGCCTCAAATTCCCGCTATTAGTTAGCATCAACACGCTCGCATGGGGTCTTCCCCTCATACCAGCACACAAGGTCGGCGCGGCTTCAGTTGCAGAGATATCTTCAGGAATGCGCATGAGATACTTCGAATTGACGATTGTGTATTCTTGCATGTTTCAGTTAGGGTCAGAACTTGGGGTCTGGGTTGGTGATGAGATAATACCTCACCAGCATCCCTCAACATCTTTTCCACTAAGCTTTCTCGAGTCGCATAGCTGCTCGTTCCCTTCCTGGCACATCTCGCAATTTCGGCAGACATCAAAAATCCATCGATGAGCGACTCGGTCTCCCAAGCGCCACTCTAAAGTATCTACATCCGGCCCGAGAGCAACAATACGCCCAACACCCTCATGACCACAGACGTCGACCTCCCGTTGAAGGTAAGGAATACTCCGTCTCACGAGATGTAAGTCTGTCGCGCAGATACCGGTCGCTTCAATCAATACCACAACCTCCGAGTCATTTGGTGTTGGCACGGGGCGCTCTTCAACTTCGACATGTTGGGTATCAATACATACAGCCACTTTGCCAGTAGAGGGAATATCAGTACTCATGTTGGATACTCCTATGTGTGTCAAGTCAGCGTTCACCTTTGTTTGGCAAGATATCGATGTCAAACAACCCCTTTCTGAAGCCGACCCTCGGGTTGTGAACCGTTCTTAAGGGTTGTAGGGAAGCAGCCATCCGCCTGATATGGAGCCGAGGAGTGCGGGGTCTCCGCAACTACTGGAGTATTTCAGGTATAGTATTCGGGGACAAGTGATCGACAGTCAATCAGGTTGCGAGCTTCGATTGTGACAGCCGGTAGCAAGGTGGGGTGAAGACAATGCATCGAAATCTATGACCGTACATTGTATTATTCAAGTTATGGGAAGCATATTGTCAGTTGCCTTCACTACCTGGCCATATCCGGATATACTGCTTGGACCAAACCTGCGCACCGAGCCTATCTTGGTCATGCAGTGGTCTACCGAACGAGAAGTATGCTTTGTTCTTCAATCTAAGGATAATCCTTTGAACATATGAGGATGAAACGGTAGTTCGCGTATTTCATAACTTAAGCCCATCGGCATGTCCTCTACATTGTAGCACAGCTTCTCTGAAACGTGGCTCTGCAGTGGCCTCTTCCATCTTTTCAGCATCGTGGCTGAACAACCATTCTCGGCGAAGCTCGTATCCCCAGAAGATTGGACTAGACGGACTGTCCTGTCGCATAAGCTCATCTCGCCAGCACTGCTCCTCACCGTCATCAATATGTAAGATGTATTGGTGCTCTCGCGTCTTAGACTGAATCAAAGACGCTCTAGGGTTGCGGATACGCTCATAACGCTTTAAAGCAGTCGTGATATCGGTATCCTCGGCCAGAGCCCTGCGAATTGTGGCAGCATCCTCAGCTGCCTGAGCAGCTCCTTGCGCCAGATACGGTAGCATGGGATGGCAAGAATCTCCCAAGAGGCAAGCCTTGCCTGACGGATGGGTCCACGTGGAAAGGGCCGGAAGGTCGCATAATCGCCACTTCATAAAGGACTTTGTCAGACGACATAACTTCTGCACCCGGGGCTCCCATCCGGAAAATCGCGCGCAAAGCTCCTCGTTATCACCCTCTACCACCCAAGTCTCGTCTGTCGTCTCTCCTTTCGATGTCGCACACACTACTATGTTGTACAGCTCACCATCTCGTATGGGATATCCGACGAGGTGGGCATCTGGCCCGCACCACGACGTTGTTGCCGGGTGCGTAATGAGACCAGCGAGATCCGGGTCGGCCAGAAGATCCTGACCAGGTATGAGGATCCGATATGCGGCGTCTCCCGTGTCTCGAGGACGGTCTGGCTGACTTGTTAGGAGAGGCCGAGCAGTGGACTTGATACCTATAGATTCCATCAGTCCAGTCGTCCATCAATTTGGGCAGAAAAGCCTACCATCCGCACAGATGATGAGATCAGCCATCCATTTCTCGGATTCTGCGGTGATAGCCATTGGAACGCTGAAGTCGTAGGAGGTCACACGTCGATTCTTATGAACGACAACTCCGGCTTCGATTGCGACCCCTAGTAAAGATGCATGCAAATCGGCTCGGTGAACCAGGTAATATGGTTCACCATGACGTGGGACCATGTCTTCGAATTCGATCTTCGTTATTGTCGAGCCATCTTCCCAACGCAGAAAATGGTATCCTCGACAAAGGCATTTTCGCATTTTGTCAAAATCGATCCCCCATCGGCGGAGAAGACGAGTGCTGTTGGGTGGGATGCGGATACCCGCACCAGCCTGATTGTTCGCGCATTAGCTCACTTTGCTCGAGGAAGAAGTGAACGGCTTCATCTTGCCTCTTTGAGTTCAGCAGAGGCATCAAGAAGAGTTACTCGGTGTCCATCTTGCCGCAGAGCCAAGGATGCGAACAGACCACCGAGTCCAGCACCCACGATCAGAATGTTCAAGGGTTCAGATTTCAGAGACATTGTGAAGTTACGAGGGCATCCCACCGTGAACTTCTACACTACGTATCTGTTGCGGCCTTATGAAGCATCTCATGGGTGAGCTATATGCGACGAACTGCAGCACTGACCCGCGTCCTGGACTCAAATCCTCGGACCGGGGATGTATGCATCCGGAGTTGAAATGTTACACGAAAGGAAAGACTGCAGCATTTGCACCTCGCCATTGTGGCTCGTCTGCCAAGATTCAGGGGTCTATAACTCCATCAGCTGGCTTTTGATCCGACTATGACACACCCGGATCAAGCCACCAAGTCGCTGCTTGGGGTAGAATCCGTACTCTCTCCGCCTCGCCTGCTATCAGGGACATTCTGCGCCTACGAAATGGGTACTGTCTGCTGTTGTAAAATATGTTTGCTAATTCATTCCGTAGGTCGATAACAGAAGTACCTTGTCATGTTCGTTGGGAAGTCACACCACAAGTGGGCATGGACTTTGAGATGTATCAACAATCCTTCTTCACAGTACGATCCTACTTTTTCAGCCCAGGTGGCTCCGACAAGACTATACTTGCCATGCGACATCACTGATTTGACTAGACAATGCCTGAAGGGTGTCTCCGAGGCGGATTGTTGACTCCTCGTGCGTAGGCTATGCGTATTGATGGATTTTCATTCATTTCTACTCTTGTTAAAGTATAATCAGGGGGCAGATTGGCTGCCCTTCCAATTCATAATAGATTATATCAATGAGATGGTTTTCTTTTCTCTTTGAATTTATCGTATTTTAGTTCCTTTTATTTCCGTTCTTCTTTTCCTTTATAAGGGAGGAGTAACCAGCTCTATGTGATGTATCCTTGTTGAACATGACAGGTGCCAGTGAGCTTTCATGCCCGCGTTGAACAGACTGAAGAGCTCGATACCCCATAACAGGGTAATGTAGAGCGTAGCGGAAGTGTTATCTGATAATGGGAGAAGTAGTGATAATATCCATCACTGCTAGGACGCCAAGCATGGAAGCTTTGAGTGAATTAGAGGCCATCCGAGGCTCCGGCTGCATGTATCCGCCCATCCCCCTCCCTGTGCCGAGCGAGCTCAACTGGCATATCCTTCAATTGGGATATCACCCACCACTTCGAATGCTGTCTGCGGATCGATTCTTCCTGAACCAGTCCACTCCCCGAGGATGGAGAAACGTTTAGCTAGCCGTCGCGTTCCTGATGAATTGCGGAAACGTACATTCGCGAGCTGTGACACCTGCCGGAAGGCGAGTGGCGAACTTATCCTGCCTGGCTTACTCTTTTCCAGTCACAGTTATGCTAACAAGCATGCTTAGCGTCGTTGCAAATGTATCCGTCGCGGAGGCTCAGATGAGGACTGTGTCGCCTGCCAACGATCTGGCATCCCGTGCGTATCCAGCTACCAGCGAAAGACCCGATTGTACGGAAGTGTCGAGACCATCCGCGATCGGTATGCCAGGTTAATCTTCCCTCAATCTACTGTATGGCCGACTAACTATCTTGTAGGATTCACTGTCTTGAAGCACTTGTGAAAGGGGCCTTTCCGGGCGAACCCATTAATAGTATCCCTGCTCTGTTGGAGCTGGGCCGGAAAGCCGGCTATGAAATGCCCAAGCTGGACCTCCCACAACTGACCGGGGATGAGCAGCGCGTTGAATTACCGAACCCAGAAAATGCTAATCATACGCTGGCGTACGATGGCAATGGTAGCGATCAACGTGGATGTATTAGAACCAGCCAGCGCCCACCACAGCTGGTCAAAGACAGCCGAGGCCAAAGTCATTACATTGGGCCGTCAGCATCCCTTGCATTCTTTGCTGATCTCCGCAGCCTAGTATCGGAGCAACAACCGTCCTCTTGCTTTGCTGCAGATACTTTGACGGAGTCTCTCGAGGCTCGGCAAAGTTCTAGTACGATGTCAACGTCAACTGTTAATACAAATCTAGCGCCAATTACACGCGACCAAGAATCATCCCTTGTCAAAGAACAGCTGCAAAAAATGCCCCGAGATCGTCTGCTGGCAATAATAAATGCCTTCTTTTGCACTGTAAATGCAGATTTCCCACTTCTGGACAGGGGATGCTTCTCTAACAAGCTAGAGTCCTACATCTATCCCATCGGCCACATAGAGGGATTGGATGATGGTTGGGTGGCCTGTATCCATGCTGCTCTCGCCTTCGGCTGCTGGATCCTGGAGGATGACGCTACATTTGAAGCCGATGAACCAGCCATGCTAAGATTTCGCTGCTGGAACCTCACCCGGGGAGCTTTGGCCAGCTTGTTGACCACATGTACAGTCTCTAATGTCCAAGCTCTTTTGCTTATGGCACTCTTCCTGCACAACAACAATGATCGAAATGCAGCGTGGACCCTAACAGGTAGTGCTGCGAGAATTGCTATTGCGTTGGGCTTGCATCGGAGCGATATTGACGAGAGCCTTCGTCTAACAGAACAAGACTCCCGAAGGCGAGTCTGGTCTACATTATTCACGTTTGAGCAATTTCTCTGCTTATGTTTGGGACGCCCAAGTGTAATCGATGGTCGGGAAGTGACCCTGGGACCTTCACCCGAAGAATCTGCTACTGCATTCCCCAGTCATCCCAGTCATCACCAGGTGGCCACTGACCTTCAACGACAAGTCAATCGACTCCGCGATGCGATCGCTTTCTTGCATCGGCCTACTTCCCCTGTATCATCAATTGATACGCCGGTTACTGATCCAATATCGCTCCTGACGAGGCTGAAAACGTGGGAAACTGAATTACCAACTTATCTTATTATACCATCTGCTATCTTGGATGCGTGCACTATTCCCCGAGTGGCGGTTCTGGAAGCGTTCAATGCTGGATATCCACCGGCCCAACTACGGCCAACAGTTCTCCTCCATTTAACCTATAATAATCTCGTTATCCAGCTTACACGGCCATATTTACTTACAGTTATTTCAATGAGTCGAAGGCATAACCCAAAACAACAGTACCCTTGGGCTACACCTGATAATACTTCGAAAAACGTGCAAAAGGGCGCTGAGTATCTGGCCTCCAGCTGCGTAACAGCAGCGATGCGAAGTTTTAACCTTCTCATCCTACTCGATCATGCCAATAGGGTCAATGGGAAAACTAGCCTAGACCTTTTTTACGGATACTCGGCTGGGATGGTTCTGCTCCTCCGTCAGCTGTGGGTCATGCCCCCGGATCTTCCCAAGTCTATGTGGCAGCTAGAAGACGCAGCTCAGCGTGATGTTCAATGCCAGGTGGCAAGGTTGCAGTCCCTATTGCAAGCAAACGTGAGGTGTCCGACCATGCAGAGGTTTAAGTCAGTGCTTCAAAAGTTCGACGAAGCTGTTCTTGCGAACGGGCAACTTCGGAGGCGAGGTGAGAATGATAAAGTTGCATCTTTGGACATGGCACAGGAAGGCATCGAACCTTTGGAGATCTCGCAGTTACATAATCCTAACGTCGATGGGACTAGTAGCGACCAATATGGCACTATGTTAGGTAGCCCAAGCCTGTGGCAAGATTCCCTGCAAACGATCACGCAGTACAGTCTCGACTGGAGCAACTTTGAGCAATTTCTCGGTAGCATAAATGTGGCGTAGGCTTCAAGGGCTACGTGGATACTTCGGATGAACCTTCCTGAGATGGCAGCTTTACGTCATGCAGACCTCGATATAAAAACCATATTCATTCTGTCAAGACTACGCTCACTAATCCATCAAACATGTCATTTCCTCCAACGTGCTCAATCCCTTCATGATCACTGTTAAACCGCAGTCCTGCACGCGACACGGACTTCTGGCTTACTGGTGATCCTACTTAGGCATCTACACAAAAGTTCAATGTCATAGCCCGGCGGATTTTCTCTCCTTCTTTGATGAAGTCCTCGACGTTGTGTCGTGCCCTGGCCCAATGCTCCCTGTTGAACTGGCAACGATGGTTGACATAGTCGATCTTGACCTTGACAGATCCTCTCTCATCCTCCTCGCCCTCTTCGTAGACCCGGAACATTGTAGACTTGATTACTATGACATCCTATTAGTGGCTGCGTCACCGAAGACAGTAATATCTGCCTACCAGGATTTTCCCTGCCATCAGCACACACTTCCACATTGGTGAAATGGTACTGCTGCATATCGTCTTGCTTGCGTGCAGCAATGATGCGGTTGATGATGCGCAAGACAACGCCAAACTGTGCCGGCAGGTTTTCCTTGGATTCCAGCCGCCCGCGCAGCTCCTGTTCGACCTTCTTGTTCATGTTCTTCTCATCTGTCTTCAGCTCAACGGTAAATTCCTTCTTGTCGGCTTCCACCAGCCTTCATGGCGAAACGTTAGAGACCACTCCGAGAGAATTTACTCCCAGCATGGAAACTTACCAGGATTCGTGCTCCTTGCGCAGATACTGGATCGCCTTGCTGCGATAGTCGGTGCGTCTGACGCGCGATTCGTTGTAGTCGTCGGTTGGCAGATTTCCCTTCTGTATCAATTCATTGACCTGGGATTCAGCGCGCCCAAGTTCAAAGGCGTTCCAGGTCTCCAGGTCATGTCTCAACTCCTGCACTGCCTTGCGATGCTTGTCGGAGACCGGCTGATTGTAGTACATGAAGAGGAGACTAGGGGTGCCATAGTCACCAGTCACATCCACTCCCTCTGGAGCTCCCACAAATTTGTGTCCATTATCACCAGACAAGGGAGACACGTCCATTTTTGTGATTTTCTGTAGACAAGACTGTGGCTGGAGATATAATCAGACAAGGTTTCCTGTGATCTGGGAGAGATGCTTAAGCTGTCGATGGATCGAACTCTGGCATGGCTTCTCAGTGAGCAATGACTGGACTTCTTATAGCTTCGTGGTCCGGACAACAGGTGTGCTATGTTTTGTCGTGTTGTAAAGCCTGTGTCAAGGGCTAAGCGCTCATGTTACCATAACTTCCTTAGACTACTGATAGCAGCGGTTCCTACGACATCCGAAGTGATGCAGATGCGTAAGACTCCGCTGCATCCGACATCAGATTATGCTCTCCATGCGCCCAATGCAAAGCAACGTTGGCTATTAATCGATAGGTCAGGTGCTTCGCCTGAATTACCTTGGGGCACTTCGCTGCATCATGGAGCAGATGCAAGGTAACCCAGCAAATACACAGGATCCTTCTTAGTTGAATTAGGTTCCCACTTATAGTTATGTATTTTCGTACAGTGGACAAATTTATCCATAATTTTGAAGATCGATAGCGGCTTCAAATACCATTCCCACAATGGCATACTTCCACGGAAATATGAGCAAGTGCCACCGTAGCGAGATAAGTGCGTTGCTCCTCACGCACGCAACGCACATTCCTCGTCCACATCCAGTTTGTGGCTTTGACCACGATGCAGTAGACTGGATGTTTCACAGATATTCCAAACCGCGGCGGCCTGACATGGTGTATCTGTAACACTGAAGTCAACTTAAGAAAACAAAGCAATTTTCAACAGCAGATGCGGAGATATCGCTCAGCCAATCTTGTTGTACGAGATGTACGCAACGTAACAAGCTTAAACGGCACGACGGGGTAAGTCTTGGCACAGACATCCTCGGGCGACTCGAAACAGCTACTTTATTACGTGGAATGGAGGCCCAAGCTCACTATGGCTAGTCAAGATGGCTTCATCTGACGCACAAAATGCATGGAGTATAAGCAGCTGCGACATGACAGATTCCTACCACGTCAACCTCAGAGCATCTCAGCTACGACCTTAGCAGGCAAGCACAATTCTGTCAGCGTTGTCTCGCAATTCGCATCAGATAGTCGTCAGCATATATCCAACAGTGCAGACGATGCAGGTCCACGCTCGAATGGCAATGGAAGCGCTCTCTTGGTGAGCGAGAGCCCAATGCACGTTGCATGCTCACCATTGTACGATTCAAGATGACGCTACTGTCATACTCACCAACACGTTGGGGATTGCAAGACACTCTTGTCCCATGGTCAATCCTTCTACTTGAAGTTGACGAGCCGTGCGGCCAGACGGACCAAGTCTAGCGAACATGGTCAACCGGACTTCTATGATCCAGATGAGTCACTCCCGTCATCCTTCCATCGCTAGAGTTGCAACTATAGTCCACTAAGAAGCAACAGTATGTGAAACAGCCAGCCTCTTACCGAATCATTGAAGCTGCTATCCCTAGCTTCATTGCATCAAGCTCACTGTATGAGTCAGACGCACGTCATGATGCGAAAGTTATACTATAACTGGGGATATTTGCCACCGGTGCACGATGGGCAGTGTCAAAACGAAGATAGTCACAGATGGCGAGGGTGGGTCCATGGACAGAAGATCGTGCGTGAGGCTGTAAAGTGCTCGCTCGCTAGATATGAGTCAGGGCAAGATGGGAAGCGCGGCCGATTCCGGGGATCCGCCAGAAAGGGGCACGTGGCATGAATGGGGGGAAATGGGATCCAGGCCCATTTGGGATCATGGCTAATTTGGCTGGGGCTGTCACCGGTCGGCAAACCGGTCAGACGAACGAGTCAAATCGGCTTCGCGAGCTTCTAGAGAACCTTCGATTTCTCCAGGTTCGACAAAACTAGACGGGAGGCAATGCCGGAGTGCAGCCAGGAAGCTCCGAAGAACCGGCAGCGGCCATGCCTCAGAGGCTCAGATACAAAAGCTCTTAACCCAGTTGGGAAAGGCCTCCGTCTGGCCACCAGCCCTAACCAAGAACGCCGAGGGAAAGAAGGCGGAAAAGTGGAAAACCTTGAGAATGGGGAATCTGGAATCCGCCACCGCGACGCTGCACAAGGTTTAGTGGCTACGACTCCCCCCCTCCGGCCGCCGGATTGCAACAGGAAAAAAGAGGGGACGCAAAGTAGTATTTCCGGGGCTGAGCTTAATTTGATCCTCATGCTTCCCCCAGGTCCGGTGCCGGACCAGCAAGCATTTGCGATATCTGGTGATTCCTCGTCCAATCGAGGGGTGAAAATCGTGCAGGATGTTCGTCGATCGTCTTCAGATGGTCCCTGGACGTTTTTTTAGCTTAAATAGAGGCTTTTTGTGCCTGAAAGATGCATGGTGCGACCGGTGGAGCCGTGAGGGCGAGCAGGAGCCCGATGTCGGAGCAGGATTCTGCGGGCGGCAAAGTTTGTGTCACACCAGCAGAGATTGCATTAAGTCGGCCTCTGATTTGCCAGGTTGACCCTTCTATTAACTAAGAAAAACCTCCTCGCCATGCGTCAATGCTTTGCAGACTCTGGCCATATATGGTTGACGCCCGCATCGTGCGGGTGTGCCTGGGTTTAGTTCCGCTACTCCCTTTACCTGGTGCTGTTGCTGCTGTCGCTGAGACTTCGAGAGATTCGAGACGGGTGCTTGTTCAACACTTTATATCCCCATCCATCTCACTCACCCTGCTCGAGGAGTCGGCCTGTCAACCAACCCATCCCTGAAGAGCAATCATGTCGACCTTGGACGTGAAGGATATCGAGAATGGACCGGGTCGCCGGGTCGAAGAAGATGGAGGCATGTGGGAGAATGATATAGTGAAGACACCTTCCGTGGAGAAGGATCCCTTTGGAAATGAAGCTGTTGGAGAGGTTCACTATAAGACTCTCGACTGGTGGTACGTTTGGACCCCGTGAACTATATACTACTGCACCGTTTATATCGGACGGCATATCCTCTTCATGGCAGAGACTGACCATCTATTTTTTTTTTTCTCGATTATAGGCAATCTGGAATGCGTATGCTGCTCCACTTTGATATCGTCTCCTCTGATCCATGTAACTAACCTTGAGTTTTTGTCTGCAGTGATGATCGCCGAGACTGTGTCACTGGGTGTTCTGTCTCTTCCCGCCACCGTGGCTGAGGTTGGCTTGATCCCGTAAGTAGTATACGATATCGTACCGTCTACATCGTCACCCAGTCCGTTGCTAACCAGTTATGCCATCAGTGCTATCATCCTCATCGTCGGCATGGGCATCATCGCCACCTACTCTGGCTATGTCATTGGACAGTTTCGGGCCAGATATCCCTTCATCCACAGCATGGCTGATGCCGGTGAGGTCTTGTGCGGCCGCTACGGTCGCATGTTCACGGAATTCGCTCAGCTGGTGTTCTTCATGTTCGCGTCGGGTAGTCACTTGGTGACCTTCACTGTCATGATGAACACCCTTACCAACCACGGAACCTGCTCTGTCGTGTTTGGTGTTGTCGGTTTGGTGCTTTCCTTCGCCTGCTCTCTTCCTCGTACCATGAAGAACGTCTCATGGCTGGCCGTGACTTGTCAGTACTTCATTGTGTCCATCCACAGCCTCCTATTATGCTAACTCTGTAATCCAGCCTTCATCAGTATTTTCTCGGCCGTCTTGATCACCATGATTGGAGTTGCTGTTGAACACCCGCACCCCGCGCCCATGGAGCTCACCCGCTCGACTTCTTTCGTCAAGGGCTTCTCAGCTGTCACCAACATTGCTTTTGCCTACTGTTCGTCTTCCATCTTCCTTTTGTAATCGGTCGCATCTGAGTACTAATCCCTGGTCCAGGCGGTCACCCTGCCTTCTTCGGTTTCATCGCCGAGATGAAGGATCCCAAGGACTTCCCCAAGTCCCTCTGCATGTTGCAGGGCTTTGAAATCGTCTTCTACACGGTCGCATCCGCCGTCATCTATCGCTACGCCGGTCAGAACGTCACCTCCCCCGCCCTGGGCTCCGCCGGTATTGTCGTTCGTAAGGTCGCCTATGGCATTGCCATTCCCACCATCGTCATCGCGGGTGTCGTCCTGGGACACGTTGCCATCAAGAACGTCTACGTCCGCCTGTTCCGCGGTACGGATGTCATGCACAAGCGCAGTGCCCTGGGTGTCGGTGCCTGGATTGGTCTCGCTGCGGGCTACTGGATCATCGCCTGGGTGATTGCCGAGGCCATCCCTGTCTTCAGCGATCTTGTCAGCTTGGTCAGCGCATTGTTTGCTAGTTGGTTTTCATGTGAGTATCCCTTATGTTATCGATGTGTCCTTGACCCTATGAGTCTTTCACTAACAATTTTTTAGTCGGTCTGCCCGGTGTCTTCTGGCTGTACATGTACTGGGGCAACTACTTCACCTCTGTCCGCAAAACGCTGCTTACCCTCGCCAACGTGGCATTGTTTGGCATTGGCGCCACCATCTGTGTCTGTGGTCTCTGGGTCTCCGGACTCTCGATCTCCAGTGACAGCTCTGGCAGCAGCTTCTCCTGCGCCAATAATGCCTAATTCGGGTCATGAGCTACTGCCTCCTCGTGACTGGGTTGTATATATGTATAGACTTGTATTATAGATAGACTTTTATTTAATATACCCCTTTGCGTTTGTTGTTGAACACTGGATTCGTACATGTATGCTCAAGATTGACATGCACAAGCCATTTCCCAGTACTGTTCCCAAGTGTCACTTGACTAGTTTCATCTCCATCGATATTGACGTGATTTTGTTGGCATCTTCACTCCAGGCTGCACTTTCTATGGTGCCCCCAATGCAAGGTCAGTATTGATAGCTCAATTCAGCAAATTCCCGACAAAGCTGACCCTACGATCGGCACATACTACTACGTACTAGTAATGTTGGATTTACTTATCGATTTGCAAGCCTGTGTAGTATTGAGACTGTTGTACGACGAGTAAAAGAGGATGAAATCCCTACTTGTGCCAGGTACCAATGTGTATAAAGTTGGATTTGAAAATATATATATCCGTAATGGACACCAGTAGTTACCCGTTGCATACCCCACACACTTTAGAGTTCAAGTTGAAAGCAAACAATTTCAACCGTCATTCAGCAGTTTGTAAGTTGACCGGAATGCCAAATACTGGCTGTACTAGATACTACTAGTATTTCAAAACATATGATTTCACATTACTAGCACATGCTCCCTAATATGATGCAGGTGAGTCACCCACAGAATTGCATCTCCGCTTTCACATGATGGAGGCATAATCATCCGAGGTGCCCGGTTAGGGCCCCTGGGCCATCAAGGTATCTTTCTTAGGCTCTCAGCCGTTGTTGGATCGAGGATCTCTATTTGGGGATGATGCTACTTCAGGATCCACTGGAGGACGCTACGTTACATCGCCTTCGCGCCATAATTGCCTTGACTGCTGCGAGCGGAAGGTGGCGCGATCGGGTGTATGCAAGTGCATAAAGTCTATCCGCTTAGTCATTGACATAACATAACTAGTACAAAAAGTAGCCTATTCGGGAAAACGCGTCGTTCAAAACAACGCGATGGCAATCATTCCATTGCCAGACAGGACTTTAGGTTTCGTGATAAGCTGATGCGGAAGGAACGATAAATGCATGACTAATTACTGCTGTTCTCTAAGATAGAACCTCGTTTCTCGTTCGTCTCATGCAATACTCCTCCCGGAAGTTCTCTGGCCTGGATGGAATGGGTATATAGGTAGTAAGTAGTACATGTACTATGTGTAATCCCCGAAACAAGGACCAGCACTACTTGAAGTCTGCGAAGAAGATACATCTGTAACCTATGTAAGTTTATAGACATCAATATATGCATAGTCCCGCTGAAGGTTGAGCATGCGATGAACCATAAGTAATGGAAAGGTCTAGCCTCAGCCGTCCAACCTGAACAGTGAATCAAATATTGGCTGGCCCCAATCATTCACTCCTTCACATAACGATCGAACCATGCCACAGCCTGCTCAAATGCTGCTTCCTTGGCGAATCTCTGCCGCGGCTCTGCTAGATTACAGCGGACCGCAAATCCGTGCTCTACATCAGAGAATAAGTTTATCTGAAAAGGAAGACCAACTCTAGCTAGGATCCCCTCACTCTCGTGGCGGTTGGCAGAGGTGAAGACGGGGTCAACGACTTGTCCATTGGTCAGCATAACCAACAATGTAGGAGAGTACACAGTTCTGCTCAACTCACTGGCTGCAGCAATGCTCAACGGCCCTTCGACCCCCTCCAGCTCCTCCACCGTCACCATGGTTGGGTGGGCAACGAACCCTGCGTTTAGTTTGCCAGCTTTGAGGTAGCGACACACATATTTGCCGCCAAAACAATACCCGACGGCGCCGACTCGCTGACAGCCGAGGGTAGTGCGCATCTCCCCTAGTATAGCATCGACAATAGGATCGACCCTAGGTGGCAGGTGTTGGTTGTACCAGCCCATAATATCAAAGTCGGCCCCATAGTCGACTGGGATGGGATCACCGTGGAAGAGGTCGGGCATAACCACGAGGAAGCCACGGGCGGCAACCTGGTCCGCCATCAAATGGGCATTGATGAAGCGATGGCCATTGCCATCAGTAAGGAACAAGATGGCATTCTTTGTCGACCGATCAGGTGGATAGGTGATGTATGTCGAGACTATCACACAATCAGTGGTGGTAGTGACAACGTTGTCGGTAGTAAATACACACTGTTGGCAAGTTCTTGGATCTCCCCACTGGCCCTGCCATCGTGCAGATGTCCTGCCATGCAGCATTCAGATGGTGCATTGGAAGTCATTGTTGCGATGGGCCACCAAAGCAATGGCCAGCAACAGGTGCTGAATTAGCCAGTAAGTAATATGGGACGGGAAAAGCATACTGACGCAGGCAACCAGCGGTTGGCGTAATCCTTTCAGCGGAGGTTCAGCCTGTTGTCGGACCCCTGCGGATATTCCGATTTAATATTATTAGTTTTCTCGAACCGGGTTTGTCACATATTGAACCAGTTTTGGGGTTCGAACTGGGCCTCACAGTGTCGAATATGCATGGAAATGCAAAGCCACAATGCCACCTATAAATAGCTGCAACTCACCTGGGCCACCATGGAGGAGACCACCTACTATAACACCACAGCCTGATGGCTTTGGACCACGGTACGGTCCGCGGTGCATTGTAGTGGGGACTAAATGTCCTTTCTTCGAGACGCCAATGACCCGACCAGCCACTTAGCGATGGACCGGGTGGCAGACTTGCAGGGATCTAAGGACTGGCCGAGCCACCGGTCGCATCCTCAGCTGGTGCACGTTGAGCGAGGGTTTCAGGTAAGCGCCGATATCCTGGCCACTCATATCTCCACCAGGGAAGATTTGGTGGTGCCTGCATAACCTCCAAGCAGTCAGCGCGTGGTAGGCTGGCTATATGGGCAGCCTATCTCCCCCCGGAAGAACTGACAGGCAGTCCAGTTCAGTCCAAGCCATGCTTCCCATGTCAACAAATTCTACCTCTACCACAGCTATAGTGGATGGCTGGATTGACGAGCCCGATGGGCGTGGCACCTGGTCCATTCTCTCGAGCTGTCTACTGACTATTGTACTATGTTGCTGGACGGCTGTCATGCCCAACATCCCTGCCCGCTCCGACCGATGGTATCATGGCCTACGCGACCGACTGCATTTGGCCTCTCTGGGACTTTTGGGCCCCGAATTTCTGCTTATGCTGGCGCTAGGGCAGTGGTCCTCGGCGCGAGCGTCTGTCAAGGTCTCGAGACCATTCTGTACTGGTCTGCCCAGAACAACAAACGTGGCTAATACCCTCGCCAGGGATTCGAGCGACTATTGACGACGAAGACCACCAAGCGTCCCCGTTGGACTTTAACTCATGCCTTCTATGCGGATATGGGGGGTTTCTTGGTCGATGGCCCGGGAATCGATAAGCCATTCCCAGTAAACGCGAAGCAGCTTCAATTCCTCATTGAGAAGGGCTACGTCGATTACCCTATGATAGGTGAAGACGACATCAACGATCGGAATAAATCTGACGCCTTCTCTCGGTACGTCTCCAGCTTGCTCGAGAGCGTTTGCCTTCCGCTTATTTGAGTTTCCAGTGTGATCGCGGTATGCCAGGCACTGTGGTTGCTCGTCAACTGTGCCATGCGTGTAGCTCAGGGACTGGCCCTGACGACCTTGGAGCTCACTACTATCTCATTTGTAGTGGTATTTCTTGTGACGTCTTTCTGCTGGCGCTTCAAGCCATCAGACATTTCGAGTACCCTGACTCTACGTGCAAATACCGATATCACTATCATTCGGAAACAGGTACGTTTGACTCTACATTAGCCGATAATGTGCGTTAACGGTGTCTCGTTTCGGTTAAGCATTGCCCATATCCTTCGCGAGAATGGCACGAGACTCCCCTGGACTTTGTGTCAGACGATGTCTCCTTTTGCGCAGTGCACTGGCATTACTACACAGAAATCCTGCGGAAAATGCATATTCCGATGTTTTCACGTCCAATGACAGTAAAGCCACGCGATCGCATTGTCAGTGACAACTTTCCCGTCACCGACCTGAAGGCCGATTGCATTGCCACCCCAGTGCTGCTTGTATTCGGCTCAATGTTCATGCTTGCCTGGAATTTCCACTTTCCTTCCCCCGTCGAACATCTTTTGTGGCGTATCGCCAGTATATACAACCTGGTATTCACCGTCATTGGTGGACTGCATGCTGGTTATTGCGACAAAATCCTGTTGCCCAGGGAGTATAAGCGGCGACTGGTTCTTCCCTTGTCGAGACTGAAGACCTCGACTAACCCATCCCGGCAGCGGTCGTGTCTGCGAAACCTAGCAGCCAAGTTGAGAAACATCGATCCGTATCGCAATCCCAAGAGGGAAGTCCCTCTTCGCGTGCTATTTCCTACTTCTGTTCTTTGTGCAGCCTATTGCGTGGGTCGAGCGTACGTTCTTACGGAGGACTTTATCGGACTGCGCAGTTTGCCTGCCAGTGCCTTTCAGACGGTTAGCTGGTCAGACTACGTCCCACATCTGTAGGCAGAGCGCGGTGCAGCGGATAACTCATTGCTCATATCACACATCTAATAACACATAGATATTCTATATACTGTAAATGTTCAAATGGACAAGACCACCCAAGCATCTCATACTAGCCGTCACGGCCCAAATGGTAGGATAAACGCCGAAATCTACTTTACTGTCGTTACTTTCATCCATCGGCGTATACAATATCAGACTTCCAACCGGTGAACAAGGAGTCTTAGAACCCAATTCGGGCAGCCTGATTCCTTTTCCACCTCGTCGACCCGATGCCGGATCTCACCCATCAGGCCTCGAAGTGTTCTTTGCGTGTGTTCCATGCTTCCGCTCTCGTGGAGATGGTCCAATACGCGCTGCTTCTGCGCGATATCAAGTCCTCCCGACTGGCGGCCCTGCTGTAAAATATCTCGAATATACGATGATTCAGGCAATGACTTATTGGCATGAATGAGGGGAAACGAGAACTTCCCCTCGTCTAGATCTTCACAAAAGCCCTTTTGTCCGGTGTACTGCACTCTCCTGTCAATCAAAATGTTTAGTTGTACTGTGTTGGTGAACTGACCTCTTCAGTAAGGTTCTTGTAATCATCTCGGATTTGGAAATATTCCCCCATAAGGTCGACAAGAGGTTCCAATGGGAGGCATCTATTGTGTCGGGAAAGATTAGTATAGTCTTTCATCAAAGCATCCGCGCTTCCTACCGGTTCTTCTTCGACGTCGCCTTTTGCATCATCAATCGAGATAATAGCCGGAAGAGACCACCAGTTTCTGAATACCAGTCAGTACCAAGTTTGTGATAGGAATATATGAGATGGAAAAGCCTGGATTTACTTTGACGTATCATCTCTCGGTATTCTTCCTCCGACGGACACTCGCCCTGCCGTGTCCAGTACAGATCGAAACTCTGACCAATGAACAGATTACGCATCTCTTCGACGAAGATGTCCACACAACGCGAGTCCTCCAACAGCCTCACTTGATCCATAGCCTGGATGAGGACAAAGTTAGCGGAGTTGATGGTCAGCGCCTGTCCAAAGACGGTGTGTGTCGCGGGCTGGCCCCGACGCAGAGGCGATCCGTCTTCAATGTCATCCAGCCTACGTAGGAGGATATACCGTTAGCAGAGTGGCGTTTGGGGTACACCTTTTAATGCAATCACTCACATCAGAGAGGCATTATGTAAAGTCTTTGCAATAGTCTTTATGACGCTTACGAAGCGATCCGGGAGAGCAAGCCACACGTTCAGCGCGTCGATAAAGGCCTCGCGAACACCTTTGGAGGGTAGAGAGGCGATATACTCTGCTGGACCAATGAGGTGCTTTGTAGATTATTAGCAAATTTCGATCAATAGGACGTTACATTGAGCAACGCTCATACCTCTGTTCCGAGTATAACCCGGTCGGTCTCCTTTCCCCTGCCGTCGACAGAAGGAGCCGATGAAATTGATGATCGTGCAGAACGATCACTTGCCCCAGTCCAGAGGGAGGACGCAGACGAAATACTATCTCCTGAGACACTCCGTCTTTTACCTATGTTAGGCAAGTCGCGAGCCTCTTCCATCGAGGCTTGCAACAGGGCACTGCCTTCCTCACATAGCCAGGGGTGGTACCGAGGACATCGTAGACTCCAAGCGACGTTCCCTGGAATTTGGCACCCCAACGCAGTGAGATACAATTGCAGCTTGGCGTTGGACTTTCCTTGGCCAGCCATAAATTCTTGTACTCGCTGCTGGTACCCCCTCTCGTAGTCGTTTGTGACTTGCCGGACAAGCCGTTTGGCTTCCTCTTCATCCACCTGGTGCCATTGCATGAATAACCAGACGGCATTCGTCATGGCGGTCTGGTTTGACTCGGGCCTTCGATACTCTTCCCACTCGACATCGAAGGAGAAGTAGTCATTGGCGAGCCCGAGGGCAGCATAACACGGCTTGACAATAGGAGCGACAAGCTCCTCTTCTTCGGTCGTGAGGAGAAGGCCCATGCCAAAACGCATCAATGTGTCCACAAACCTGTAATCTGGGTTAGAGCAGCGTGAATTTGGATCAGTAGGGACTCCTTACGGTGCACCCGTGTCAACAATCCGGTAGTCCACGTATTCTTCCAGGTTCCTAAATGCGCGGGTCTTGTCCTGCTTGGCGGTTGTGTTGATCATCGTCTTCCAGGAGTCAATAACAACCTCAGCGCATGCAGCGTCGATCGACAGGAGGTCGAGTAGCATCTTAGACTGGATCTGTTTGGTCCCAGTGACCGATCGCACGGTTCGGTACTCTGTCTCATCGAGAGCAATATCGTCCGTGTTATTGTTCAACTAGAGTTGGTTAGGCTTGGGCAACTCTCTGGAGTCAACTTCACTATAGGGCATACCGTGGATTTGGCGGCTGATTCAACCACATTATCGTACATGAATGCATCTATTATGTGTGAGCTTTGGCGAAACAGTTGTGGCTTAGCGTGTCATTGAAATCTCACATTCGAAACAGTAGCTAATGATGGCTATGCGATCGGGCCGACAAAAGGGCAAGACGACCGCGGAGAAGTGACCCTCCCAAGGGTTACAGCATCCCCAGCGCTCTATCGGCCCAATATACTGCTCCCAATCGTTTCGGCATTGCTGAGATCCTGTGTTGGCCCAGTCCTCAAACTTATGACGTCGCAGAGGATAATCTCTGCAGAATCCTTGAAGATCCCGTGAGGCACGAGGAACCCGGTCAGAGGTATCATCGGGTAATAGATTTGGAAGCGCCATCATGGTATGAAGCGAATAAATCTCCGAACACTAAACACTCGACTGGCTTTGCAGATAACGTAGGGGAGGTGAGAAGCTAGAATAAGACAGTTCTACAAGACTGGCATGGTCGTCTTTAAAGCCAATACCATGGACGGACAAGCCCATTTTCCGGAAAAAGAACTCGCAGCTCCATAATGAGACAACTAGGCGTAATTGCTCAATTTCATACGTTGCCAACAAGGAGATCTCTGTCTACGAGAACAGGCGTTCATCTGAGCGGGAAGCACGATCTGATCTGAAGGGGGATGGAGAGATGCCACTGAGAGGATCATTGTAGGCATGAGCCAATCAACCCCTTGCGGGCAGTGGAGATCTGTGAATCATCAACCAGAGTTGCGTCGCGATGAGGTGTGCCAGGATTGGAGAATCCACTCAAAATCCACTTGGATCCTTCATTCTTCGAGTCTAATTGGGGCAAAGATGAAGATCGTTGAGAGTGCAGTTCATGTTATGGATTACGTTAAAAGGTTGACCCAGGCTCGGCTCATTCAAGGAATAAGCTCAAAAGTGTAAGTCATTGATTACATACATTTAGTTGCATCTGATGTCGGGTTCTTTGCCTTGCACGGACCAATAATATTGCGGCAGTTGGTGAGGGAAACCTGGCACCGGAAGATCGGCAAGTGAAGCCATCATTATGGGATTTAAACTTCATCTCTCACGACGCTAACATGATGTTCCCGAGGGAAGGGTAAGACGGCGGGAAGCGAAACCCGACAACTGGCTTTGACAATGTGCTTTGTGGGTTCATAGAATGGAAATCCACCCCTCATATCTCAGACAACTGAAATTTAACCAGAATATTGGGGGCGTGCGAGCAATCACACATCATCCGGCTGCATACCGCTAAGGCCGTGACTCTTTTCAGCCGCGCCCCCAGCCACTCAGCTCTGTGAATGTCACCGTGACGCTGCAATGACAAAAGACTTGAAGCGACACCCTTATCCTGCAACGCCATAGATCTGGTCACTTCTCTGACCTCCTGGCATTTCACTCTTTTCGTACCTCAATATGGGAGAGTTATCTGCAGACCAGTCGACCGTGCTTGAGATTTTCAAGGGGTGCTGTTCGGCAGAAGGCCTATTAGGGCGTCGGGAGGGGTTACAGGCTGGGGATGTGGAAGATGGGATCACAGACAACACTACCCTTTTGTGAGCAAACCATCCCTTTTCATTGAGACCATACTGACTGGCATTTATAGACGATATTTGGAGGCCCGTCACAGGGACCCAAAGGACGCCCTAAAGCAATTGCAAGAGGCAGCCCAGTTTCAGGCTGATAGACAGGTTCTCCGTCTATATGATCTGATCTCCGTGAATGATTATGAGGAGACACGAAAGCTGGTATGCTGAAATCCCGACAAGTCGCATGCAAACCATCTCACACGAGGACTAGTATCCTCACTGGACGGGACGACGGGACCGCCGAGGGCGACCTATCATGGCGCTTGATGTCGCTCATTTGAAGGCATCGACTATGGCAGCCTGGAGGAAGACGCGTGACATTTCAAGGCAAACTGAAATGATTTTATCGAACCCAATCATTCCGGACATGGAACAACGCGCAGCAATACATTTTGATAGCCTAACTCGATTCGTGCTCCCGCTTTGTACAGCCATGAGCGACCGGCCTGACCCGACCATCCCCATCACCAAGTCAATCTACATCGTCGATGCCTCTGCCATCTCGCTGAAGCAAGCCTGGGATTTGCGGGATTTTGCACGCGATATCAGCTGGATCCTGTCCACCTGCTATCCCGAGACCATTGATCGGATCATTGTAAGCAATATTTACACCATGAATGGGATCGATGTTGACTCTTTCTTAGGTGGGTAATGCGCCCTTCTACTTTGCCAAGATCTGGGCTTTTATGAAGAACTTTGTCGACCCCATGACGGCGGACAAGCTGGTCATCACCAGGCCCACGGATGCATACGCGACCATGGCAAAATATATGGAACACAAGGATATCCCAAGCCAGTTCGGAGGAGGTTTCCAGTTCACGAATGGGATGCTGCCGGATTTGGATGAGGGCATACGGCAGGCTCTACAGTGGACTATCTCCAGTAAGGAGGCATTCCCGCAAGGGCCAATCAAGTGGACCGAAGATGAGAATGGCCAGCGACGGGCCGTGGCAACAGGAAGCATTGATAGTCGGCAGCGATGCGAGGAAGTTGCAATTCTTCCAGTGAACCCGACAATACATTCGCAGCTACCGAATTGACTACAAAGCATGATTCAGTGTCCATGAGATAGAGCATGGTCTTGTTATTAGGAATTTCTTTAAAGACAGTAGTGACCGCAAACGCCAAGGACATAGCCAGCTATGTCACTTTACTTTCTATCTATTCTCTAGTGAGCAATAACCGATCCGTCAAGTGTATATGCCGCATGAGTAAGCTAGAACTCCCTTTTATACATCCATTTGAATAGTTGGCAGGCCGTGATCGTCAACCATAAACACACCTGAAAGATGGTCATCCCCGTCCCGACCCACTCGATCGCCGGTGAAGCCAAATACTCCCCCAAGTCAATCGTCGCCAGAACGAAGCCAGTGATGGGAAAGACCATGCACCACCAGATAAGCTCGAAGCGAATGGTGCGGTGCCACAGAGCCTCCAGCATGCTTAGTGCCGCCATGCAGAAGAGAAAGAAGGCCAAGATCCATAAAAATACCGACGCGGCCACAGCAACAATGAGCAGGACATCCGCGGTGCGCACACTCGTTGCGGCGCTGATATATTGGGTTGGGAGTTTTTCCACCGCAGCGTCCGCCATGCTGATCATGGCGATGATTGTGAAACTGGGCGGGCCCACTGCGATGAACATCTCCGGTCGGAAATTTGGCACCGGGAGACCCTCGCTGGAAATCTCCGTCAGACTCTGCACCAGAACGACCAGGAACATGAGGAATCCGAATCCTTGCATGGTGGTGCCGCCTACAAGCATGGGCACCGCCTGAGCGGGGGCCTGGTTCGGGGCCAACACGCCGGCCATGGTGCCACTGAGCATCGGTGGAAAGTAGGGTAGGATGTTCACAATGGCAAAGTGGTCGCCATGGTTGATGCCCGTATACGGAATCCACCAACCCAAGAGAATAGAGAGCAATAGCGAGACGCCAGTGTAGACCCAGAAGAAGACGTTCAGGGTGAGGATTAACCAGCGGCCACAATGTGGGGTGCCATAGTAGGAGGTGCAGAAGATGATGGTCGCAAAGGCGAGCAGCGAAACAGGGACAAAGTACAGGTCCTGAGGCTTCTTGATATGCAGCCACCGGGCGGCGAAATTGGGCGATTCTTCCAGGGGCTTAGGGACCTTCTGTGGTCGGACAGCCTCGAATAGAAGACAGAGGGTAACTGTGGTGTAGATAACGAGGTTGGCGATGAAGACGATGGTTCCGATGGTCGTGAGGCCGGTGAACTGGTTTGGGGTCTGGTGCAGCAGTACCGCTATCCCACCCCAGCTGAGTGAGATGGCATACCAGCCCCAGGCTACCGATGAGGTAACCCTGCGAATGGAAGACATTGTATAGCCTCCTTCTGCATGCTGGCTCATGTCGATGGGGATGGTGATGGTGGGCAAGAGGACAGAGGAGTCGGACTAACAATCATGGCCAGGTGGTAGGGTTCTCCACGGGCTAAATAACCGTGGTCTCCCGACCGCGTGTCCAGATATCCTGTTGTTTTGTATTTATCATCTGTTGCCTTTCCTGGACATCACCGAGCATCATATCCAATTCTCTCATGGTTTCGGAGGCAATGGTTGGTGACGTCATTTTCAACTCGCCGTGGAGTCGCTCTCAACCAGGCACGCTGGCACAGATGATGAAAGAACAACTGATGCCAGATAAGAATCAAAATATCTGGTCAACAAGACCTTATCAATCCGCCCGCATCCCGGTCGATTGCCGAAGTGGTCCGATATTTGGCTCGGGATACCGATCGGGTGGCCGCAGGGGCACAATATATACTGTAGAATACTACTAAGTACGTAATAGAACAAACTGGCGAGCAGAAACTGCCAACTAGATGCATGCACAAAGTACTACTACTGGTATCCTGACAACTGTAATAACACCGAAGATAAGATGAATGCAACTGTCCATATTATATCAAAACAAATTCATCAATGCTTATGTACAACCATTATCGCTCTATGCGGTCACTCTGAGTGTACCCTGTAACTACACACACCATGGTTTATCCCTCACGCAAGTTGCAAAGCTTTCTCAGACAATATAATGAATCAACCGGCAATGTAAAACTCCATATGTATCTACGCGACCGCTATTTAACGCACAGTCTTCTCTCCCCGGTCTCGGCGGGACAGATGCAACCGCTTCCCCCACTTCATCCGACTCTTGCGCATCGCCCGCTGTGTCCGTTCCCAGGGGTAGTTAACCGGGGACTCACCACCCGTGAAGATGAAGAAATCGTACAGGAAGGCACCGAGGAAAGAGCCCGCGAGGGATCCGGCCCATGGCCCATAAAACCAGTATGGATTGGTGAACAGCGACGAGCCGTACCCCAGAGCCAGCAACGCCAGTCGCGGGCCAAAGTCTCGACTCGGATTCAAGGCGGCACCCGTCTGGTAGGCAAAGCTCATCGAGTTGCAGGCCACCATGAGACCCACGATGAGTGAATTCATACCCGCTCCTGGGGGTGCGTTCTGATCGTCACCCAGTGCCAGGACTACCACCGTCAGCACCATCGTGCCCAAGAATTCGGTGAAGAAGGCAGTGCCAGGACCGATCCAGGTCTCGCGCTGACTGGTCACGAAGCTGGTGATGATGCCCGTGGTGGAGTTGGTCAAGAGATAGTGTTGGATGGAGTGGTAGTAGAGACCGTACGCGGCGAGCGCGGCGATGAAGGCCCCCAAAAACTGTGCAGCAAAGTACTCGGGCATCTTGCTCTTGGGGAAGCCACGGTAGAACCAGAGCATGATGGTGATGGTTGGATTGAGATGGGCACCGGACACACCACCAGAGACGTAGATGGCCATCATGGTAGCAAACCCCCAGACCCAGTCGGTGGTGTTGGGATTACCGGCGTCGGCCACGGTCACTGCCAGATCGCCGCAAAAGCCGACGAATAGCTGCACGAAGACCCCCAGGGACTCGGCCAGGGCTTCGCGGTGATGGGTGCGGATGACGGACCAGGTGGTGTGGTTGTTGTGCACCTCCTCCTCCACGAGCTCCTGCACCAGCGGATGCAGGTCCTCCGGATAGGCGGCCTCGATCTCCTCCAGGTCGGGCAGGTCGTCCATCATCATCCCGTCCTTGCCATCGTCAGCGCGCAGCTCGGGCTCCTCCGGCACGGGCTCCAAGGGCTCCTCACTACTCATCTGAGGGGGTTCCTCATGGGTCTCACTGGGAGCCGGCGTCTCGCCTTCGGGAACTGTTGACAGGTTCTCCGGCGGGAGATCCCAGGCAGATGGACGGCGGATGCGCGATGACGAAGTGCGCGAGAGGCGCGAACCTTGTCGCGTTGTGGTGGCATCCCCACTCAGAATCTTGTTCATGAAATTGTTCTCGCGTTGGATCCGGGCATCTTCCACCTGGGCCGCCATTTTACGAGGGTCAGCCGACTTCTCGATTTGGCCTTGCTCCAGGTCATTGGGGTCGACCTCCAGCCCCAGCTTCTGTGAGTTTTCGGCTGGCAGCTGAATGTTTTGACGGGCTTCCAACAGCTCCTCCTTCGTCGGCACCATGCCCGGTCGGACGACACGAGGGAGTGGCTTCGCCAAACCCCAGACCGGTTTGGAGTTGGCGGGCTGTTCGTAGGATGGATTGAGATCGCCGTAGCCGGGTTGCACAAACGGTTCATGGGCCAAGCGCAGCTGAGGCGTCTCATCGGGACCAGCCATGGTGAAGCGACCTTGGGTTCGTTCAGCCAGCGTGGTGCGTGGCGCCAAACTGGGAATGCCACTGCCACCACTGCGGCGGGAAGCGGCGGAACTGCGTCGACGAACTCCAGCCCCGGAGCCATCACGACCAGACACACGGCGGGTGGGAGAAACAAAGTCGGCGTCACCAGCAGTTCCTCGACGGCCGCGGGTGGGTGATAAAGGTGAGGTGGGAGGATTCTCTCCTCGAGGGGAGATCGCATCGGACTGCTCAGGCGAGGAGAACACCCTCCGATCAGCTCCTGGTGCAGCTGCAGGGGAATGCGTGTGAACATACCGTTGCCCGTGGGCGCCTGGGCTCCCCGTCGTCCATGATGTGACGGTATTAGATGCTATAGGCTTGTTCGGAGGATGATAAAATTGCTACTGCTGACGGGATGCGGATGGCCGACTCAATCGGAAGCAATGGCTACGAGAGACACCCAGATTCCCAGCCGGTGTTCCGGATGTTTAAGAACCAGCTAGTGAGCAACAGGGGTAGGGTACAATAAAGAATAGGAAAACAATGACTGCCGTGAAGGAGCAGCATGGACCATGACGACGACTTGCTGGCGCCCTCTCCGCTTCTCCGACTGGATCAGAGACTGCAGCGACGGCGTAAGCGAGGGCATCCGCACCAGTCATTGAGCAGAGTTGATGCGCGAGATCTACAAAGTACAGGCCAGTGGGTTGCGATGGTGCGGGCAGACTATTGGGGAGCGTTGAAGACATGGAAAGACTGGCGTCATGAGTGGATCCTTCTGGGGCTTGTCGGAAAGCTTGAGAGGCAAAAGAATCGACACACAACAGGGTTTGGTTCCTGACCTGATCCCCCAAATGCTTCGCTGGTTGGCCCTGGTCGGCAGAGATAACCCACTGCAAACCCCCGCTCAATGACGGTCCTCTGTGGTCATCGTCACCGATCAACCTGGGTTATTGGGCCATGGATGGCCATTTCCCCTCCCCATCGATCGATCGGGGGGCTGTCGTGGGAAGGACCAAAAAGATGTCAAAGATTTCCACTTCAGCCGGTCATCGGGGGTAAATACCGATGACTGTGTCCAGTGAATATTCGGTACAGTGATAATGTACTTCAATGCGGGATGAATATTTTATAAAGTTGTGTGATATGGTTCGTGGTGGATGGAACGTGCACGGAATCAACCACGAGGGAACCAGCCGGCACGAGTCCGTTCCTTGATTCTGGCTTCTCGGTTCTTTGGACAGACACACTGAATAATCCAATTCAGTTCAATCCCATTTTGCCTTCCGAGGATTCTCCGATGCTCGGTAGATTCCCGGTCAGAATCCTACACAGAAAAGACTTATCGCGAAGAGAAAAGCCGCATGGAGGAGGATAATGAATTTATCAGACTTTGCTGGATTTTTTCCACCTTGAAATACCTAGTCAGCATCTATGCTGATAGTAATGGGTCCCTTTGATCAGGATTTTCAGACTTTCGTTGGGGGCTAGGGAAATGTCTTGGCGAGGAGTCTATCCGAGACTCCCGCGAAGAGTTTGCAACGGGAATGAAGGGCAACTCCAGTTGGAAAGGAGACACGTCTTTATTGTATATAATGTCTTCCCGGCATTCTCTAGATCAAAGTAGGCGCATGAAGATGTCAAGGCAAACGTCATGTTGATGCGGTTGTAGTCTGCCAACTTGTTATAGAGAGCAGATTCTGCCCGGCTCAACACAAATTGGCCCCTGGAAGGATCACTCAGAGCCCAACGAATGCTCCATAAGTGCCCTTGAGCAAAAAGTACATCCTCCTATTTCGGCTCTTATAACTCAATTAGCCCTCATTGACGTCCCCGGGTGCCCGACTGTCACCATATTTGAGTCGAAATTTTTGGCTGGCTACCTTTCACTCACTGTGACAGGTTGGAACCGTGCTACTTAATTATAGATCCCGACAGGCAGCCATGTCTGCCTGCCACTGGACATCTACCTATTTAGCACTTGCCAGGTACCCGGAGATGAAGGGGTTTCCACTCCGACAGGAGATGAAAGGCGAACAGTGGGGCGTGTCTCACTTGAGCAGCGTCCGCCTTCCATATTAAGCCTGGAATAGCCTCGTCTTCACCTCTTTCAGGAATGGGCGATGGCCCTGTCGACACTATCGCTGTCCGGCTCATTAAGGGCCCAAGGGTCCAAAGTTTTTAGATTGGTTTGCCAAGCATCAACTGTAGAATATAAAACTCGGAATCTCCGGTTTCAGAGGGTGAGAAAGGTCAACTTCACCCCAACTACGAGTTATACTGTTTGCTATCTTGTTATGGCTGCCCTCTTCCGCCTCAATGGACAGATCTCCACCTTTCTCGCTGTTGGCTTTCTAGCCTCGTGGGCCATCACTGCGTTGAGTTTGACCGCCATCAATGTTCTCAATACCGAATCCACATTCACCGCGCAGGCCGCCTCCATCAGCTTGCTCACCTTCCTCGTCTGCCGATTGCTGGTCCGCCTTCAGCCTGTCGCCCCCACTGAGGGGAGAACCATCGCGCATCTCCTTGCAACAGCAGACAACGGTTCTCGACGAGGCGCGCTCATTTTCATCTCTTTCTGCAGCACATGGCTGTACGAGCTGCTGACCAAAGGCCTCCTCCTGCTTCTGTTGACCTTCTTTGGCGGCGTCATGGCGACCGTGATCTACAACGATCCCAACTTCTCGGAAAATTGGCAGCCTCAGCCGGTATCCGATCAGCCCCAGACGACGACGGCCCTGGCTGAAATTAATGACTTCAAGGAAAAGGCTGGCTTTGATCCGACACAACTATTTCGATGGATCCCGCCTCAGGCAGTCGTCTACTTTATCGCCCTGGTGTGGTTTAACTTCATCAGTCTGGGGCTGTATATTCTCGGCCATGGGCTGAAGGCGCTCTGCAAGGTCTTGGGATTTACTGTTACGCGCACCACCAGCAAAGACACCCATTCGGTAGAAAGACGCTCTTAAGAATGCCCGGATGGAATGTCATATTAGCAGACTCAGTGCGTGACCCAGGGGGCGTCGTTAAGACTCGTCCTGAATGTAAGAAATGCTTTTCTCGACCACCCTTTACTACCTGTAATGCAACTCTATTTTGATCCTAGGGCTGTCGAATATTGAATATACTTTCCGTATTCGCGAATTATATTTATCGGGAGGGTTTAACCGAATTGAGCCCACCATTGCTGCTGGCAACGCGCCCCTTCTGTTTCAAACTTTGGAGGAGAACAGTGCTTGTTACATCCCCAAAGCAAGAATACCGCCTAAGAACTAATCAACTCAGCCTTCTGGAGGTCTTCAAATGTCAGGATTGTCGTCGCTTCCCGCCAGAACCCCCAAACGCGCTGAATGACGAGGTCCTGTTGCCTTTCCGTAAGCTCCGAATAGAGTGGTAACAAGACAATTTCCTCTGCGGCGCGTGTGGTCACCAGATCTTCGCCATGAAAGCGCCCCACCCGTTTGCCAAACGGAGAAGAGTGTAACGGCACGAACTGGGCCTGTGTCTGAATGTGTGCGGCCGCCATATGCTCGATGAAAACAGGTCGGTCCGAGGCATCAGCCAACCGAACCCAAAAGATGGCTGCGTTATGGTCCGCCTCCGCAGCCGGCTGGGGTAGCCGGATTATGCCCGCATGGGCCAGAGGGGCCAGGCATCTGTGATAGCGAGACCAGAGACGTCGACGCTGTGAAAGAATCTCTGGTGCGGCTTGAAACTGGGCGTAGAGAAAGGCCGCTTGGATCTCACTCAGGGTTGCATTAATCCCGACATCCAGCCAACGATAGACATCCACTTCACCTCGCAGAAATTGAGCTCGGTTCGTGCCGTGTTCGTATAGGATCTCTGCCCGCGCCACGAGTGCGTCTTGATTGACGAGTAATGCCCCTCCCTGGCCGCCACTGGTGAATATTTTCTTCTCTTGGAAACTGATGCAACCCAGGTGTCCCATGGTTCCCAACGCACGTCCTCGATACATGCTGCCGCAGGCCATGGCGGCATCCTCAATCACGAGGAGGTCATGTCGATTAGCAATATCCAAAATGGTGTCCATGTCGCAGGCGATTCCAGCATAGTGCACCGGCACAATGGCCTTGGTCCGAGGCGTGATCGCATCCTCGATCTTCTGCGCATCGATGTTCATGGTTGTCTCTTCCACATCAACAAAGACCGGTAGCGCCCCATGGGCAACAAAGGCATTGACTGTCGACACGTATGTATAGCTTGGTACTATTACTTCATCCCCTGGCCGCAGATCGGCTAGGAGGGCCGCAATCTCCAAGGCCGAAGTGCACGAGCTCAAGACAAAGGCCTTGCCATGTGGCATGCTTGATTCAAGCCACCGCTGGCACAATGCCGTGTATTTCCCTTTCCCCGTCAGAATTCGGCTGTCGAGTACCTCTTGGATGGCCTCCAGCTCCTGGCCGGTGACTGTTGGCTGGAAAGTGGGTATGCTCGCCCCCGGCATAGCAACGTCAAGCACCTAGGGACCGACTCTTGCTGAGGGAAGTTTGTACTTTTTCATCTGACTCAAGCAATTATATTCTATAAATTTGAAGTAAGGCCATTAGATATATGGGATTCTTGCTACACCATATATGATTAGTCACACTTTCCTTGCGCCTTTTTCTCTATCTTTGCTGCTTGACGGCTGGCATGTGCACAATCAACGGACGCTCGAACGTCGGTTTCCGAAAGGTCTTGTTTTCGGTGAAGTTCTGAATCGTGAGGGACACTGCCAGACACATTTCAAATTCCCGGACATCCCTGGCTGACATCCTCAACCCTCGTGCTGTTATGATATGTAACACAAACCCCTCCCTTATTGCTGTCATGACAGAATGGTGTGTCAGTCTGTCCGACGCTTGTCACACCATAAAGTGGTTGCCCAAGTGTTTCTTGGACTGAATGCGGGCGGGCAAGATTGGCACAGGTTTAGACTCCCGAGCTTGAGGTGACTTGGACTGCAGTAAAGTGCTAAATGGACAGGTTCTATTCATCGCCCACAAGTTTGGATCGGATTTATGCCCATCCTTGGATTATGTGGTAGAGTGAGGTCGGTCATTTACCTACTCAACGACATGAGTTCCCATCCTGCGCCCGTGCCATTCTGCATCCGTTGGGGTATTATCGGTATGTGCCTTGCTTACATTACCTTGTCCGTGGAGAGGTTTACCAGACTGTTGACTTCTGATAGCCACAGGAAGCATTGCTGAAAGTATTACACCTGGCAAATAGTGCTGTGATTCTTACCGGCTAATCCGCCATGTAGCATTTGCAAAAGACCTTCTCGTTGATCCCGCGTCGCGAGGTGTTACTGATGTGTCGCATTTATTGGTGGCGGTGGCATCTTCGCGATCCACCGAGATCGCCAGCCGCTTCATCAACAAGGTCGGAGCGCCGTCGTCCTGCATTGCGTATGGTAGCTACGACGCTCTGGTGGCGGACCCCCGCGTAGATGTCGTCTACGTCGCCTCTCCACATTCCCATCACTACCAGAATGCTATGCTCGGGCTGCAGGCCGGAAAGCATGTGCTCTGCGAGAAGCCCTTTACTGTGACGGCTAGACAGGCACATCGACTCGTCGAGACCGCTCGCGCGCGTAAACTTTTCCTCATGGAAGCCATGTGGACACGCTTCCTGCCAATATCGGCTCAGATTCGGCAAGAAGTCCAGAATGGCGCCATTGGGCCCGTTATTCGGATCTTTGCTGATAACTCGATCGGAACGAACGCTTTGAAGGAGTTGAAGGACAGCTATCTTACCAAGAAGGAGTTGGCTGGGGGCGCGTTACTAGATTGTACGTGATGCTTAGCTTCTCTGCACGGAGCGATACTAACGATGGCTGGACTTTAGTGGGCGTATACCCAGTCCACTGGATCATGCAGACCCTCGCTCCCAGGCCCGATCCCAAGCCCAGCAGTATCCTATCAGCAATAACACCCCTTCTTGGCGCCGGGGTGGATGAATCGACAACCATTCTTATGACCTTCCCCGGCACAAGTCCATCCCCTGTATCCGTGCAGGCGATTGCCAGTTCCAGCCTACGCGCCATGGCGGATCCGGATGGTCACACCCCGGTAGTACGAATCCAGGGAGACAGCGGGGAAATCCAAATCTATGGCCGGCCTTGGTGTCCGTCCAAGTACCGGATCATCAAACGAGTGCAGCAGTTTGGTATTACAGGTGGAGGGGAAGACTTCGAGTATCGAGTCCCAGGGGGCGCACATGGGCTTTGCTTCGAAGCGGACGAGGTCGCCCGTTGTGTCCGAGATGAACGCCTGGAAAGTGCAATCATGCCGTGGACGGAAAGCCTGACTGTCATCGAGATACTGGATGCAGTGCGTAGGGCTCATGGGCTTTTCTTTTCAGAGATCGTCGAGTCGGAGCAGTATCCAGTAACTATGCCCGTTAAGATGAACTAAGCATGTTATCAGCCTTCATTTCAGTATAATGCAAGATGCCTCTCCTAGGTAGTTTTAAATATCACACCGTTGTTTAGATGACTTGAGAATTCGAGCGCGCCGTAGCAGTCGACCTTTTCATGGGAGTGAATGCAATAGCCAGAATCATCATCAAGGCACTGAATGTTCCGAGTGAGATGGCCATGGCTGCCCAGCTCACAGCCTCCCGAATATAGCCGGCATACAGAGGCCCAACCAGTGTCCCAGCAGCAAATGCGGCGTTACTTAGACCGTAAGCCTGCGAAGACGCCCCTTCATCCCCGAAGATCCCTGGACGTCCCTTCTCCATGTCGTCCTTGGCTAAGGTAATTTCTGTCATCATTGCAGGCATGGCAAGTGATACCCCACAACCGAAAAGGAATAAAAACAGGCGGAGCAGCACTGACATTACTTCCGTCGGTTCAAGTATCAGCGAGAGCAGCATAAGGCTCGGAGTAATCAATGCAAAGCCCAAAATCGCCGGCCAGAACGGACCCAAGCGATCCACCACAAATCCGCCAAGCGGAGAGCAGATCATAGGAAGGGTATTGGACAGAAATACAATGGCGATGTCTGTCGACCGGTAAGGAAAAACCTCGGGGAGATACACGGGCAGTACGGCCTCCAAGGCAGTCATGAACGAGTTCAGCATGAACATTCCCACCATTGCCACGAGAAACCTAGGCATGCATATCAAGTATAACAGTGCAGGCTTCCTTGGAGAGCCTGTAACAGGAGTAGCTGCCACGTCTGACATTAGCGGACGCCCCTCCTCGTCGAATAGGTCTTGCTTGACATCAATCTCATGCGACGGCGTGATGAGAAGCACCCGTAGCACAAATTCCAGTACTACAAGCACGAAGGCTGGGACAAAGACGGCGAAGTATCCCGCCAGATCATATAAAAGTCCACCCACGATGGGCCCTGCGAATAAGCCAACGCTGAGACTCATGCTCGTAAAGCCGATGGCACGTCCTATGTGTTGCTCACCAACTGTGTCCAGCATCAGACTAAAGCCGATGGTAAATACTATGGCAGTGGAGCAGCCCTGTAGGATTCGAGCGAGAAGGATCAGAGTCAATGAGTTGGTAAGCGAAAAGAGCAGTGTAGCACCCCCCATAACGCCGACCCCGAGCAAAAATGGCAGCTGCTTCGTACGAGTTCGATCGCCCATCCAACCGAATAGCACTGTGACAATAAATCAATAAGTATGTGCATGCAGTGAGGTTCTACTGACAATGGATGCACATACATGAGCCCAGCATGATGGATGCCCCGTAGCTGGCAAGTAAGATGGAATTCCAACGCTGAATATCGGCATCCGTGAGACCTACACGCTCGGCGAGGGCAAATGGAAGCATAGGCACGACTAGTCCATAGAGGAAGATATCAGTAAAAACCGCCACGCAGACCACAATGACTGCAAAAGTGGTTGATGACCGGATCTGCTTCGCCAACATGTTGCGGGGGGACACAGCGGGAATGCAAGGCAGTGCAACACGGTCGCAGATGCTGAGTTTGAGGCGCAGCATGCAGTCTATGTCCACCGACCGAGAAATATAACATTTAGGCCACTCGAGCCTAGGCTCCTCTAAGCCCGGACAATTTATCAATCCCAGAAAATCCAGCAGGACGGATGGCACGGCCCCATGGTGCGACTTCTTCAATAGTTGGAAATTGGATCAATGTCATACAATGGCTTGCGCAGAAGATACCGCGGACTCTTCACTTTACTCGCAAACTTATCACAATATGTGATTATAGTGTTGTTCGTAAAATCTGACATCTCTTGTGTCTCCAGGCTATGCCTTGGCATGGACTGGAGGACAGAACAAAAGCAAGGAAGTCGTTTAGTTCTCTCAAACCATTAACTTAGACTACCGTGTGTCACACTAATGCGAGATTTCCGGCTCTGTAGTTGTGGCTCATTCCGTATATCCAGGACATTGAGACTTGCAGTTCCGGTTGCAATGGTTCAATCACGTCCATCACGACACTCCGCCCGTACTTCCTGCCTATGTCGTGGCACAAGTAGTCATTCTATTTGGCAGCTAAAGAGATTTGGTTCATTTTGTGTGGAAAAACATATTCGGGTCCGAAAAGTTTCACCACATCAATGACGCTTCTTGTAGTCAGGATATATCCCCGATTATTGGTAGTCATCCAGCCATGCTCTGCAGGGATATGTTTTCAGTATCTCGAATATGAAGACCCGTTCTAACGCACGGCAAACCCAGCAATAACTGTCAGCATCTCAATCTGCTCTGGACCGTCTAATAGCTGCTTCTCCAAAAATGTTGAATACATCTGGCGGAGCCAGGGACGACTATGGTGGTGCTCAAGGGCATTGATATTGGCCCATCTGTGTAACCGGTCAACTGATTATCTTACAGAGATCTCAACCAGGCCCGTGCGACACATGCCTTTCAATGACTCTGAACTCTAAGGTACCATCAACTCGATGATGTTCTGTTAGAAGGAATGCCAAGCACGATGGTTCTGCCTGCTCCACAAGACGGGCCGTGTCGCAAAGAAGGTGTCTAACCTGATATAGCGGCGAATATCAGTGGATTATCAGCAATGCCTGACAAAGCGCGAGGTAAGGGGCGCATACCTCAGTCTCCTTTCCCGGGGCCGGTCGCAGGGTGGCAATAAGTTGGACCTCAGCCATGACTCAGTTCAGTTGGTGGCAGAACCGGCATGGTGACGAGAGGGAATACGGGCTTTTATCTTGTTTTCTTGCGCAACCTTGTCGGAGTTCCCTTTGTCGAGCCAGAGCCATTCAAGCAATTGGCGCTGGATATTGACCATGCTTGCAGCTCCATGAAGGTCAGCAACGCCTACCATGAGCATCTACAAACTCCTGGTGGAATTTCCCTATTGCATTAAGCCTTGCTAATTCCTAGGCTTACTCCACGTGATCATAAACACCTCTCGTGTACATTGAGACAGCCTTTGACCATGATCTACCATTATGCAAGCATCTGTCGGACCCGGGTAAAAGACTCGTTGTACAGCACAAAATGATATCTTACAGATGCCTCTGTGCATTATATTGTGTATATCGGTATTATTGTTACAGAACTGATCGTCATAGATGCGGGAGAGGTGATCTCTGGCCGGCATCTTTAGCAAAGTGGAGCGGCTTCCTTGGAGGGAGAAATACTTGGTTTTTCAATATTAACTAGACAGTACTAGCATCGCTGGTATGTATATCCTTGTGCATATCGTCACAGATACCGACTATGATGAGTGAACGTCGAACAGTGATATATCTATCTTGGCCATCATTTACAGGGGTAGCAGTGGAGAATATGGTCTGCTTGTCAGGTTGACTAGGAAGTTCCCGCTGGTTCCTAGCCTCTTGTACACACATGTGTCATTGATTATGCCAGATAGGTTACGTTGACTGCATGAAGACACATCAGGGCTACTGTCTTCCTGTACACATGAATAACAAAGTGACATTGAGAACTGCAAATCTGAGGCCGGCTTTGGTCATGCGGGCATAGACCTGGGACACGAGGTATACATCATGTCATTTTTTGAAATTCGAATGACATTTGCGGGGACCTGATGGCGAAACTATTCGATATGGTGTCATTTGCTTGGGAGACAAGCTGATAGATAGACCTCCGCTTGTGGCACACCCCAGTAGCCTACGTCAACGCTGGCATTTCAGCACCATTCGCAAAAATTTTGACTCGGTGAACTGTTTCGGGCTCTACGGAACAAGGTACATCTACACCCACAAGTGTCTGAACTTCGAAGGCGCAGAGGCGTCGATATGGTGAAGGTGTCTCACTCTCCAATATTGGAACATAGAAAAGCGAACATTATGTTAGATTCCGCCACCTAACAAAGAGAACAGTGCCCATTATGCTATAGTTGTATATCCTGAAGCTAATATTTCATTCATAGATGATCGCAACCTCTGTGCAAGATTTGTAGTGTTTATGTGCAATCATTACACAAATTCGGCGGCACGATGACTGTCCAACAGCGAGGACTTGGAAGCAATGGCTCAGATAATGAGGATGCTATGGGAAGTGTGAAAACCATCTTAGTTACTGGGGGCGCAGGATTTATGTAAGTTTATTACCGGGCGATGATCATTCGGATGTAGAGACATCGATAGGTGAATTAACACTGCATTTCAGCGGGGGCTGGTTCATTCGGCACCTCCTCCAGGTATATGGTACGAGGTATACGGTACTCTGCTTTGATATCCTCGATTACTGCGCGTCCAAGTGCAACATACACCCCGTCGAGCATCTTCCCAACTTCCACTTTCTTGGAGGCGATCTGTGCGACCCCGACAGGGTAACAGCTGTCTTCCAGCAGTTTACAGTGGATGCCATTGTCCACTTCGCAGCAAATTCTCACGTGGATCAGTCTCTGGTTAACCCCGTCTCTTTCACTCGAAACAACGTGACTGGGACCCATGTTCTTCTGGAAGCAGCACGACAGGCCGGGACGGTCATACGGTTTATCCACGTATCTACTGACGAGGTATACGGAGAAAATCGGCCAAACCAGGACTATGCCTTTACCGAGGAAGATCGGCTGAACCCGACCAATCCATACTCAGCTAGCAAAGCCGCTGCTGAGATGATCGCCAATGCCTATCGGTATTCTTTCCATATGCCCATCATAATAACTCGCTGCAACAATGTTTTCGGTCCCTGTCAGTACCCCGAGAGTAAGAGCTCCCTGATGACATTCTAGAGGGCTGCTGGTTCCTGACGTATATTTTCTTAGAACTCATCCCTAGATTTGCGATGCAAATGCTGCGTTCCCAGCGTATGACTTTACATGGTGAGGGAAACGCAGTTCGTGGGTTTGTCTTTGCCGGCGATGTCGTGAACGCTTTCGATCTCATTCTCCATCGAGGTCTTGTATCCGAGACCTACAATATCTCCTCAAAGGAGCAGATTCAAGTCATTGACGTTGCGAAACGAATTCTACGGTGGTTTCACGCAGGTCCGAGCCATGCGTGTGAGCAATATCTCGAGACAGTGACAGATAGGCCCTTCAATGACCGGATGTATTGGACCGATGACTCTAAGCTCCGGCAACTAGGGTGGGAAGAGAAAGTTTCATTCGATGATGCACTTACAATGACACTAGAATGGTATCGAGACCATGGCGAAACATTTTGGTCTGATCCAGGCCCAGTCTGCAAATTGAATGGGGGTCCGGGGTAATCCTCCTTATTCACACTGGTACCATCGCTTTGCTTGCGTTGCGGGTGAGGTTGAGACCCATATATGAGGATATTACTACCGCCATATAACCGGTATCTGGATTCCACTCATGCTAGACAGAATACAGTAACTTTAGCTTCTTATTGGACGGTTATTACACCTTTTGTAATTGTGCATTTCCCTATGAAAACATGAAGACGAGGAAGACATAACTTCCCTCGCTTAGCTGTTGACTCTCCAAACCTCAACCACGAAACAGCTTCGCCTCTCAGGCCAGCAAGTGCACACGTTGATGCTTACTCCATGATTTGTCCTGGCGTTGTTGTTAAGGACATTGACTGTCAGCACAGAACCCCCTACAGGTTCGATCATCAAAGTGCAAGAAAGGACTTCCTTTGATTTTGACATAGAAACCGTGTGATCCAGCCAAACTGATAGGTTTTCAAGTCTTGATCCACATAAGCCATAGGCCTCACCAGAAATGACCTTCCGAGACTCGCCGAAAAGCAGTGCGGAGTTTCCCAGGGCGCAGAAAAGAGCCGACGGCTGGAGAGTTCCAGCAGGCCAACCACAGCCTAAAATAACCATCATCATCAAACCCTTTCAGCTTCTGATTCTTCAAACAAACTACTACCATGTTTGCTTCATAATCTGTCAGAAAGTCTATTCAGGCCATCTGTGCTTTTAGCACAAAGACCCCGACCGTGGCCGTTCTTCGCCAGGCTATTGAACCACCCGTGATCAGTGGCGTCACAAAGCCTCGCAAGCCGGGTGGTAAGCCCTCAGTACCCTCAGAGACATGCTTATAGCTGAACCCTTCCCAGGCTATCAGGATTCTGGCGCAGACATTGCTTACACCCTTCGGCAGAAGGGCGTGAAGGTCATAAAGTCAGATCCTTCGGCCCCAGTCTCCTCCAATGAAGGCTGGGCGTTCCCAGACACGGAGGAAGGAATTTACAGCGCGGCCCAGCAGGGCACCACGCATTCTGGGCTAACACCTGTAGCCTCTAAGATCTACGTAGTGGGTCAGCCGCCAGGCCTGGTTGAAAGCTTTGATGACAAGGCATATCTGAACGATAAACTACGGGAGCTTGGAGGCTACACCTTACCAAAGTCCTGGCTGGTGAGTCCTGAAAATATCAGTGAAATTATCAACCATATCGACCGGTACCCAATCGTCGGCAAGCCTGTTCGAGGACGCGGTAGCTATGGAGTGAAAGTGTGTCATGATAAGGGCCAGCTACAGCGACATGTCCAGACCCTCCTTCGTGAATCGCCACTGGTCATGCTTGAGGAGTTTCTCTCTGCTGAGGAGGCAACTATCACCGTCATGCCTCTAATTATAGAGCATCCCCAACATTGGAGCATGCTTCTGCTGATCCTGTGGTGTATATTACTAACAATGTATGGCACATTGAATGTAACATCTATGGGATATGATGCATTACTGCATTGACGAAGACAGAGCCACTTTTGAGTAGATATCGTTGGTATCGGCGATAATAAGTGGGAAAGTATGCTTCGGCTTTCATTGCCACATAGCTCAAGTCAGCGGTCGAGAGCTGCATTGATATTCCATTACCTGGACTGCTTAATGGAATAGACTAGCATTAGCGAGCGGCAGGAATACAATATTGATCAACAGGTGCCTGTCACAACCCACCCCTGCCACAATGTCTCATATCACGACTCCGTGTTGGTCCACCCCCATAACCTTCTTGGGTTATCCACAAACAACCTCCTCACCTGCGCCTGCGTTCCGGCCCACTCAAGCGTCTGTTGCAGAATAGCCTGATTGTCGACGTCCCTAAAGTCCTGCTCAACCAATCTCCCTCCAGCCCCATTCCCCTCCTTACTCGCCGTATGCGGCCAGTCGCTGCCAAAAACCACCATGTCGGGTCCAGGCAGCATAAGTGTCTCCGCGATAACCCGCAGATCACCATACAGCGGCTTGTCCCGGGAGTTCTGGTACGGCGCCGAGATCTTAACGAAAAGGTGATTTCGTCGCATTAGGTCCACCACTTCTCGGAACCCGGGGATGCTGAAGGGATCGATCGCATTTTGTAGATTGCCCGTACGGGAAGCTGTCATCGCGTGAGCATAGTGGTCCGCTACGACGCGTACCCCCAGGGTTGGAATTATAGGGTGAAGGGACTTGAAGGAGGCGATAGGGACCCATAACTGCAGGATCCAGTTGTGAATTCGCGCGATCAACGCCGCGCGAATGGTATCTGCGGTAATCTGTGCGTCTGTCCCTTCGTTACCATAGTTAATGCGGATTCCGCGGACGCCGGCGTCGTGAAATGTTTGAAGGGTAGTGTTATCGATTTCCGCCGAGAGGTCTAAGACGCAGACGCCGCGATAAGTACCGTTGGTGGAGCGTAGGGCGTCGATAAGGACGCTGTTATAAGTTCCATATACGCTGGGTAACACAATGACGGCATGCTGAATGCCGACGGAGCGTTCAAATGCCAGGGCCTGCTCGCGAGTCGCAGCTTTGGGGGTGTAGTCTAGCAGGGCAAATCGGTCAGATCTGGGCTTACGTTTTGAAAACGGTCAACAGCACGCACCACTGTCAGGACTGAGGGGGAACTTGTCGGATTCGATGATATGAATATGAGAGTCCCTATCTTCGAGTCAACACCAAAGTGAATAGTTGGTTGCCACGAGCCAGGGGAATGACCAAGCATATTTCGGGACTGTTAGCCCGGCTTTAGCCTTGACGATTGTCATGCTGACGAGAAAAAACAACTGTCAATGTTAGTGGAGCCTATTACTGTACGTAACAAACGCACTGTCTGTAGAAGGGTAAGGCCAGCAAACTTGAAAGGCATAATTGGAAAACTGCAGACACCAGCGACTACCGGCAGTCCCACCAAGTTGCCATTCTTAAAGTGTATTTTGATGATTTCCCTCATCCGATTCTCGGAACTTCCGACCTTGGAAGCTATATAAATATACTCCCTCAGAGGACGCACGCTCGATGGCAGAGTGCTTAGTCCTAGCCGATGTCCGCGGTGTCGTAGGAATCCCAAGTACTTTGTTTCTAGTACTATCTAACAGATGATAGGATACTCATGGTCTTGCAAGGCTTCCGCAGTACCTTGATCGCGTTAGCAACGGCCGGGTCAACGCCCGGCCAAGCATCAAGATCACCGACAAAACCCCGGTAGTTGCACACCTGGACGGAGATAACGGCTTTGGCTTCGTCGTCGCAACTCGCGGTATGGACGAAGCTATCAAGCGTGCAGAAATCTATGGCATCAGGATGGTAACGGTCAACCACTCCAATCGTTTTGGCATGGCAGTAACATACGTCCTCCAAGCACTTAAGGCAAATATGATCTCGCTTGTCTTCACCAATTCCGCCAAACAGATGTCCCCTTTCGGAGGGAAAGAAACGCTCCTCGGGATCTCGCTGTTTGCCGCCGGTGCTCCGTCAAACACGGAGGTACCATATATTCTTGACATGGCGCCCTCTGTTGTTGCTAAGGGAAAGATCCGACGCGCTGCACGCTGTGGTGAGCCTATCCCTCCGGGCTGGGCCCTAGATGCAGATGGGAACCCGACAACGGGCGTAAATGTCGCCTTAAATGGCAGCATGGTGCTAATTGGAGGGCCGAAGGGATCCGGTATTGCGATTCTTATGGACATTATGTCGGGTGTTTTGGCAGGCGCCGAGTTTGGCGGACAGGTTGGAGACCAGTATAAGGATATGAAGCCCCAGAATGTAGGCCACTGCTTTATTGCTGTCAAGCCCGATGTCATCATGAGCACGGAGGATTTCAAAGCTTGAATGGATACACTTGCGCAACGTGTGCACGGGGTTAGTCCGGCGCCCGGATTTTCGGAGGTGCTGTTTCCTGGGGAGCCCGAGCACCGGTTGGGGTTGCAGAGGCGGGCTGAGGGCATTCCCTATGCGGATGCGGAGAAGACTCTTTTCGCTGATGCCGCAAAGCATTATGGTGTCCCAGAACTACCACTATCGGATTGTCCGCTAGCATTAAGTTGAAATCGTGGAAGATCAAAAGACGATGTAAAGGCGTATAGCAATGCTCTCATTGAGAACATACAATGAGTCGTTCAGAGTCTCGCGACGTCCGCTTAATTATATTGAACTCACCCACCTAGGTCAATGGTTGATTACCTTGACTTATACCTACGGATACTATAATTTAGGATGGTATATGTGATTATAGGAATGTTTCGTCAATTTTGGTTGTGATAATGTAAGACCAGGTTATCATTCAATGGTTATCATATTTGCCAAACATATATAAGTAACTACATCTCAGACCTATGGAGACAATAATAGCCACGCGTCCCTATCTACTCATTTATACCAATACCTCCTCAAGTCATGATCGTTACCATTTTCTCACATTTCGAGTGCCCTGAGACCTTTTGTTCATCTACTGTTTGTATGAACTTTTTTTCCCAACTAGATGAAAGGCATCCATTGCCAGGCAGCTACATCAGAGTGTTGTCGAGCCTGTGCAGTTGAGCTTGCTGGGATGCTCATACTCGTGATTCACTCTTTCCATATACTGCTATTTCAGAAATGTAGCCATTAACCCCACCCTCGGTCGGCCATGGCCGGGCCAACCCATCGGACCGCTACCGAAGAGTTCGGTTAGATCCGTCTTTCCCGCGTGTTGATCGCCTCGCCAGTCGACTTGTTTTACTTTTTCAGAAAGAAAGAATTACTCAACTACTGGTCTTTGGGCGGGTAGTGAGTGAAATGTGGACATGTAACTATTGGATATTGCAAAGAACAGAATGCTGACATTCTACTGGTGTCAATTTCTTTGTTCTGCACATAAAAACATCGATCTTTAGTAAGGAAAACCTGATATCAGACTAGGTTTTGAAGTATATACTCGGTGCACGCATCCTTGACAGGCCAATTCGGGAAGAATCTACACTGATACCACACTCTCTATGAATACTCAAGCGGGATCAAGCCTTGCCTGCCGAGCCAAACAACTTCATCACCCTTTCCACCGACTCGGCGTAGATCTCAACTGCCCGTACCTTGAGCACCGTCAACTCCAGCTTTCCCGCATTCTCCGCCACAAACGCCGTGTAGTTGTCGCGCACCGTCCGGTTAACATTCACCTTGCTCATGCCACATTCAATTACCCTGAGGAAAAGCTCGTCCGAGACCGGATGCGTACCATGCAGGACGAGCGGAGTGGACGGGACGGCCTCTTCGATCTGTTGGAGCCTGCACAGTAATGAATGCAGTCAGTGGCCCTTTGATCTTCACAACCTAACCACATTGGAGAAATGAGGAGTAGCCTACATCTCTAAATCCCAACATCCCTCTGCTCCCACAACCCCGTAGCCCCCATGCACATTCCCAAAGCTGGGCGCCAAAAAGTCTGCCTGAGTCGCCTCCAGGAACTCCCGTGCATCGCCAGGCCTCGTCACCACACTGCCTAGGTCCATGTTAGGAAGGCCATCCTCGCCACCCTCAATCCGCCCTAATTCAACCTCGACCGCCATACCGCACTCATGCGCCATGGCTACCGTGCTCGCGCAGAGCGCGACATTCTCAGCCTCATCCATGCTGGACCCATCAATCATTATCGAATCAAAGGGGAGTGTGAGAGCGAAATCGATGTCATCGGGTTCGATGCAGTGGTCTAGGTGCACAGCGATGGGGACGGAAGCGGCATGCGCAGCAGCGACGACGAAGCGGATGAAGTGTGCGCCCTGGAAGTGCATAGTCCAGGGAAAGAGTTGGATTATGGCGGGGCTGTGCGCGCGCTCGGCGGCGCGGATGACTGCCATGATGCCGTCGGTGTTATAGCTTTGGTTAATTCGTTAGGTCTCGTAGTGGGAGAGGATTGGGCTGGAAGACTGATTCACGGGGGAAATATGTACCAGTTGTAGGCGCCGACAGCGTATTTGCCATTCTTTGCGGCATGGAGGATGGAGCGCGAACGGTTAGTGTGGTGAGATTGAGAGCAGGTGGACATTTTGCGTGCCAATTTCTGTTGAACCAAGAGGTTGATTTGGAACATTTGAGGCAGTAGTCACTTTTCTACATTAATACTCAACGCGTCACCTAGCTCAGTCCCGACGGACTTGCCTCCGAGGACAGCTCCGTCAACGGGGAATTCCGAGCGCACCTTTACCGAGTCCGAACGGTTGCCGCGATCAGTGGCCCTCCTTTCCTGGTGATCGTATACCTAGTTTAAAATTATCTGCAAATTAATAACTTGCCATGGATAGTTTGAAGGGAAACGGTGAGAAGCGTGGCTTCTTCCGGAGGAGCTGGGCGGCCCTGCGTAAACAGGGGAGTTGTACCTGAGACAGAGTTTCTTTGTATGTAGTTCATATCATGGTCTGGTGAATTGTTCAGGAAATGGATAATGTAGTGTCTTGAAAGGGCCGTGTTCATGCTGACAGTTTTCCCGGTAGTTGGGTCTCACGGTAGTAGGCCCGGATATCATGGGTCGTGTATGAATTTGTATTAGACACCATCCTACGTCGAAAGTTTGAGGCGGCCATGCCTTTGAACGGGATCAGATTGAATTAATTCCAGGCAGTTACCGCGCAGGATATGCAGATATAGTACTGTGGTAGGAAAGTAGTACCAGAGGTATTCCATATTACCTGTGCTGAGATGGTTCGGTGTGGGATGGACCTGCGGTCTAGTTGCATGCTGGTCAATATATTCCTCACACTCTATGTGTAAGGTTAATATTTGATCTAACTATCTAAATATCCTATCAATATGTAACCTCTATCCCTAGTAGGTATCGGGGTTATATTAAACGCGTGCTTCAGAACAATTTGTGTCATCGCGGCATTACGCGTCCAAGTCATTCAGACAAAAGCCTCATGAAGAATATAGAATATTCTAGAGTGCCTCATGTACTGGGAGAAATATGGGATCAATATTTGTCATAAATTTGATTTTCCACAACAGAGAAAGATAATGCATAAATAAAGAGTTAGATGAAAAGGAGATGAAGAAAATGAAAGAAGAAAATGGTTCCGTCAAAGTAATCAAAAGACCCCGAAGATAGTAAGCCTCTGATAGAGCGAAGAAAAACTACCATCAGGCGTATTGGCGGGGAGCTGCGGTTATCCGCGCTGACGTGAGATTGGTGTGGGGATAGCCTTGCTTACGGCACTCCTTTTAAAAGAAGTGCAAAGCCCTGGAAGACGAGGTGGCTGAAGGGAGTACAAGTTCCATTCCACGGCCATTAATGCCCAAACCTATCAACCGATCATCATGTCCTTCTTCCCTACCCCAACATCAGAGCAGAGCATGCACAAAGGCAACTGCCACTGCGGCGCTGTGAGCTTCCGCTTTTCGCTGTCTCCGCCTCTGTCCGAATATCCCGTCGTCGACTGCAACTGCTCTATCTGCAGCAAAAATGGGTACCTGCTCGTGTACCCCTCGCTCAAAGACTTCACCCTTGAGAGCGGCGACGAAACAACCCGGACGTACCAATTTGGCCGGCGTCAGGCGAAGCACGAGTTTTGTGGGACCTGCGGGAGCAGTTGTTTCATCCGGCTGGTGGCAGAGGACGCGCCACCAATCATAGCAGTTAATGTGAGTGCATCGGTGTAATTGAAGGGCCAAAGGTGATGCTAATTGATCCAGGTCCGTTTGCTGGAGGACTGTGATCTGGACAAACTAAATTACAAAAAAGTTGATGGAAGGTCTTTCTAACCACATTATACGTACCAGCCGCCGCTCTATCAAAATCTTATATTCACGAGATGCAGCCAGTCAACGTCACTCGGAACACTCCACTCACCGTCGGTATATGTAACCTCGTCCATCTCATACGAACAAGAGACATTGGGGGGGAAGGTGGTAACTCGGATATAACTTTGGTAATATAGGATGTTCTATGTACATTATTCTATGAATGCTTTTGTCTATACACGTCTAGGGTATCTTTTACAACTTAACCTGAAATCGAGGGTGCGTCCGGATGCGTGCCCCGTACCGCCAAAAGAACAGCGGACACGCACACATCACGAGCGCAATGAAGGCGAGAAGAGAATTGCCCCATCCCAAGCCCAGGGCATCGTACATGGAAGGTCCAGCCAAGGGCAACAGGGCCCCAACCAGCGATCGTAGACCCGTATTGGCGGCCGTCACCGAGGCGGCGTAGCGGAGGTAGGAGTCGACCAAATAGGTACTGGCCGACATGAAGACGGTCATCAGGCCAATGGCAAAGACACCAGTGCCGAGGATGGGCACGATCCAGTGCGTTTGCGCCTTGGCTGCCCAGCCGTACCAAAACAAGCCGATGGGGATGGCCCAACAGCCGAAGACCATGGGCGGCAAGCGTGATTCTGGGGTGAAACACCCCTTAGCCGAATGGGTGCGCGCAATGTGATTGGAAACAGCGCCACAGATGACGAGTCCGATCAGACAGCCCACACCGAACCCTAGATATGCCAGGCCTGCGACGCCCGGGGAGAAATGATAGACGTCCTCGAAGATGGAGGTGATGGTGGTGAACATCAGGTACAAGTAGCCATAGGTGATGGCGGCAAAGAGCACCATGAGGAGGACAATGGGCGATTTGACGAGGAGCTTAATCGGGCGAGCCAATGCGATCAGAAGGAGCTCACGCGCCTGCTGGCCACGATCATGGACCGAACGCAGGTTGGGATTGCCCGTAGCCTTGCGTAACCGGGCCGCTTTCCGTTCCAGAATGACGGGGGCATAAGTTTCGCGATACCAAATCATGCACAGTATACTCATCACTGCGGTCTATGTCCAAGATGTTCCATGTATTAGCGGGTGATTAGGAGGAGGGGGGCTGGAGTGTGGACGTCTAGACTTACAGCGATCGCAATCACCCAAAATACCCAGCGCCAGCCTTCAGCTTCAGCGAGGAAGCCACCAGCTACCGGTCCTACCACGGGGCCAAGGATGGGCCCCATGGCCCAGATGGCCATAATACCGGCGCGCTTCTCCTTGGGAACCATGTCGGCCACGGTGCCTGAGCCGATGGTGAGGGGGCAAACGCCGGCGGTACCAGCCAGAAGACGAAAGACGATCAGCTGTGGCATGGTTTGGGCCACGGCGCAGGCGATGGTGAAGATGAGGAACAGGATGTTGCATGCATGATAGAGGGGCACCCGACCATAAATCTCCGAGAGCGGGGCGATGAAGAAAGGGCCGATCATATATCCCAGGACATAGACGGACACCACGAAGGAGGCGAGCATTGTACTGGTGGAATGAAAATCGATCATAACGTCCTCCACCCCGGGGGCGAACATGGAGGAAGCCAAGGGTCTACCCTGGTGGTATTAGCCATCAATACCAAGAACGTACAGCACGGAAGAGGATATGATAAGCAAAATCAGAGCAGCAGCAGCGAGACATACGTGATAAAGGTGTTGAACGCCATTAGAACTAACTGGCGGCCTTTTTTCCAGCGAGGCCAGTTGAATGGGTTTTCGGGGTCATCGGGGCCATCATAATCTACGACGTTGTCTGAATGCAATTCAGTGGGCTGCAGAATTGCGGGCGGCTGACCCTTTTCCAAGTCAGGGTTGGCGAGGGTATCGGATGCACCCATCTTGGCCCTCCTCGGTATAGTAGAAGGATTTGGAAGGGAGGGGGAAAAGAACGGAAGCAGGGGTAAGCAGACTACATCTACTGGATAGAAGGGCAATGCCCCAGATTTTATGCTGGGGGGGGATTTTCAGACGACTTGAGGACGAATTGGCCGCAGCCCCATCGCATGTTGACCCATGGGATGTTATGCCGACCGTCAGGAACACTGGCAGATTAGAATAATGGCAAAGTAGTAACCGAACGGGTTATGCCACACTCCTAGTACGAGTTTCCAGAATCATTTCGGCTGTCTTCCATCCGCGGGCCAATGGGAAGGGTCAGTAGCCCCTAATACACATAAATCAGTCATCATAAATGCCCCTGCACAGCGAAACTAGTCCCTGGCCACTGTTTATGTTGATGCATAATTAACAGATGTCTAGCATAAAACTAAGGAGACTAACTGATTAAAATTGATTAATTTGTTAGTTAACTAGTTACTTAATCCCGGAGAGCTTACGTCAGCTAGTCCTCCTCCTAAATTTTGCTTCTTTGTCTGAAATATTCTATTTCACATGGAGTAGAATGGGAATATACCTGCTTGTAGATGAGGGCAGATCATTGGACGACATGGTCAGGCGATATTAAGTAGTCTTATGATGGGAAGACAGGGCATGAAAACACAATGTCTTCATTCTGCGCAGAGTTATGCTGTGCTCGGCTCTTCTGGGTTTTTCTTCCCGAAAGTGGGGCGACCCACTAATACCAAAGCAGGAATTGATGGGGAACAAATGGGCAAACCGAAAACGAGACCGAAAACGAAAAGTCACATAAATATGACCAGGAAGGCATAAGCGAGGGTACTTAATAGTAGCTAGTCTGGATCTGCTGGTCGAGAGGGCTAGTAACACTACGGAGACGGTAGTAGTATATCAGGTCAAACACTCTTGGTCAGACCTGGAGACTCCTTGTTTCTTCCTGTAAGAAATCTAAGTTCAACCCATATTCAACACTACTGGTTACAAATATATATCTTCATCATTCTGGTACTCCCAAGTAATACCTCAACATGGTATCCCTATGACGCCTCTAGCAATTTCAACTTATTCTTAGGTATTGATCATACAAGCAAGTAGGGCTACAACAAAAATAAGGTAACAAGATTTACAATGTCAATAAATTCTTGTAGTTCAGGACACAGAAGCGCTTTTAGTGGTGGAAGCTCTGAACACGTTCACTGCTGTATTGTATCGGTCTGCCCACAGGACCTGTGTGCAATAAACTGGTTACAAGGTAGCTCCGTTGATTGTTCTCCTCTATCTAGCTGTTCTGAGGTGGATGCTGATTTCAATTTCTGCCATGTATAGAATACTTCCTCATGGAAGGGACTATGGAAGTCTCTAGTGATGGGATTTGCCGCGCAGACACATCAGCGAAGAACAATGACTGACCTATTAGCCGGATACCTAACTATCGGTTTAGTTAACGATGCTGATATGCTTCTGTGGGGCGATGGTGCGATGTGAGGCTCTAGCATGTGGCAGTTTTTCATGCAGACGAGTTTAAGTAAGCTTAATGCCTGAGATCGCACGGATTGATGAACTGCTTATGGAGCTTACAGACCACGGGCGGCCAATCATGTCAATGGTTCCTGGAACATGACTTTTCCTGTACGCATATTGCGAGCTGACTAAGGAGGGGGTAAAGAGAGCACTGTCACAATTCAATGCTCATCCTACTCCCATGGCGTAGGCAGCGTTTCCATGCTTGGTGTTGGTATGTCGAGGACCACTCCTTACATAAGGAAGTTCGAGAGACTGTCGGATGCTAGCTGCTGCCAGTCTGGGCTGGGTTGCGTTGAAAACGAACGTACGCGAAGGCTTTATTGACCTGTACCATGATATTGGGATTGGAGCAACCCTGCTATTCAGTACTTTCATTATTGTGACTCATGATTCCCCGCAAGACTGAAATCAATATTCCTAATATGGTATCGCCTTTTTGAATCTCAGTCATTCTTTCACCAATTCAGGTCTCCCACAGCCGTATTTCGGACGCGGTAGGTCACTACAATCTACCCACACATGGCAACAGCTGGTATAATGCCAGATCCCTACATATCGCTGTACTGTGACGCAGGGAGATAGTCCTCAGCAGCAACCGAAACAAAGATAGGGATGATACTATCAGATTCATCTTGAGCAACATCAGCTCTATTACAAGCGTTAGATTCCCCATCGACGCTCTAGATAGGAACAACAGCCGTGTAAGTCGCTATGGAGATGGTATTCCCGAATAGCCATGATTATAACTTATCATCCATATCACTCAAATGGCCAACTCTGATAGATGAATCACCCTTGAAATGTATGTAGTTAGCACTTTCCCATCGATCAACAACACACAGACTATTACAGCAGAAGCAACGTAGAGCACCATCCAAAATAAAGCAGAATATATTTTCGTAGTCTTTAACTCCACAGCCATCACTTCCAGCAAAGTTGACTTAGTAATTGCATTCAGGGACCAGTTTACAGGCGACTTGATAATGATTCATAACCTTACCATTGGCATCTAGAACGTAGATTTGCACATGTCTGTGAATATGAGACACAATTTTAATTACAATGTTACTCCATCATGACCTTGTGCCGACAGCTGGACCTAGCAGTCCTTGTTGGTCTATACATCACAGCCCAGCAGGGGATAATGAATGATATAATGCTCCGATAATACGTGCTCGAAAAGTTATCAGCCTCTGCGATTAAGATTACTGGAACACCCAGCATCAGCCCAGTATCCACATTCACGATCAAGGTAGCGTTCATCATTCATTATTCACCAGCGAGCCAAAGCAGCTGAAATTCTCTCCAAGCCTCAACACAGGAATATACCTCAGCAGCAGTACGATGACAAACACTAGATGGACTTTCACATAAAATTCTGCCAGTCCCTTACGATATGCATGTGTAGAACTTAATTCCCTTGTTTTTATCTATCCGAGTCTATGTTTTCGACCGGCTGCCCAATATCCTCGTTGACATTAAGGCTACAGCACTTGCAGTCAGTAGATCAGTAACCGCCAGGACTAGTAGTGGTGTGACCGCCGCACCAGGAAAAGATATTTGCAAGAATGGGTACTAGTTCGCGGACGACTTCACTTTCGACATTAATACCTATATGGCCTATCTATATTCAGATACTCTCTGCAATCTGACTCTGTCAACCCATGACACCGAGTGCTTCGATTTCGGAGCTCTCCAACGACATGACCCTAGACTTTAAGCCATGAGATGCTCCATAGGAGCGGGTTGGCGCTCTTCCCTATACGATTTGCCAGTCGAACAACTAGCCCGCGGGCGATATTCGTGACTCAATTTACCTATATGTTACGCCACGTATATTGTACATGAAGCGCACAGAAACCTTTGATATAAGGTACGCAAAAATCGACAAACTCGGTGTCTTCCCATCGACCAGAAAGATCGGTCTGATGGAGGGCAGCTCACTTATTTTCGACCTTCGTTACCCACAGAAAAATGGCCACAAGTACGAGAAAGCTTCAGGTGGTCTGCATGGCACCCCATGGACAAAACCACAGGCTATTGAGTCTTTGGATTGGTTGCATCTTTTAGCACAGGGTTCAACCCTCGGCGTGGCTTGTCCGAAGAGTGGATTCGACCAAAGGGAATACGAACTCCAGCCAACTTCTCGACTAGGGGGCACAATCACGAGATAGCTCGATACTTAGGCACCAGGGGCCAGCCAGGCAACATTGGAGGAATTTCGGAACAAGCCGTCGAAGTCTGTTTGATCTAGTGGCATAAACTAGACTCGATTGCGACCGTGAACAGAATCGGGTGTCAAGAGCGAGGGCGCTAACAGTTCTCGCCCCCCAGTCCGGTTTGCCACACAAAGAAAGGAATCCGGACGTATTGCGACTTGTCTGAGGCCTAGAAACCCATGTTTATTTGTTCATGAGTGTACAGTAGGATGGGAGAGGATATGGAAGTTTCCAAGGACTGAATAATAACCAGTGAGAAATTAGTATCAGATCCTGCCCTGTTGGACCCTGGTGAAATTATCTCGACGGGGAAGGAAGAAGAAAAAAAAAGCGTGAGTCTTAGCGCCGGCGCTAAACCCTCCCAAATGGCTCCATTCCGGACCCTTTTTCGAAACCCTGCCAATCAGTTACCCGAGGAGGCAATCTATCAAGATGCAGCAATTTCCACCTGTTCCTACGTGGAGTGATATGAGGCTCGAACCTCGAGGTAATTATAGATAAGCCCTGTTGGACACCACAATGGACCCTGGACTGCCCTCGTTCGGATTCTCCCTCCTCTCTCCCTTCCTCACCCACCATCCTCAGCGGTTGTCCGTCGGAGATGGCATCCTCACGTTCGTTTTCGGGATTCATCTCCCTTCTGCTTCTGTTCCAACTCTCTTCCTTCGTTTATGCTGCCCCATGGATTGTCACTGCAGACTACCAGGAGGTGGTCACCACAGAAAGGCATTACTATGCTACGTACACCACCACTCTCATTGAGCAAATCACTCCCACCGTCACTTCCATGCCCGAGGCAGTCTCCACCGCTACCTCCCTCGGCTCCTCGAATTACTACTACTACTACAACGACGACGAGGACGCCGAAAAGGATGTGACTATCATTCAACAACTTTACCCAACCGGCGTCGGGTCAGTGGTTGATGATTACGACTACGATTATGGCTATGGCTATGACGACGATGACGTTTACCACAGTACCAAGTTCGTTGTCAACATGACATATTCGGCGCCCACTGGTTGCTCGTCTCGCTGGACCCAGACAACAGCAGTTGAGGTTGTCCCGCCTACAGAGATCCAGGATCTGCTCCCACGCACGGCTGTTGCTACATCGATCTCGGTCGACTCTGTGAGACCTTTTCAGCCGACGACTTACACTATCGACATTGTCTACGTTGATCCCACGCAGCTCCCCACAAGCTCACTGGAGTCAATGAGCTTGTACAATCGGCCTACCTCATTGTATACTGCTTCTAGCTGTGCCTACACCGGCAGCAGCGGGAACGGGTACTACAGCGGCAGCTCGTACTACGGCTATTACGGCTATGATGACGGTTACAACTGGTTCACGGACGATTACTACATGGGTATCACGCCGCTGGCACTCACCCTCATCTTGACACTTGGCTGGATCGGCCTCTGGTTGATCTTAGGCTTTATTGAGGCGTGGATCCGATTCCGCCGCCTGATGATGGGCTGGCAAACACGTCGCGGTCTCCCTGTCTGCTGGTCACTGACTATTCTGCCCTTCACCCTGTTACTGCTATGCTTTTTCCGGAAGGGTTATCGGGCTCGCTCTGATGCAGATGGGGAGGTCCTTCGCAAGCGGTGGAAGGCAATGGGGTTCTGGACCAAGATGCGTCTCTTCTTCGTCTGGGGATTTCGGTACAAGTACCCGCCGGTACTCGGTCCTGCACCCGCCCGGGTCAAGACCAGCAAGCAGCCAGCAAAGAATCCTGGTCCTCGACTGTTGGAGTCCAGTCCCTCGCCCAGCGTGGCGCCACAATCGCGGCCGGCATCAGCCTCTGCATCCACCAGCGCTGCTGCTGCGGCTGCTACTGCTACTGCTACTGCTGCTCCGGCTTCTACTCCGGTTGATCCCGAAATGGCGATGGTTTCTTCCCCCCAAGTCACACACCCACAAGAAACCACTGTGCCGCCAACAACGACTACTACCCCCGAAGCGCCACCTCGTCGCCAGGATGATGAGATTGGTCGGGCGAACTAATCCCTCAAGTCGTGTTCAATATGCTCATGGTCCTAGTCTGATACCCTGAAAGCCACTCTTTCTTATACTATCATCCATCATGTCACAGAGAAACCCTCATGCTATGTCCAACGATTAAATGTATTCCTTAATAAGCTAATGTATTTACTGGGCCCTACCGTTTCGCCCAGCTGACGGTGTCCGGAGTAACACCACTCAAAATATGTATCTAATATGAATATCTATATACCATAAATACCAAACCAGCCAGTTTGAAGAAAACGATATAACCAGTGACTGGCTAATTTCTGTGGCATGTCCAGGAAAGGATCGACTATCGACATCATGGCTTCTCCCGTATATGGTGAGGAAGAAGGGTAGGAGGGTTGGTGAAAGGTTTTCCGTAGTATGGCGAACATCAATCGGTTGTCCAAAGTCGCGCCGCTATCCATGACTGCCGAGCCCGGTCTTGCGGTTGAACTAGAAGAGCACTAATGAAGGCGAGGGTTATTTTGTTTCATATTTCCATTTTTTTTTTTTTCTTTTCTTGCTCTCTTTCTTTTCACCCTTGAATGGAGGAGAACGGACCGCCCTACTTTCTGAACGAACCTCTTAATCTCTGTTGAGTAGGGTGGCTCGAGCGACATGAACTCCATCCAGCTCTTCGCCGTTGACGTGTCCGCGACCGTCGGAGCGGATTGGCGAGCATCGCCTATGTAGGCGACATCCGCGACAGTCTCCGGTAATTGTCATGGCTTATTCGCCCCGGATCCCCACCAACATATTTATTTATAAGGCCCATTGCTTGGTACATCAAGCAAATAACCCAATTTTAGCTTTCTTGAAGCCAGGATACCCAAAATGACTGTTATCGACAAACCAGACGAAGTCTATCCCCCAATCCCCGTATACGGTGGTGAGTCGACCCGGTAATTTAGATCTAATGGGTGAGTATGCTTACATTCATTTGCACAGGCCGATGGACTCCGCCAAAGCGCCTTCTGGACTGCTACAACCACATGTGGATTGACACAGACGTGTGGGAGCTTCCAGAAAATGTTACCTATGAGCTCTACAGCCAACCAACGCGCGGTCCCGGAGCCCAGGGCTCCTATCTGGTCGTCCTACCACCCGGCTACAATGACTTAGATGTAAACGGAGAACGATACCCCGTACTCTACTGGCTACATGGGGGCTTTTCATGCTCCCGCCATGCGCTGTGGTCACTCCAATTTTATGCACGCAAAATGGAGCTGGGCACTATGCCCAAGGTGATTTTGGTCGCACCACAGGTACGTATGGATGTGGCATAATAAGAGGAGAAGTGATCATTGTTATCTACGGATCTGCTGACACCGTTCATAGGCGTTGCCAAAAGGTCGCTGGATCAACAGTTACGACGGCAGCCGCCGCCTTGGGGACATCATGCGCCACGATCTCGTCACAGGCATTGATGAGCGGTACAGGACCATTAGACATCCATCAGCGCGTTGGCTGGAGGGTCACTCAGCAGGCGGGTAGGTGGCCAATCACCCGTAGAGTGTTCGTTTTACTAAGTGTTGACTAGTTATGGTGCCTTCAACCTTGGTCTCAAGTATCCCGATGTTTTCGGAGGCGCCTTGTCGTCACTTGCTGGCTCATTCAGAACCGAATTAGCCAAGGAGGGCCTTGAGGTTACTTACGACACCTACAACGGCTCGCAGGAATTTTTCACCTCTAATCATGCCCTCACGCTTCTGAAGGGAATCCTCCCTCAGGTCCATCGCGACAAGCCGGAGCTGCGGTTGCTCATTGGCGGCGAGGATATTAGACTACGCGAAGCACATGAGCACATGTGGACCAGCTTGGACGCTCTGGGCGTGCCTTACACGAAAGCTATTGTCCCGGGAGCTCCCCACACAGCAGAGCATGTCCTGGGGGGCCTGAACAACGATGGACTCCAATTTTGGTGGAACGCACGGGCAAAGGTTGTTGACGCCTGAGAGTGGGGCGTGCTGGGGCACTCCCATTTGAAGCAGTACTAGTACCTCAGTCTAGAAATTCTACTACCTCATCATCAATAAGCTCTTATATATAGCCCATAATGGATGAAGTATGTGATGGGATACAGCCCTGCCTTCGTATGCCACCCGAATAGGGATTCGGCCTCTCCATGACGCGGCGGAAAATAATTTTTCTATTGGGCTTCGCACAGTCCACATCGTCAGAGATAGCCGCATCAACCTTCCTGTAATTTGAATAGTTTATGAACCGTTCGGGATGGAAGAGCAGAATATTTTTTCTATGGTCGCTACAAGGCAACAGGTATAGAATACCTCTTCGCCGTGCAGATAGTAGACTAAATTGGTTCAGAACGTGCTTCAATTTGACAAATAATACTGAAGAAACCCAACTATCAATCTATTCCAGATTTTCCAGTGTAACAGCGTCTTAGATAGAATACTATTCGCCAGCATAGTTCCGTATTAACTTTAAACCTTGTTCTCGACTTGCTGTCGAGCTGAAGCAGTTGCTGGTTCTGCATGGTGGTTGCTGCCCGCCCTTTTGTTCTTTTTTTGCTCCAGCCAAGCTCTAGCAGCCTCCTTTTGCTGTTGATCATCGTCTCTCTTCAATGAGTAGTCCTTGACGAAGAAGACGCAAAGAAAGAATTGAATGCCGGCCAGGGCAGTCATCATGTAATATGTGACCTGCACTCCGTGGGCTGTCGCAATCATTTAGTCAATGAGTCGTTACGCCAAGTAAAAGAGGGGGGTATATCATTGGTTGGGATGTAAACAGATAAGGTAAATAAAGCAAAGTAGTGGCAAGGGACAACTCACCGTACGCATTCAGTGCTTCCGATTTTTGTGCCGCGGATAGTGACATGGATGCTATTTTTGTAGGATCGGCGATGATTTCGGAAATGATCGATCGCGGAAAGTTGATTCCCTCGAGCTTCGTCCTATCATTTTCTGTCAAGAAAAAACTTCGTTGGGAGCCAAGTGATACAAGATAAGGAAAATCATAAAAGCAAGGCAGTAATGGTTGGTTGAATGTAAATGCATTTTCGCTCACCGGACAATGTTGTTGACAATAGCCGAACTGGCCGCTACAGCCAAAGTCGAGCCCATCATTCGTAGATAATTACGAGCGCCAGTGATAACTGCCATCTCTTCCCTCTTGACTGCAGCTTGAATAGCAACCAGAGTCGTCTGAAGTGTCTGCCCACTGCCGAGCCCCGTCAGTAGCTGGAAGATCACGAGGACCGCTGCTGACGTTGATGGAGTGACCATTGTAAACAACCCCGATGCAATTGTCCAAAGAGCATAACCGACAATGAGGTTGATTCGATAACATGAGTACCTCGAAACCAGGAAGCCCGAAGAAAATGATGTGACAATCTGCGAGAGGATTAGTGGAAGAATCAGGATACCCGATCGTAGCGCGGAGTCGCCCCGGGCGACTTGATAAAACTGGGGCAGCTGAAGGGGGTTGTTAGTCTGAGTTGCAAATATAGAAGAAGGCCTGGGGAATTCCAACATAGTAGAGGTTAACAAAAGTCATGAATCCGGTGAGGAAAGATGTCAGGATGCAGATAGAGACGTGCGAATTCTTGAACATATGCACTAAGAAGAGATCAGCTGTGAAAGAACGGCTGACTACGGTAAAGAGGTGGTTGAGACTAACGTGGAATCCTGCAATGGAAAAGTTAATGTTACACGCAATAACTGATGATTTTTGACAACCAAAGTACAACTTACAATGGCAACCTGGCCACCCTAAATTCGACAAAGAGAAAGACTCCAACGAGCGCTACACCGAGTAACAGGGGTGCTAGAACAGCTGCCGAGGTCCAAGGATACTGTGTGCCAGCCCTGATAAATTGCGGATGGTTATTATACCCCGGGAGAAATCATGCTGCAGGTGGGTGGAAGAACTCTTGGACATACCATGAGATGGGAAGCAGGATGGCAATTGACGCAGAGAAACTAATCAAGCATCCCCAGCCATCAATCTGCTTGATCTTCTCTAATGCACGGCCTTCGACCTTCCGAAGGGGTAGCGCAAAGGCAACGACGACCATAGCAACCCCGGATAGGGGTACACTGATGTACTGGTAACGCTTAGCTATAGCCATTTAGGTCAGGTATACCGGAGAGGACGTACAAAACACCACCTCCAGGAAACCTTCTCGGTGAAGAGACCACCAATCAATGGGCCTAACGCAGTTCCGGCTGCCACAACTATACCAATAATTCCTTGATATTTCCCCCTGTCCTGAAGGGACACAACATCAGATACGACAATACTAACCACAGTAACAATACCTCCACCACCGATTCCCGCCACCGCCCCTAAGTGTAAACGGCATTAGCGTGGGGAGCAGCGAGATCAATTTAGTGACGATTACTCACGCGCTATGATCAGCATAATCATGCCCCTCGAGACACCCGAGATGACACTTCCCACCAGAAAAAGAAAGAGCGAGCCCAAAAGGATGAACTAAAGTTATGAGCCCAGTCAAATGATGCATAATAGACAGGACTGCTGAGTCGTCGGATTGGGAGACTTACCTTCCGGCCAAAGATGTCCGTCAACCGGCCATATAGCGGTTGACATGCCGTGCAAGTTAGAAGGTAGGCAGTACCCACCCAGGAGACAATATCGGCTTGATGGAATACAGCACCAAGGGTAGGCAGGGCAGTGGCAACGCTTGGGGTGTGTGTTCAAGTTAGGGCGGAAAAGCCAATACCCGGATATCGGAGAGATGTAATGAACGTACATAGTCTGGTTGAGCATCGAGCCTGTGAGAATTTTGTATAAGTCAAATGAGCTCGCCAGTGTTTCTAGGTCGAAGAGGTATCTTCTCACATAACATAGCTATTGATAGACCCGAGAAGACCACAAGTAACTGCTTCATGGGCAGTAAGTTTGTCTGCGTCTGAAGCTCTTTGCCTGGCCCATCTGTCATCGCACGCCGGCCCTGAATGTGGTCGTCATCACCGGCATGTTTTTCGTCTGCAGAGCTCTTATTGTGTGTGGACACAACAGGGCCAAGCACGACATTCACAGCATAGTCCGTAGTTAACAGATGAGGATGGATTCCAGGGCTGTCACAATTGCCTGGAGCGGCTATCACCGTAGTTGACTTCCGGTCGCTTGCCATAGTTCTAAGGGGAACGGCTTTCTCGTGATCACCCTACAGCACATTTCCCTCTGCAAGCTAGCCTTAGTAGAAAGGAATTATATAAACACTACTTCTCGCAGTAGTGGAACCTAAGGGGGCTACGAGTGAGCTTCATTGCAGATTCACCGTTTAATCTGACAGAGGACCAGAGGCGACCGTCGCCAACTGACGTTCAAGGTTAATTTCATTCCGGCTCCAATGCAAACTTTGCCACTTAGTTACCGAGCCTCTACCTGCCTATAGATGTCAAGTAGCATTCAGACGATGATCGTTTTCCAGATGGCCTGATTCCACTCTGGTCAGGCGCAAAAGTCCATGCGCACAGCGCCGGTTGTAGCAATCATTACTCTTCATAATCGTCCAAAGAAAAGCCATGATGCAGGAATTAGCCCGTACCATTTACGAATAATAATGGGAATATGGTAGGAGTTCATTGAGAGACCTAATAATCAGTGGTATTGTAATAGTCAATACTCTAATGGTTACTAAGTGTAACGACGCTCCCTGGAGGGAAATACTGACGTCTAAGGGTGCTTTCCCTCATCACTATAGAAAGCTTTCTCAGAAAGCTCTGAGATGATGATACATCAATGGTATTCCCTTTGTCAAAATTCTCGATTTGAATGGGATTCAATTCACAGGCTGCTAGGTTCATGTTTGAATACCGAGTACAGCCTACGTGTCCAATGAATTCAAAGAGAAGGAAGCGTCCGAAGAAATGACGTTTGAATTTCCACAGGGCCCCGTTGCATTGGAATGCGCGAACGAGGGACTAGGAAGCAGTGGATCAAATCGAGATCCCTGCTCATGCCATTAGCTCCTCCTGTGGCCTGTAGTGTAACATATATGAAGGGAGACAACTCACAGTCCCGCTAGGATCCATCCGTTCCCAGGAATTGAATACACTGAGGCTGCTGAAATCAGTCATAGCTGTAACAAGGTTGTTATTTGTTTGCCCAGTGTGCGAGCCTCCTATCCACAGATTGGGCAAGATATCCCACGACGCTTCTGCTGCTTCGGGCTGGACGGACGGAGGCAAATTAGTTTTAATATACAGATATATATATATGAACGCAACGGGAGAATTTCTTTCAAGTCAGGAGTACCTACAAGTCGGCAAGAATCATCGACGTCGTACCCGCGAACCCAAGACATAGTGCCAAAGGGGATACAATCAGGCAGAATTTCAGCGAGATTTGCTTCGAGGTGTGTTGCACTCTGATGGATAGTTCGGAGTCTCGGGTTAGCAAAGCCTCCGGCCTTTATAGAGGCACAAGTGGCTTAGACTCACTAGATCAGCTTGCTCGGCTGCTCGTCTGGAGTCCAGCGCCTTTTGACGGCAGAACCAAGGCAAAGAGGCAGTCTGAGAATTTCTATTTTACCCATTAACAGTAGCACACAATTTAACGGTATCTGCACGGGGGGGATAGAGACGACTGGGGCAGATGGAATTGCCTGACTTACGCATCCTCGCTCTCGAAAGTTCCCGAGGCAAGCTCGTGGCATGCTAACATACGGCGCATCTCCTGAAGCTGCGGCATGTAAAATGTCAGATCTCCCCGGCACCTTCTCAGCATCTGACAGCTGACACGAGGGGCAAGACTTACGACCAAGGACACTTGATGGAAGTATCTACTTGTTCTTTGTATGAACCTCAGCATCATGTCGAATTTCTTCTCTAATTCAAGACGCATCCCGCCATCCTTGAGTGTCGGCATCAGGAGCTCCAATTGTACCCGTAGAGACAAATAAACCACGTGCGCAATAGTGTGATCAAAGATAGTCAACGGCTGGCGAGGCATTTCCCGGTCCACGAGGTCTAAAACATCCGTGATAGCCTGGGCGTACCGCAAGCAGTTGTGACGGGCCTGGTCAATCCAGCCAGCAGGCGCGGTTGACATGCCCGTCGGATCTAGGGACTGGGGATATCCGTGAAGAGCGATGCTGTAAAGCTCCAGGTGGCATTCGTTCCACCAGAGATAAAACATGACAATCTGACCCAAAACAGGCGCATCGTGTTGTCGACGCACCAACTCGGGGGAGAGCTGCAGCCGCGGGGGCAAAGACTCGGACAGGGAGGCCAACTGTGCCAAACACACCGCGAATGGGGAGGAAGCACCCCATGGGGCAAGTGCCGGGCCAATGGCACTAGGTTGGTGATGTGTGCGTCGTTCTTCCTTGTCTTCCGTCAGGGAATGGAAGTAGCGCTTAATTTTCATTCTCACGCTCACAAGTCGCACCCAAAATCCCATGGCCCCAACATTCCGCTGCATTCCTTTTGGGCCTGGGGTCTCTGGCTCGTCTGACTCGAGCGTCGCATAAGGTGTCTCGATGCTCACGTCGTGGCGATAATTAAAGCCGTCACATGGCAGCCGCAATTTGATACGGGACGCAGGGCATTGAATTGTCTCTGGAGCTCCATTGGATATAAAACGGCCAATGGCATAGCAGGCGAAAAACAGGCGCCGGTCGCGTTCACTTTCAACAAAAGAAGAGGTGCCAGGTGAGGGCTCGCGATGAAGACCCAGACTTACTGCGTGGCTATTGGCAATGGATGACCAAAGATGAGATTGGGCAAATCGACCAGCTTGCTGCATGTAGATAGCGAGCAAAAGGGCGACCACAACGTGATTTCGTGAGACCTCGGTCGCTGTTGTGACCCAGTTGGCCGCTTCGGTGGCCCAGCTGATGACCACGTCGTCTGGTTGGGGCGGAGTGGTGAAGCGCGCCCCGACGGCACACAGGGCCAGGACGACCGGGGTACCGAGTGTGCCGTCACGAATAGCCATCAGAGTCTGATCCCTATGCAGAAAGGCATTCGCCCGGTATACATGGACGTGTCGGAAGAAAGCGACAGCAAGACGCTCAATATTATCTTGGCTGGGTAGAATGCTCCTGCAAGGGCCCAGCCTCACGACGGCACCTGCTGCAGCTTGTGGTGGGGATGACTGGCTTCCACAAGGAGCGGAGACAACATCGTCTAGCCTATCAGATGTCTCTGGGGGACTGGCATCGACTGGCCGCATTGCCGGCCGTTGACCATCAGTAGTCTTGGGATGTGTTGTAGACTCTGGTTCTGGTGAGTTAGTGAGGCTGGTGAGGGCTCTTGGACGCGAGAGCTCGGCGGAGTTGCCCAGCTCCGCCGTTTGGAGTCTCCTCATCCAGGACTGCGCCGAGGATGTGAGAGAGTGGGACCCCTGGGGCTCGGGATACTTGCACTCGTGTCCTTGAGCACGGCAGCGGGCGCATATCGGTCGATCTTTGGAGCACTTCGAGCGGGCATAACGACAAGAGAAGCATGCAGACAATCGGGGACCTCCCGTAGCGATGGATTGAGGGCCCTGTGTGTTGCAAGACGGCGTTGAGACACGACAGAAACGTTTGATTGTAGGTTCGGGCCAGCGGCACTCCACCCCAAGGTTTCCGCAGTGGATGCACCGCGGCCGGGTCTCGTCGCACTTGACTTTACGGGCACGACAGGTCAAGCAGCCTAGGTGCGAGATTAACTGGTAGATCAGCGGCTGCCTTGGGCATCCTCTATTCTATAGCAAGGAACATACCAGTCTTGGCCCGCTTTCTCTTCTGGGATTCCTCTGGCATGGCTCGAACCGGAGTAACGGAAACAGGATGCTAGCCCTCGTTTGGTTGCACTAGCGTGAGTAGCGGCAAGCTGACGGGCAGCCAACTCACTTGTTGGTGTACGAGATACAGGCTCCGTATGGGACCTGGTCTGAACGAGAGACAGGCGAGGGATTTCAGCTTGATTACCGCTGCTCGGCCTAGAGAGGGTGAGTGGACGAACAGATGTTGAAACGTGGCAGAGGCGAGCGTCGGCTGATGTTTTATAAGATCCGATCGCGTGCGGGGGAATTAGTCCGGGGGAATCAAAGCTTGGTCTGGTGATTCAGGACCCGCCTGTACGTCCGAGCGTCGAGCTCAGTAGACAATCCTACTTTACTCTTATTAGGGGCTGTCTCGATGTGATTTTTGTCGATGAACCGCGCCAGTTTTACTACAACTGCACGTCCTTTAGGTTAAGGATCCAGACATAAACATGACTGCCCCGTTTCCTCCAGTTGCCATTAACGGAGGGCTAATTGAGGGCAAGACAAGTGACGTGGATGCCTCCATCACCCTCTACCTCGGAATCCCCTATGCCGCTCCGCCCACCGGGCCCCGTCGATTCCAGCCCCCACAGCCTGTAATTCCATGGGAAGGTATCAAGCAATGCCATAAGATCGGACCCATCTGTCCGCAGGCACCCCCTGACCCCCGCTGGATAAACGTTCTCCAAGGTCATCCGCAGTCCGAGGATTGTCTCTATCTCAACGTGTTCCAGCCCGGTGAAGCGCATGAGAAGCCGTATCCTGTGTTCGTCTGGTTCCATGGTGGTGGCTTTCGGGAGGGTGGGAGCGCCGATCCCAATTTTGATGGCACGGGTCTTGCAAAGAAGGGCGTTATTGTTGTGGTCCCTTCCTTTCGACTTTGTAAGTTTAAGCCTGAATAAATTTTGAGAAGGCGAAGTGTCTCGCGACTGCTAACGTTAAACCCATTAGCCATCTTCGGCTATTACGCCCATCCGGAATTAAGCGCTGAGTCTCCGTCAGGCACTTCCGGAATGATGGGAATGCTTGATGCCATCGAGGTGCTTCGCTGGGTGCAGTCCAATATTGCAGCCTTCGGGGGGAATCCAAACCAAGTGACAATAGGAGGGCAGTCGGCAGGTAATGCCATGTGTCACACCCTGCTTGTGTCGCCTCTGGCGAAGAGCCTCCTTCATGGTGTCATCTTGCAGTCCGGGCCTCGGTCATTCCAGGAGCCAGCCGTGGCTAATGGCCCCATGTCGTATCGTACCCTACAGCAGGCCGAGGATGATGGCGTGCACCTCCTCAAGGAGCTGGGGTTGCAGTCAATCGAAGAGCTCCGGGAGTTCAATGACATAGACAAGCTGTGCGAGTTGTCCACCCGAAGAGATCCTCGCTGCTGGGGTCCCCCGCCACTATTTCGGTTGACCCTCGATGGATATGTCATCCCAAAGCCCTGGCACCAGATCTTCGCAGAGGGTCCGGCTAATGACGTTCCAATCCTGGCCGGAATGAACAGTGAAGAGGGCGGCACCTACAACGAGCCTCGCTTCACGTACGAGGACTTCGTTGAATGTGTGGAGAGTCGCCTTGGGCCGAATTCGACATACGGTCAAGGTGACTCGAAGTGGGTGAAACGATTCCATCAACTCTACACGCCCACAGATCACGAAACAGGGAAGGGTCCTCTGGACGCATGGAACAGTGCTGCTCGAGATAATACACGCAACAATATCACGCTCTGGGCCCAGGAGTATCATCAGAAAACGGTCTCGCTCGTGTACGGGTACTACTTCACCCATCCCATCCCCCCCTGGAACAACTGGCAACCTGATTATTCGCAGCCAAAGGTTCCTGGATTTACAAACCAGAAAGGTCCTGTTACGGGTGCTTACCATGGTGCAGAATTTGCTTATACATTCAACAGCCTCATTACTAACAACCTCCGGCCCTGGAGCAATACCGATCGCCTTGTTGGCGATAAAGTGTCTACGCTTTGGGCTAACTTCGTCAGATGTGGCAATCCCAATGGCCGTCCGGGGGAGAATGAGAGTCCGGAAGGCGTTGCTTCCTGGCCAAACCTCATTGAACACCCCCACACTTTGTTGGAGCTAGGTGGGGAGTGGCAGACAATACGAACCACGGAACCGGAAAAGGAGGAGTTATGGACAAGCTATGTTAGATCCCAGAAGGCTTGGTAGACGCAGTTATCTGCGGACCATATAAACCTAGTGCACGCGAGGCTCATTACCGAGCCCGGAAAGACATATTTGCCAGTATGATTTATCAAATCGATACTTCCAACTAATCCCCTCATAAGATGTCACTCGCAGTTTTCCGAACATACAACGTTACCAACTTCCCGGGCTGATCGAATGCTTACACCTAATTGATTGAGAGTATAAAACTACCGGCACGAAATGCATTCGTCCAAAAACACAGGTGACATCATTGCATGTACTATGGATTTCATACATATGTGAAGCAACACTAATATAGAAGCCCTACATAAACGAATGAGTGTTAGGCCCTAACATCAAAAAGTGTGATACGCTTCGCTCCAGCACAAACCATCAAATATATCACAATCGCATCACTCTATTAGATCATAGATACGTGAGGCTATCGAGTGCGATATGGAATGTCCGACTTGGACTTCTCGACATATGCCAAGCTCACTACTGTAAACTCTAATGCGGAGAATCACAACTATACTTCGTTCTTATCCCCGAGTAACCAATCTCCCATCAACAATAACTCTCGTTGACAACCTACTATTTATTTGGGTGTCCGTTGCTGCCCATCTTTACCTACAGAGCATTTTCGACATGCTGAAAGTCCTTCTCTTTACTACTCACAACAATGCCCGGGCCATTGTTATCATCATCAAAAACATCAATCCTTGCCGTCCGCCACTGACGAGGATGTAGTCCGGATTCCTCAAAAAGATAATCAATTTCACGGAAGGTTCGATCTTTGGTTTCGGGAAGACGGAAGATGCACCAGATCCAAATCAAAGCGTTCGTACCGGCCTTTTTCACCCATGTCAGCAGGAATTAGCAGGAAAACGATCAGGGTTAAGGATACTGACAAACATAAAGGCCGTCTTAGCGCCAAGGTTCCAGGACCCGCCGGTCAGCATCTTTGGCAGTAGAACATTTGAAATAAGACTGGAGACATTGAAGGCAACCCGGGCGAGGGAGACCATTTTAGCTCGGAGTTTGCTAGACGGCACTTCACCCTGTTTTGTGTCACTACTCGTCCCAAAATTAATATCCGCATGACTTACGATGATCGTGTATGAAGACGGAGCGACGGTCGAAATATATATGACAGTGGACACGAGAAGAAGCGAGCCAACTGTATTAGAAACAGCCGTGCTTTGCTTGACGCACCCAAGAACCCCAATGGCAACCAAGAACACGTCACTTAGAACGAGGCCTGTGGTGAAGATAGTTGCACGCCCAAATTTAGTCATCAGCCAAATGCAGAACAGACCAAATGTGAGGTACTGGGAGTTGAGAATCAGATTCAAATCGAAGGCGCCCTGCTCCGAAAGGCCTGCCTGCTCCAAAAACTGGACCGTCTGTACATTGATACCATTGCCGCCCCAAGCCTGGGCTATCTGAACTATACAGACCTTCTGATTGTGAATATCCCTTGAGGTAAATCAGCATACCGATCGCCACTTACAATTTCTGTCCGCCATCGATTCTTGCCCCGGAAGCACTCGGCGTAGCTACTGGACTCTTTAATTTGGATCTCCATCTTGTTGGTATAGTCAATAAGCGCGATGGACTGCTCAATCTCCTCGTCCGTTATATCCTTTTGCCGGATGCGGCGCAGGGTCGCACGAGCGTCCTCATAGCGACCTTTGCGAACTAGATAGTAGGGAGATTCCGGGGCCAAAAGAAAGCAGATGAGCAGGGGAACGGGCCACACGAACTGAACAAGGAAGGGCACACGCCAGGCTGGGTTAACTCTGTGTTACTAAAAGCTAAAAATAACTTAATGGGTGGATGGTAAGGTAGGGATTACTTACCCCACTGGCCGATCAAATTCAAGCAGCCTCTATTGACCAGTGAGCCAATAAAGAAGCCAAGGCCCCAACAGATGCCTATCCACGCCGTGACGAAAGGGCGAAGACAAGTTGGGACCATCTCGGAAGAGTAGGCAATGCAACCTGTTTGAAAGGCGCCCCACGGGATCCCTGACTTGGCCGTCAGTCTCTTTGCAGCGGAGTCGTTGGATCAGGAATTACCGCAGAGAACCATGGCAGCTACCATCATCCCCAGGTTTTGTGCAAAGGCAAAAAGGAAGAGGCTGCCGGTAAGCCAGACCATCATGCCGCTGAGGATTGGCTTCCACCCAAGCCGGTCAGCCAAAATACCAGCTATGGCAAGACCAATCAGCTCGCCCACAGCCATTGCTTGCTGGATTCCTGTTTGCCACTTGGCTGATATCTCAAGGACGCCATTGTCCACGGTGCCAAATCTTTCTTTGAACTGGGTCTGACCGTAGAAAGAAGTAGTCTTGTTCCGGGTCAGCAATCCACTTAGTACGGCCTTGCTCGCACTGTAACCGAACTCACTGAAGTCGCATCAGCAGACTGCATGGTAAGGGTAAACGAAAAGATGCACGCCCAGAAGACGGCTTTTCGGTACTTGAATATCGCTTTCCACCAGGTGAGGGCATGGTCAGCGGCATTGGCAGCATGCGCACGCTCTAGCAATATTGCTTCATTCTGGTCAGGTCTGCTATCCCTCTCAATAGTTGGAGGAGAATTCTTCTCCATGTTCGAGTGAGCTGTTGGATGCAAGGATCGGCAAAGTGGAGATGCGACTAGGGCCATCCCTCTAATGTTCCCCAGATTGCGGGGAATTCGCGGGGTAGTTATAACCCATACTTCCTAATTACCGCTGAAGGATGTACCCGGTAGCTTGACGTAGCTGGCGGGATATGATGCCTGTAGGCACACCCAGACTATTGCCCATGTGTCTTTCTTCCATGAACGTG